GACATAACGACGAATAAGGACGAGGACCCGGTATCGAGCGGTTCCCTGCGAAAGTGGAGTATTTCGGTGCGGCTACTGGCGAGTGATTCGCGCGAAAGGTAAGGACACCTTGATAAAGCTATCTCTCTCTTTTATCCCTCTTTCCGATCCCGAGCGGATTTTCACCTCGTCTCATTCGTTCTTTGGGTCAAATACCCGCGATAATAAGGGAGTAGAATTTTCCGATTAAATTTCTCTCAAAATTAGGTTATGTTTTTTACACGACGTGTGCGCTTGAAGCTTTATTAGATTATACGCTGTTCTTCGATAATTGCGACTTGTGCACGTAGAACACGTAAACAGGAAACGTTTCTACAACTTGCGATTGTTATCATTATGATTACGCTGTAATTGCGATTGATGAAACGTGTTAAGCTGGTGACTTAAGCACGTTCCTGTATCGCGGTATTGCAAGAAATTTTATATTATGTTTGAAAAGGTCTGTCAAAATGAGTTGTTCATTTACGTTTCATTTGAAATAGATTTATATAAAAATCGATAAAAGTCTCGCATATTGAAAGCATTTGACAGATATCAAAATATTGAAGCAGAACAAGTCCAGAAAGAATTACGCTTTAAACCTTCATTTATGACATATCATATATATAATAATAATTATTATTATTATAAAATATTTTTTATAATAATAACGTGACTTATATTACTATTATTATTAATATAATTATTTGAGGAAATATTTATCACATTTCTAAGAGTTCTTATATGTAAATTATTATTAGATTCGTAGATGTTTATGCATGTATTTTTTATGTCGTTTCCACGCGTATGGATTTTACATTCTAATATCTTTCAATGCGCGCAATTTCTTACTCCGGCTGTCAGTGATCGTGATATATTCACAAAGTGGCCAATCGCCGAGAAATCGCTGCTCGCCGGGCAGCCAATCGTGGCCCACAAGTGCCATATATCGTTTGTTCACCGTGACTATTATTAAGTTTGTCCTTAACGATCGTCAGGATTATCGGCCGCGGATCATTAGCTGTCAGTGCGCGAGTTGCACGTCGCGTCTTTCATATCACGTGCCGCGTTACGCGACCAGATAGCCTTTGAAAATCGAATGCCTCCTTCGTCTCGCATCGTTTCGCCTCGTCTCGCCTCGCGGCTCGCTCAGTGAAAGTCGACCGAGAGCAGTTCGTTTGACTTTAAGTCGACTGCTTGATTTTTGGATAGGAAAAAAAGCGAAAGAGAAAGAGCGAAAAGGCGCATCTTCGCGGTAAGTGACCCTCGCACATCCGTCGATGATTAATTGATAAAATAAATCACGTTGCAAAAATTTGTGCGTTGGCATTTATAGCTAAATGCCACCATTCATTCCTCGGCTCACGATTTGCAAATTTTTAATCAAGTAAAAAACTCAAGATACATATTGCATATATTGTTGTATGTTCATATTTTATGTTTGCAAGTATGTACAATATTATTTAGAAAAATAGTTTCGAGAGAATATTTAAAAAAAAACAATTGACATATATACATGTTGAATTATAGGAGTACTAAAATTCTTTTTGACTTTCACTTAGCAAATTTCTTTCTAAATGTTTAAACTATATTTGTTTTTACACTGAATAAAAATCGAACTCTATTGCTATTTATCATTATTACTATTTTCATTCGCAAGTTTTATCCTTTTATTTTTTTAGAAAGAATGTCCATGGACACGGTTAATCACGCAGTTATTTATGATTTAGCCACGCAGTGTTATTTACGCATGATAAACAGTATTATATATATAATGTGCTTGTTATTAAGTTTATTTTACCTTTGGTCCTGTTATTTATCAGCTAAAATAAGAATAAATAAATCAAATCAGTTATAAGTGATTTTGCACATAAACAACACTAATTCACGCATATTAAACTCAAACGATAGTTTACAAACAATTTAAATAATTAAATAAGAGGAAAAACAACTGCTGGAATACATATCTTTTTTATTTATGTATTTATTTTGAAGTCATGCATATAAAATGAGTTGTATATTTTTTATACGTATAAACGAGCCAACAAAATTAGATTACATTACATATTTATAAAAAACAATTCGATATTATAAATTTTTCCCGAAAAAATAAAGTTAAAAATATTTTAGAAATAAATATTTTATTTTTTGCACAAAACGGATTTACATTAAATAAATTTAAAATTGCATATCGTATACTGTCGATTACAGAAAATAAATATTTTATGTCGTATTTTATATATTACAAATAAAGTTAAAAAGATTAATTAATTGCGAGATTTATATACAAATAGCACCATATTTATATTATTTCTGACAATAATATCAGATTAAATTTATTTCTGAATTTATTTTGAATTTCTTTTTTATAAATATGTAATGTAATATTATCTTGTTGGATCGTTTATATGTATAAAGAATGTATGATTCATTTTATATATATGATTTTAAAGTGAAAGTTCTTTTTGTATGAGAAAACAAATCAGTCAAATATAATAATACAATATATCCATATATCATGTATAATACTTATACATGATAAACTTTTCAGAAACGTATCTCTTGATGTCTCAATATGAGTCATTGTCGACAAGATAATAATATGAACTGAATATAATCACACGTGTATTATTCTCTTTTTATACATAAAATTAGATCTGTTGCATCAACGAAGAGAACAAATATGTGTTTAACGGAGAGACTAGAGTTTATCGTGTCTCTTTGGTTAATTTATTATATATTTCTGCAAACAGAACAGAAAATTCAGAAGTATCATAATGTTTTATACATGCGATCTTATTTATATATATATATATATATATATATATATATATATATAATATTTTATGTTTTTATATATTATTATATATTATATATTTATGTATGTGAATATTTAATTTTTTCATTTTGTGTTAAATAATTAAAATATGTTTATCGATATTATATATTGACAATTAATATTTAGTCATTAGTCACCTTTGAACAATAGATACTTCAACAATTGTTGAAGTATCTATTGTTCAAAATTATTCCAACAAAATTTAATTTAATTTTTTTTTAATGTTAGGAAAGCACGATATCATATAATTTTCTCTTTCATACATCGATTTAAATCGATGTGAGAAGATAGCGTTCTCGAATCAATAACACAGTGCCATTACAATATTTAGCTTTACATGACGGTCGATAAATGCGATGTTAATCAGTCTTTAATCGATGTACTGATTCAATGTTACGTATCCTTTTCATTGTTGCGATTGGTGTTTGCCACACCGCAAGGTTTTTACGGACAATGCACGTGATCAGAGAGGATTATATCCTCGGAATTTTCCAGATACATTGCTTATTCACGTTTGTTCAATTTTTCAGTTTTAAGAATAATTTTTTGATGATTCCTTTTTTTATCTCATTATCGCGTTTTTTCCGGATTGCATAATGACTACGTTAAAAAAACATTTGCAATTGTGATGATTCATTTGTGATAAAATGTGTATTCCAATTTGAGCTACGATATAAATATAAATATTTAAATTTCACTATATAAATAATTTTTTCAAATTCCAATATAAATAAACAGGAATATATATTGAACAATTTACATCTTTTAACGAGTAAAATATAATTAATTATTGCATAATCGAGTCATATAGATCCTCGATAGAAATATTCGAAATAATGTAGGCTTGAATATTTTTTTCAAATTTTTTTGATCCTAGTTTCAAACGGCAATGAGGTCATTTTTCACATTTTCATCATTTTCTTTTGCTTACTTTTCAACGTTGAATGCATAAGTCTACTAAATATGACGTGATTTGTGTCCTTCAAGAGCGTAACAGTAATGTACTACATAAAAATAGCTTACGCAAGTATAAGAAAAAGAAACGAAAGGACCTTTCATGGTTCACCGGCACGCAATTGATATTCTTATCTTATTCCAGACAGGAATCGCCTCATTCCAGATACAATCGCGATCGCATAGTGAAACGAACCGATTATGCGTCGCTTGCACCTAGTGCAAGTGCTACGCTATCGTCTCGCTGCTTCATCTCGACTTACGAAAGACATACCGCTATGATTGTACAAATATGTAAATCGCGACGAGGTGCCGCATAATAGACAAGAGAACATATGATAACGCGCGTACAAACATCTGTTAAACTCGGCACGTATCTGAAACTAATGCTACCCTCAAGAAATTTATCTTTGTTTTTTGAAAACCACGCTATTAATTTTCCCGATTAAAATTTGATTTAAATTTAAGCTACTTGATAATTTTATCATAAATCTGAGGGAACCTTGACATTAAAATTTATTAATTCTAAACTGCTATCAACGACTTTGCATTAAAAAGAGTGTGGCGGTTTTAATATAGCGCTAATTCTTTTATCACTGAGATAAAATGTCAGAGATATGTGTATTTCGCATGGAAAATTGTTCCGCGAAATCGCGATTTTTGACTCCTTCGTGAACGAATTGGAGTCGAATTAGCTACGCTACTGTCTTTCCACGTACGTGAAAACGTTTGAGGAATATTGGGTATGCTAAACAGGGACCGCGCGCGTTACCTGACAGCACGCAACCACCAATCGAGCGTTTCATTCGTCTCGTGGCGTCGCGGCGCTCTCATATGTCAGTCTATGTTTGCTCGACCGTCAGCAAAGACGAGCGACGTAACGCGTATTAACGCAAACTGCGAAAACAACATATTTTGCAAGTGCCACGCGAGAAAACAGGATTAGTTTTGGGTCGCGCTTGTTGGGAACTCTTTCGAAATTGAATCTCAATATCGCTGACGTAAATCCTAGATTGAGAAGAAGAAAAACATACGATTGTGATACGGTTAAACTTTCGCAATTTTCGTTTTCCACGAGTTTTAATGGAAGATTAAAATTATTATAAAAAATTAGTTTCATCAATTTAATTAGTTTCATTAATTTAATTATATTAAATAAGCATTATCGCAATTTAATTATATTAATCAGCTGAATTTATTTGTCGAGAGCAAGTTGCCTTAAGCACTTCGATTTAAATCGGTTTGCGAGTTAGATTTGTCCATCGTACGCATTCGCGTAAAAATAATAGAAAGAATTGATTTGTCAAAGTTTTACATATCTGTGATTAGCTTTATTAGAATCAAACTTTCACGCGATCGTACATATTCTCGAACAGATTGGTTTACACGTTTCTGAAAACTATCGGTATTTCCCACGATTCTCTGTGACATTGTTCTTGAAAAATGTAATTTCAAAACCATATAATCAAAAACAATCGAGATTATCGGAGCGATATCGAGGTAAAAAATTATTAACCGAAAGATAACGCGACACATATAATCTCAAAGAGTCTCATTTCAAAACTGATTCGTTTCCGTGACTACGGTCAATGACATCTCGACCATCAACTGTGAACATCATGCTGTTTCACTTGTTAAAAAAAATACACAAATAACTGAATATAGAGTGTGTAAATCAATCTTACATGAAATCAGTCAAATAAGCTCTTGAGAATTCATTCATCATAAGACAAAAACTTAAAAAATTAAAATGATAACGGTACCGCCGATATCAGCCTCCAGTCCCTATGTGAAGGTCACATCCTACAGTGACACCAGTACAATTGTCAAAAAGCCTTTGGTAAGTGCATCTAGATCATTCTCCGCTATATATACGCGCGACCATGTGTTTATTCGCTTGAGACTAATTAAAGTCGTTCGCGTAGCCACACATTTTTTTTTAAACTCGCATTCAACTCGCATTTGATACGATCTTTGGTGTATTTTTGAGTTACGTAAATTTTGTAATTATATAAGCGAGCACATCTGATAGCTAACGTACATAGCATTGTACATAGCTATACTTCGTCGTTAATAGTTTTAACGAAACTGCATTTCGCGAATTATTTGATCGCATATGGTAGACTCCTTAAAGTCATTTTTATATAATTTTGTTTCACCGCAATTCTCTAAAGTCGAAGGACTCATGAGTGCTTACATAGTCTTTTATTATATTTCTTCATTAAAAATTAATTAATACTAGCTGATAATGTTAAAAGGAAACTCTTTTTTCCTCGAGCTTTAATTTAAACACGTGGCGTTTCTAAAGTAGTAAAAGAATAATCCTGAGATGATTTCCTTTACGTATGTTTTTTTTACGAAGTTTTTATTACAGCAAGCATTTTGTACAATATGTTTGATATACAAGGGTATGCACTCAATTATCCTTTTTAATAATAAAATTTATTTAAATAATTATCATAATAGAATTTGTTATAAAAATAATAATAATAAAGTTTCTTAATAGAATTATTTTATTTTTCCTCTTACATCTAAAAATAAACATCTAAATCAACCTAAAAATAACGCAAGTGACAATATCTTTTAAAAAACTCTATCGAATTTTTCATAAAACTTTATGACAAAATTATAAGTAATAAAATACGTAAAAAAGATATGTCGTTCTATTTAAAAAAATTAAATTTATGGACAATCTTTAAAAAAATAATTTAAAATTATCGTTTAAGTCACATATGTTATAGATTAATATGGTAATTTTTATTCGATATATTTTTTATAATTTTTTTTTATATAAATATTATACACTTAAATACAACTATATATATTATATATATATATATATATATATATCCATGTATAAACAATTAAAAATATATAGGAATATATGTGTGGAGAACATATTAATTGCTTGTACTTATAATTGTCTAAAAAAATATCCCAAAAAAATTAATATTAGAAAAGAATATTTATTAAGGAAAAAATGATTTTCCTTTCTTATTATATATCTTATATTTATTCAATTTTGTTCTAATGCTAGCTTTTAATAAGATCTTTTCAAAATAGATAAAATAGATAATTTTTTGCTTGTCCTTTAAATGTCTTATTCTGTATATGTTGTTACATTCCACAACACTGACTTTTTTAAAATTATGTCTACAACACTGATTTTTTTTTAATTATGAATTATTTGCATAAAACGAATTAAAAATCTTGTTTACTTGTTGTGCTTCATCAAGGAATTTCGCCATAGTTGCTGATGACACGCGCAATAAAAGGTTAATTAAAGCTAAGTCGGTGCCATTATGAGCAAAACGTGTCACTTCGATACGTCACAACGAATGACGACGTTTTTAATTTCCCTCATCGTGTATTTGTCATCGTAGGCTTCTTCTCAGTGAATCTGTTCGTAGTCATTATTGTTCGTTTCATCGCTTTAGCCTTGCTTAAGATTGAATGACCATTTAACGAATGGCATTGAAAATTCGAGTATTTTTTTCGATTTATTCATATTTATCAATTCACAACGTTAAATATTGAAAAACTAATTGCAAAGCTATTTTATTAGCACATGAATTATTCACATTTTATTTTATAAATGTTTTTTTTTGTTTTAGCAAATATAAATATACAAATATTTTCACGCATTTTTAATTTGCGAGATTCGCAAAAGAAGATAAAGCGCGAATAATGTCGGAAACTACTTAAAACTTGACCAAAATTCAAGTTCCTACGAAAAGATTTAAAAACTATTTTCAATTACTCTTTCATTTTTAATTAGATTTATTGCAATTTTATGAAGAATTTCTTTCTTTCTCCCTTTCTTCCGTTAGTAAGAAAGGCGTATTTTCGCAAAACCGAGCATACAGCGATCTAAATTTACATCGCCGGACAAGCGATGCGAAATCCCAAGCTAGCATGCCAAAGACCGTTGACTGACCGTATTCTGATTCCCTTGTAAGAAGCACAAAAGTTTCTGCCAATCGACGTTTCTTTTCCGAATTGCCGATTCTCTTCACGCGTTTTTTTTTCTTTTACATAATCGACGCCAGGAATTTAATGACACGCGCGATTTAACGCTGAAAATTTCGTTTCTAATATTATTTTGTTGATTCATTCATAGACGGATTTCCCAAAAAGTCTAGCCAAAAGTTTAGACCAAAGTACTCCACTCGGGCCAAAGTCTTAGTCCAAAGTTCGACTAACGCTGAAGACGAAATTATTTTTCATATATACGTAATCCCGTATATATGAAACATATAATATTTCTACATCCTTAAAAAATCAACTTGATAATGAACTTTGCTAAAATGATTTACATGAGCCTAATTGTAATTAAAACCTTTACACATGAGCGTGCCAGTTGCATGCGCGATGTTTAATAAGCTTGGCGCGTGCAAACAAGCGAACACGTGTCTCTTGACAATCGTAAAAAAAAAAAAAATTCGACGATTATTACTTCCTTATCGTTCTAAGAATCTACACTAACTTTAACTTGCGTATCAATTATTGGGAGCAACTGAAGCTGCATTGGTGAATCACCGCATTCGTGACGTCAATTCGTGATCTTCGTATATCGTTCTTGGGAACGCGGTAAATAACGCGAATGATGATAATAAATAATAAAAAGTAAAATAATAAAATAATTGAATGAAATCAAACGGTGTAATTTGTGTGTATGTGTGTGATCAATAACATAATAATAGCTTTCAACATGGTCATACGATCTTTCAAGAGATTACTGATGTTTTTAAGAATGTAAGAGATTAATGAACTTAATTGAACTCAATGGAAAAAACTTTTAAGTAAATAATATTCTTTTTTACAAACAATATAAGCGTTCATTAAGTGTTTGTAAGTGTTTATTTACATCTACGAGGAAAAATTAAGAAATGAAAAAGATAATGAAGGAAGTTAGAAAAATGGAAGCATGTGAAAAGAGAAATATAAAACTAGAAGAAGATCGAAGATAGAAACGAAAGTATCTATTTAGAGAAATTATGAAAAAAGATTAAGATAACAAAGGAATTTAGAAAATGGTAGCATAAAGAGAGAAATCGAAGAGTTATTAAAGAAAGAAATATACGATAATATTGAGAAATACTGCGCCATAGGCTAATATCTTTTTTTTCCTTTTTGTTTCGTCAACTTCGTGTTTACTGCGTTTTATGCAAATGAGATGATGGAACATAGCAAGTTTTTTCATCCGAGATCGCATTTGTACTAATTGTAAGTTTGCTGTTGCACTGTTGCATCTCGCCGGTCACGTATAAGTTACATTTACGTTATGTCCATCTACGTGAGATTTTCTGAGAAACTTCATTATTTTCATCTAATATGCGCCAAGAAGAACATCGTTTCTCGGTAGAATAAATATAAAAAATACATTTCCTTTCGGTGCGCGCATATTTATCTCGCATTGTTATTTTGCATCTCAATAACGCGGCTATCATGAAATGGATTTATGATTTTGCTTCGAATATTTTTTAATATGCTCTTTGTAGTGGACAATCAACTTTACGTAATATCAATTCGTAATATATTGTGATTTATGCGAACTTAATTTCAGGGGAACTTTGAAATCCAGTTGATTTATAATTTGTATAATTATATAAAGACTGTGTATATATAAACTTTTTTTAAGATATTTCAGTTAAGAAAGTATGTAATATTGAGATATATAATTTATTTTAAGTTTTATCGAAAACAATTTTAACATTAAATAATGAATAATTAGTTAACTGATTGATTGAAATATTGGCATACGAATAATTGTACTTATCGAGTATCACTGAAACATTTCGTAACATAAAAGTATCACATATCTTATGTATATAAATCGTGTATATAAGTCGTATATACACATCGATCATGCTCGTAATGTTCAAATAATTTTGCTAAAATTTGCAAATAAAAGTTTGATTATATTCGGGAACGAATTAGGACAACTTACCTGGATATAATTATATGCGCGAAGAGTTAATATTTACTTTAAAAGCAGATGTTTTCTGTCTCTAATTCTTGTCAATCACAAGATACCTAGATACATCTCCAATGCTGATATTTTGTATTATCACTAATCGTCAATCTTTATCAATTGCCAATTGTGGGTCAACCATATCAATTGAAATATTGTGTTTGCAAGAAAAAGAGAAAAACGAATAATCCTTAATAATTATCCTTTTAACAGAAATTTTGATACAATTATTAATTTGCCAATACTAACAATACGTAACATTTACGAAATTCTATCTCTGCAAAATATAAAACCGTGAATCCCCAATCTTAAAGATTGCTTGACAAGTGTCGATCGAAAGTGACACAGTTATCCTATTATCGTTAATTATTAATAGTACGTTGTTATCCTCATCTCCAGAATATTCATTTACATAATAGTCATGTTGTGAGACTACTAATGAGGCATTATACATATAGTCGGAGGTCGCTCGTGGGAGAAAGAAAGACAATAATTATTCTTTTTCGCGTCCCTCGATACTGGCAAAGATTCGCACGAGGAATAAATTAGCTCCTCGCATTTCGACCTTTCTGCTATATATCGTATACAATGATTGTCAATGTAGAATATGCAGCAAGCTCTTTCGATGAAAAGTACATAATAGTAATTGTCCACACGAAATGAAGTAAGAATCATGTTAAAGAGGTATAATTATTTTCCACTTAAATATTTATTTCCTGTGTAATGCTTCTATGCATTATAGCTCTTTATGTGTGAAATTTGCGTAATATGATCAGATATTTATGTTAAATACATATTATATATTCGCAAAACAATTTTATCGATCCTAATTAAGTTTATGTAATCTTTTTTTCGCTTAAAACATTAATGATTTGAAACAGAGAGTCTAATGCGCATGTTAGTATTCATTATAAATTAATTTTTTAAAAATTTGATATCATTAATTTATCGCACTTAAACATATCCTTTCTTGTTGTTTTTTATGAGTGACCCTGGACACACCTGCACATATACATCCTAAGATAATCTCCTTTTTGTTGTATGTATGTATGTATGCATATGATAACATTATATTAATTAATCTAGAAAAGCAATCCTAATAGAATGTTAGTATTATTAACGTCAGTTTTTTTATTAAATATGAGAATGCAATATTAGTAGCAACTTTTTTGTTAACATATTTAAACTGTTATTAATGAATTATCTTCATTCTTCCACGATGCATAAATATTTAATATAGTATAGCAACAAATTGAAAACTTATTTTATCGAGAAATTATTGGAAATTAAAAAGTTATTTTAACTTGTATTATTATTATTATTATTATTATTATACGTAATTGCTAAATATATTCAAATCATTTTTTTACAATTTTGTTATACTTTTCGAAAAATGAAAATAAATCAAATAAAACGATGAAGAAAGAAATTAATTCTTTTCACGTATTTTTGCGCACAATTTACATTGCGCTCTCGTCCTTGAATAGGAATGTTCCCGTAAACGAGTGGCCGAGTATCCTCGTGCAGTTGTCTCAATTGGAACGAAACTCGGCTTCACGCATGCATTAAGTTTGCTCCCTCGCACGTGAATCTAATCGCCACGCTCACGACATCGATTCGTGCATCATCGGAGATGACGTACACCAACAAATTTAATTCGATTAATTGGGATCAGAGACAAAGTCGAACGTATACAGGCACGCAAAGTGCCAAGTGCTAGAAGAAAATAGCATCGAGTAGAGGCGAATGTCTATTTTCAGCGTTTGACGAATTGTTCTTATTGAAAAAAAAATATGTGCACGACTTGCCTGCGTGATTGCCTTTATTCTTTGAGAATTATTTATTGCTTTAATTTTAAACATATACATTACGGTGATAAATGTATTTTCTATACCAAATGAACATAAAAGATAATAATATTTGAGTATATTAATGAAAAAGGTCTAATTATATTATAAAGCAGGATGTAAATTTTAGTTTCTTCTTGCTCCACACAATAATTGAATTATTTTACATTATTTCTAATCTGCTAATCATAGAATCTTTAATGCTGTATCTGGACATAACGACATAAGGAGGACTTTCTAGACTATTTAGACATAACAGAGCTGCCCAATTTAACGAAGAACCGCACATGTTTGTATATATCGAATGTCAATAACGATGTTACAACATTATGGAAACGCAAAAGGGAACATAATAAAGCACGTATCTTAATTGGATACGAGAAGCCCTTCTATTAAGTAACTATCTACATTCTGTGCCGCCAGACATAGTCGTGCTTTCTCGTAGTAAATAGTCAAATATTCATGGTCGTCGCGAGATAACTTTACGAATGGATTATCGTTCCGTGGCATTTATATGCGACACCTTTGTCAACGAAGATCACGATTAACAGTAGAAAACCAGACATTTTCATCATTATCATGAATACAAACGTATCGTCTTGTCCTCTATAATTTTCATCATCGGTTGGAAGAGCTCATTAGAAAATTATGTCGCGCTCATTCCCACGTCGAAACACGGTATGAGAATGCAAATAATACTTAAGAATAACATTGAACGCGAAGAAATCCAATAAAAAGATTTAACAAAATTAGCATTTCACGTGCAATCTTTATTACAGTTAATACAAGAAGATTAAAATTTTACGTGATAGAAATAAAGAATTCTGCAAATAAAAATTGCAATACATGCATGGTAGATGAAAAACAAGATATATTTAACTTTAGAATGCATAAATAGAATCTTTGTAATCACGTATTGTATTATAAAATTGATTAAAAATGATAGATTATGGAATAAAATAGACATAAAATTATAGATATACAATTATACAATATTATGTGAAAAGACTAAATACAGATGTCTTTTCACATAATATATTGTCTATAATTTTATGTCTATTTTATTTCATAATCTATAATTTTTAATCAATTTTTTAAGTTGTTTATCTAAATTACTATCTTATCTCCAAGTCACTTTGTTATTTTTTTATCTTAACTTATTAATTTTCGTACCATCTTGATTATGCATTCTAGAATTAAATTAAAATTTTGGACAAAGTCACAAAAATAACGAGCAACAGATGTTGGAAGAAACTAGAGAAAGAGAGAGAAAGAAAGGACTAATAAAGACGGAGAATGAGAGCCATGCAGTCCACGAGTGCTACTGAAATGAGTTATTTTGGTCCACGGCCGTAAGCCACGTTCGATGCACGTTTTCTTGCGAAATCTGTTTAGTGTGATATATCAATGATCCCGTCACGTATGAAATGTTGCAGTTTGAATTATTTTTAAAAAATTGGACATTTTTTTCAAGGAAATATATCTTGCGCAAAATAAATTGCATTATGCATCATTAATGACACGAATTGATATCTCGTACAAAATAATAAAAAAAAAATTGTAATAATAGAATCATATTTTTTAAAAATTTTTTATTACAAAATAATTCCTAGATTTTGCATAGATAAAAAATAATAAAAAAAGCAAAAAAAAGAATTATTGATAATGAATAATAAACTAACAGTATAATTGATGTGTATAAATATCTATATATGCTAATTGATGTCAATTTAGACAGAATTTAACGTAAGTTCTTTTAACGAAGTAATAAGGAAATCAAAGATACAGAGGAATCATATTTGCTTCTTTTTATAAATAGTTTTTTCTTACGATAATTTGTATGGCTCCTTTCAAATAAATACAAGTTTTTTATAACAGCGAAGATATTACAGAACGATTAGTCGCAATTACGTAATGCTATTATGTTCATTTTATTTGTAGATTCAACAATTTTTAAAAGACGAAAGAGAGATGAAGGAGCATTCAGCAGCTCAGCGAATGGAGAGAGAGAAGGATTTGCCACAGCGATCACAAAGCAGCGCGGCTAGTCTGACATCTATAGCCGATATATCTCCTAGTTCTTCCCAATTTTTCGAGGTGATTATCTCCTTTTTTTATTCTAATAAAAAATATTTACACATCGGACTTTTAATGACGGAATTCCATGCGACAAAAATTTATTTGATACTAAATTAGAAAGATTTTTATATATCTTATGTTTGAATTTCAGGTATTCTATGTCGGCAAAATAAAAGTATCACACCCAAAAGTACCGGAATCTTTCATTGATGAGGCTCTAATAAAGTTTCGCGTTCATGGACTCGAAAAATCCAGGTCTTCGACGAGTAATCTTCTGTCAGATTGTCAACGGTTGAAACGCCAAGCTTTAATGTCTTCCATTAATAGAAGAAATAGTACGGTAATTATCTTCTCAGTTATTATACAATTTTGTGCTATCTCGCACCTCTCTGTGATATATATTGAATTAAGATACGTGTTATAAATTTTTATTATGTTAAATTTCTAACATTGATATTTTCTGACGAATAATTAAGAAATACTTCTTATCTCTATATCACATAATTAATACGAATTAATTTGATTCCATCTTTGCCAAGTATATTATGGAAAATGGAAGTATACCGTTACGTTTTCAGGAATCTACCGCTAGTGAATCAGGCAGTATTGAGAACGTGTCGGGAAACAGTATAGGTTCAAACGTTAATCCGTTTGGAGTTCCGCCAGTTTTAAGCAGCTCCGTGGAAACTTTTCCAAGAACAAGCGCCAATCCTGTGGAAAATGACGGACGCGATGGGAATCAAATATCCGAATCTTCCGCTAATTTTAATATCACTGTACCTGAAGTTATGCGAAGTCGCGCTGCATCTACCGGCAGCGTTTTAAATGGCAGAAGAGATTCTGCCGTTAAAGGAAACGATGAGCATAATCGTACCATGCTTTTTCAAGTACGAAATATAAAAACGTCTTTGTTTTATTACTTTTTACTTTTATTAATTATTCTTATTGCTCTCATTAATTATTTTATAAACATTAAAAGTTGTTTATAGAGAAAGTTACTTTTAGAGAAGAAAAAAAAAACATATTTTAGATTAACTTTTGTGTAAATTTTACAGTATATGTAAATTTTAGGTAGGGCGATTTGATTTGAGATTGATTAGCCCGGACAGAAAGCAGGTTCTTCTGCACAAGCAATTAAAAGATATAGCCAGTTGTGCGCAAGGTATAAAAAATTCGGATCACTTTGGATTCATTTGTAAAGAACCAGAATGTTTTATCGGATACGTTTTCAAATGTCAATCCGAATCAGTTGCGGATGATCTTGTCGCAGGCAAGATTTTTTAATTTTTCTATATTATGATAAAATACAATAGACTATTTTTAATATCAAAATTCTAATTTTGTTATGTTTAATAATTTTTCGATTTTTTTACAGCAATTAGCCAAGCTTTCGTTACAACTTGTAACATTGCCAGAAAAGAAAAATACTCTGTATTTTCTTGCGAACATTGCCCTATGTACTGGTACAATAAATTATGTCAAGAAATCGAAGGTAAAATATTTATATCGATTACATTCTAGAGAAATATTCAATTGTATACTTGATTTTATACACGAAATATTTTTAGGACAAAATGATAAAAAAGTGCAAAGCATTATCTTATCGCGTATGGAATTATTACCGGAGGATGAGCAGGAGATTGTTGTGAGCAAATATAAGAGCGCCGAAGCAGCGGGTAACGTTGGTACGAGCTCCACGAGTCAAAATCAATTCTTAATGCGACTGTTGCGTGCTCATTGCGAATTAAAACAAGCTAGACATGTACATGATACGGCTGAGAATAGGTAATGCATCGTCAGCTATATATGAATCTTCTATTGTTACAAATGTAAATGTCTTTTACGAGATATTCTGGCATAAAATGCTTTATATATTACAGGAGTGAATTTCTCAATCAATATCTAGGCGTCGGCGTTGGCAGTACGATTTTTATGAAGGCGAAACGCTCTCTTACGAATAGCTTTGACAATCTTATGAAGAGAAAAGGTTCGCGTGACGATTTTGGTTTTGGACCACAATTGCGAGATTCGAATCATTTGAATGCGGCGGTACAAAAGATTGGTGGTCAAAGCCCAGATAACTCGAGGCAATCATCTGTACTAGATATCTCGCCGGAATCGAGTAGACCAAGATCATTGCGTGTCTCGCCTGAACAGCAGATAGTTATAAATAACGGACCAAAGAGTTCTATGATGGACATGTCAGTATCATTGTATTTCCAATTTCTCTCGTTGTCAATTTTCATATAAATACAATTATAAATATAATTATACTATTTATTATATTTTTATTATATTTCTTATAGCTTTTTAAAAGTTGGTAACTCACCGAAAACATCTCCCACGGAGACCGACGGAAGCAACACGATACAAGCCAATAGTTCGTGGCGACAAACGATACTAAATAGAGTTGTGACGCCGAGTAAAGACCATAATAGTACAGAAATTGAGAACGTTAATATCATCAAAAGTTTAGAAACGCCCGTTAAACGTAGAACAAAACAAGAATTACGAGACTTGTGGAAGAAAGCGATTAATCAACAAGTAATACTAATAAGAATGGAAAAAGAAAACGCAAAGCTTAGAGGTAAAATTTTTTTTTATATCTTGAAATATATCGTGCGAATTTTTTAATTTTATACATATAAAATAAGATATATAATAAGATTTTACATTATCTAAATTTTCTATTGAAATTTCAGAACGTCAAGAGGAGGCAACAGTAAAAAGGATTAAACTGGAATATGACGAGCTTAGTAGCTGTGCACGTGAAGTGATAGAAGTTTGGGATCTTCTTGTTAGCAAGGAATCGCGAGTTTCAACTAAATGTGATAATCAAATGCTGTTGCATGCTATCAAACAAGGTAACTAGAAATGCAATATATTTTTCAACAATAATTAAATATAATATTTCTCTCTCTCTCTCTCTCTCAAAATTTAAAAAACATTCTTTTTTAATTTTTACTATATATTATAAATTCTTTTAAAGGTGTACCGAAAGGGAAGAGAGGTGAAGTTTGGCAATTTCTAGCCGAACAATTTTGCTTAAAACAACCACCTATAGATACTCAAGATTTTCCAAATTATAATACATCTTATGAATTGCTCCTGAAACAACTCACATCTCAACAACATGCCATTCTTATCGATCTGGGAAGAACGTTTCCGAGTCATCCGTACTTTAGTTCACCCTTGGGACCTGGTCAATTAGCGCTCTTCAATTTATTGAAAGCTTATTCCCTGTTGGATCACGAAGTCGGTTATTGTCAAGGTCTCAGTTTCGTCGCTGGAGTACTTCTATTGCATGTGAGTGCAATTTTAATTCGCATCTTTTCTATAATAATTTTGTATTTATTTTACAATAATATTTTACAATAATATTTTACAATAATCAGTTTTTATACAACATACAGAATATTATTTTTTAAACTTATTAGATGGCAGAAGATCAAGCCTTTTTCTTATTACGACATTTGATGTTTCGCCGAGGACTCAGAAAATTGTATTTACCAGATATGGCAGCATTGCAATTGCATTTGTATCAGCTCTCTAGACTATTACACGATCGCTTACCAGCAATTTATAGCCATTTTGATAAACATGAAGTTTCACCTACATTATATGCTGCTCCATGGTTGTTAACCTTGTTTGCCAGCCAATTTCCTTTGGGCTTTGTCACCAGAGTTTTTGGTAAGAACAAATGTTTTCTTATCTATTTAACATTAATTTATATTTAATTAATTTATAAAATTGTTTCTTTTTTATCTTTTGAAATAATTGACTTTTTTTCAAAGATTTACTTTTTCTGGAGAATTCCGAAGTCCTCTTTCGGGTATCAGTTGCACTATTAGAAGAACATCAGGATCAATTGTTATGCTGTGATAACTTTGAAGAAATTATGGAATATCTCAAGGTATGGAATATATCACAAGTTATATTCTAAAATAAATTTTTATGTTTTTATTAATTTTCTTATTATATTGAATTTAGACACGTGTGCCAGCGGTGGACAAACAAAGCTTAGATCGCATAATGAAACGTGTATTTTATCCTGATTTGGAAATCTCAAAACAATTGAATGAATACAGAGTGGAATACCAAGTGCTTCAAGAGGAAATGATTTCAGTAAAGCCACAAATAGAGAATTTGGAGAAATTTAAATTGCAGAACAAGCAACTCACACAAGAAGTTACGCAACTTAGTGAACAACTTGAGGTAATAAAAAAAGTAACATCTGTTATAATTGAAGGTATTTTCGATATTTTAAGGATATATTGCAACGTACTGCAAAATTGCACAATGTATTAAGTGTTGTTCAATGATTATAATAGATACATTTCTTATCGGATACAACTTCATACTAATTTAGAAATTACAACTTATAAATTTATCATTTTTGCATTATATTATTTGTTATATTCTTTAGTTCTTTTTTCTCTGATATCAATCATTATAATATTGAAATTATGTTACAGATTGCTATGAGCAACTTGCACAGGCTCGAAACAGCACGCTCAATGCAACAAGCAACTATCCATAGATTCGAATCTCAAAATCGCAGTCTTGAAGTTACAGTAGCTACATTAGGCGCGTTTATTCAGCAATTAGTGGATACACGTGCTGATATTGAAGTACCGGGCGAAGTACGTCGAATAATTGCGCAGCTGGGTATGGTAGAGAAACGACGAAACACAGGCATCAAGTCATATCCTCTAAAAGTTATCGAAGACAACAAATATGGAATGATAAAAAGTAACTCCACTGGTAGAGAATCTCAAAATCTTCTCAGAAATAATAGTATGGATACGCCGTATCCCTTAAAATCTACTTTGAGTCAACCTAATCTAGCGACAAAATTAGAGAAAGTTTCTTCATTCTTTTCGAATTCGCACAATCATATACAAAAGCAACGCGCACAGTTAGCAGCTCTCAGAAACGAATACTCGGAACAAGCGGTAAGGGGCAACAATGATGAAAATGATCCCAAGACGGTCAACATTGACATTCAAATTACGGACACTATGAATCTGGCTAACAATCCGGCACCGCAAAACGAAAACAATTTAAAAGTTCCTGCTATCAATTTGGAGAAATCGATATCATTGCCATTGAAACTTAAGTTGAAGTCATCAAAGTCTGCGTACGAATTAGGATCTGTAAAGAAAGTTCCCACCAGCAAGCTCGAAGTTACAAGCAATGATTCATTAACAAATCTAACAGGAACTGTACATCCACTCGACACTTGTAGCGACGTGAATTTCCGATATGGTGGAACCACGAAACTAAAGTGCATCAAACCTATTAGATTGTCTAGTCCAAGTTGTCAGGAAGATTGTAATAATGACAAACAAAAGCCTGACCAGAGGACCTCCGATCCTTTAAATAGATAACAATTACTTTCGACTGCATCTTCAAAGAGTATTTTATCAAAAAGAATCTTTATAAAAAATATATATTTAAAACGATATTGGTAAGTAGAGACACTTAATACAATCTGTATTTGATTATTTACCTCTGCGTTTTTGGATGGGAAAATTTGAAAACTATAATTTTTTATTCGTTTAATTCGTTTAATTAGAGAAGAGAAACAATTTTTTTTTAGTTTATATTGAGATCTGATAATTTTTTACAACTTATGAGAGTTAACCAAAGTGTACTAAAGAGTATAGTATTTGATATTACATTTAGAAATATCGTATACAATCAACAAAGAATCCATTGATTACAAATAAATACTTAAGATAAATACTTAAAGATGTATAAAGATGGACTCATACTATAAAGATGCATTAAAAATGCACTCATATCCAGAAAATAAGATAAATATCGAAATAAGGTACTAAGAAAAAATATGTAAAGAAATAGGTAAAGAAATAATATGCGTAACCAGTTTCAGATTGCCAAAGAAAGTGCCAAACTTTCTCTGTGTTAGAATAAACATTTTATAGTAAAATAAAAACAATTTTAATTGCATAGTTATATATACGTATGTGCATATAAGCATATATTGCATACACATACGCGTAGAGCAGCTGTGTTATTGAAAAAAAAATCATATTTATGAAAGCCATTAAAATGGCTATTATGCACTGTAAGATTCAAAGAATTATATAAGTATTACTATTTTTGCACAAAACAAGCCTTGTGATATCAGGGATAGTTAACAGTATATATACATATACTCACTCTGTTCTTTATAATGAAGAAGTTTTACTATCGTTAATACGAAAATAGCATTAGTAACATGTAACATTCATATCAAAAATGTTGTAAATTAGCAAATAGTTAAAATTAATCAATTTCCATAAAAGATACTTAAAATTGCTAGCATTTTGACAAATAGGAATATATCTATAAACATGATAAAATTATATTTTGTAGTATTCGAACCTGTGTAATATACTATTAGTAATTAATGACTATTATTTGTAACTATAGATAACTGTATCAATTTGTAACAAAGTAATGCAAGTATGGTCATATCTTATGACAAAAATAAAAGTATTCTATATGTTCCATTGTTTATTGCTATCGTAAATGTTGTTATTAGAATAGACTATATTTTGTATTAGTATTGAGATGTGAGCTATGTGAAGAGATGTGAAAAAATATTTAATACATAGATTTTTAGATTTTTTTTTGACTTGCTAATGTTATATTACAATAACAAATAAAAATATAGAGATTGTTTTATGAAATACACAATGTACAATAATAATTAAAGGAACAACATACAAAGTGATTTCTTTCTCCATTAATTCATTAAATGAAATGACTTATTAACTATTATTCTTTTCCTTTTTTTTCCATTTGGATTTTTCCTCTATTAGTCATCAATTTTTTAGAAATATGCTGTTAAACATATTTACTCATCAAAAAATATACTCATATATTTGCGAAGTATGGCTTTATTATAAAGCAATATCTATAAAATCATTATTTTCGTTCTCATTGTTTTTTGTTCAAGAATATATTGTAGAGTCAAATAAGTTGTGCAAGCTTAAAACTGATCGAATTTGTAAATCTCTGAATATTTGCTTTATTATCATAGACATAATTTAATCCACAATTAATGATTAAAAAAAATACAAAGTTCCCTTCTTTTCCTCTTAATTTATAATCCTTGTTACATGAAATTATATGAACTGAATTTTATTTCCTGAAACTACACTATGTAAGATTATATACAATTTTTATCCTTGTTTCCATTTATTCTTCAATGTTTTGTTTTTGCTATGCTAGTCCTGCAAAGAATATATTTATTACATTAAAATTCCATCAATTTCCAACTATGATCAAAAAAAGAAAAATTATTAGAAAAATAAGCACATGTATTAAGAAGCATAAATAATGAACTGATTTTAATCGCTATTTCTTATATTACATAAATTTATTGAGTGTTCTTACGTTTGCATCTGTTTATTGCCGCTGAGTACTATGTATGGTGATTGAGTTTCCTTCTGTTTTGCTTGCAATAAATTTAGCGTACCTAAAGGTGTATCTGTTGAAGACATTCGCTTCATTAAAACTTCTTGTTCAGCTTTTTTCATTCTTTTCTCCACCTAATATACATATTGAAGAATTATTACAGTTTGTGAATATTGATCTTGATTTAAAAACAAATTTTTAACAAATGTTACAATTTAATAAGTTTGTACATGCAATGTTCTTTAGAACTTCTAAAATTTAATATAAAAACCTTATTTTTTCCTGGGCCTTTTCCATGAAACTTATGCGATAGATATCTAAAAGCTTCTTTGGCGCTCAAAACATGACCATCATCATCAATATATTCAAGCTTTACATTTGGCTTGAAACTTTCCTTCTCCTTAAAATCAGACGTCGGTCCATTAAAACGATCTCTTCTGCCGAATTTATCGTCATCCCTGAAACAAAAAGAAAAATGAACGAGCAAATAAACATTTCAAATTATAAGCTCTTTATCAATTGTTCCATTTTCTTCAAAGATACCGGCTAAAAACGTGATTATATTCTGTTATTATCTCATTTAACTAAGTCTTAATGTTATAGAAGCAAGATAAAAATTAAAGCCCTTGAAATGCGGTGTTCTGAAACTTGTGTCCACTACCAGTATCAATACTCTTTATACAAATGATGCTCATAAGTCCTCAATATATTACATTATGTAAGCAATTGAACTAAAATAAACAAGTTACTTATTGAAAGTAACAATTATCGATATTGTAATATAACTGAATTTGTTGATACACAACTTTTAAATATATTGAGTTATTTAACTTTATATTGATTACCATTTACCAATGCATGTTTAGTATAAATATAAATAAAAATAATTTGTATTATATAATATATAATGATAATACAAAAATATAAAAATGGATATATATTAATGCCATGGATATGTGTATATATATATATATATATATATATATATATATATTAATATCCATGCACATAAAAATATGTATATAAATATTTCTTTTTTTTAATGTTTTTATATTCATTTAAATATTTAAATATTTAATAAAAAACTTAACTAGTTATTAAACTAGTTTAAAATGGTCTATTATCTTGGTTTATATTAAACACATGCAAATTCTATCATAATTATATATGAGACAATCATGACTGTATCATATAAAAACAAAAAATATTTTTTTTTTTAAACATCCATTGACGTTGATAATTCTGCTATTTAGCGTCTGCAGATCTTGATCTTCTCACAGTCCAAATAGACTTGTTTAAAATCATAAGACGATTTGCAGCAATTGAACCGCATAACATACCTTAACAAATCCTACTCTCTTCTCAGGTCATCTGTTATCGCCTCCGATTAAGCGGTAAACTCTTGTAGTGGTAGCGGATCACCCGTTCCGAGCACCGATTTCCGGGCTCTATTTAAAACTGTTAACTGACAGTTCAGAAATTCACTAGAGACTTGTCTAACACAATACTTGTGGAAGCGCATTCGACGTAAGAATCATTTCTTACATGTTTTTTTCTCGACAATATGTATATATACATATATTTTAAACAGGTAAGAAATTATCTTATATCGAATCACGGTAATATATGATTTACTTACCCATATGTTTTATCCTCTATTGAATAATTCTGAGCTTGCAAATGTGCAAATCGTGACGCGGAAGGTCGATTGCTATCTTCTTTTTGCAAATAACCTTTACTCATAGCTAACTTTAAAGCTCCACCTACTCCGTGTCCGAGTGACGGTTCAGCGTCTAAAATTGCTGCTTCCATTACAACTGGTTCCGAGGTGTTTTCATCTATATTTACATAGAATTCGTTAAGAAAAACATATTAATTATACATAGTACGAAGAGAAAATTTTTGTTGCCTCTTTCTTTCTTTCTTATATATATATATATATATATATATATATATATATATATATATATATATACATATACACACACATAAATTTTTACATTAATCTTTACATTAATCTATAATATACATTTACAATTAGTTTAACACTAATATATAGAATAAAATACCTAAATGTACTGTATTCCAAGCGCCACGACCATCATCTTCATCTTCATTCATAGGTGGCTCATCTTTAATTCCATCCATTTCAAAATCCTACAACATTTTAATCACAAAACGATTACAAAAATACATAAATATCAAATAATGTCATATTCAACATACCATGAGTTCTTGTCCATTTTCTTCTCTATTTCCAGCAAGTCCATATGTAGGTATATCACCCAATGTTCTACAGAATTCTGCAGTAGAATTAAGAACAATATTTCCAACCTGATTTTCCTCTGAGTTAAGAATTTCTTGTCTTATTGTTTCAACAGTTTTCTGAATACCAGCTATATGTCCTTCTTTTAAACGTTGTGCTTTCTTTAAAGCTAATTGTAACTCCAATTCTTTTTCATCTTCTTCCAGTTTTATTCCAGTAAGATCTTCTGCAGGGGCTATTAACACACACAACAATTGTATAAAATTTTAATTTTAAGCTAAATTAAAAAGAGAGAAAAAGAATGTATCATATTTTATATTTGCAGAAAAAAAAGGTAAAAGAACAGAAAAATGTACATATTATACAATATACACACAAACATACACACATATATTGCACTATATATATATATATATATATATATATATATATATATATATATATATATATATAATATAGAGTGAATAATTTAATGTTTTACTATAAAGTTTTAAATTACAATTACAATTTACAAGTGACTAATGCTCAAAGAAATTAATCTATCTCGAATAATTTCAATAAAATTATAGAGTACTTTAATTGTACGATTACCTTCTAAATCATCAACATCTAAAGCATCATTATCTTTCAAGTCTTCTGGTTTCTTCCTTCTCCTACTTCCAAGATCTCTAAGATAGTCATTGTCAACAGGTACCAAATCATCAACCTTAAATTTCTTTTTTGTTCTAATTTTTCGGATCTGAAAACATATATTTTATATCATAGTGTATCACAGAATATCATTTCCCAAAAACAAGCTATAAATATACAATTGTTTTCTGGCAACTATTTTGATGAGTATGAAGAAATATAAGAAATTTTCTACCTTTTTCTTTGGCTTCTTGAACTTTGCAAGTTCTTCTTCATTATAATATTCACTTGCTAATTTCGGTTCTGCCATCTGTAGCGTTTCTAGTCTTTTATTTGCTAAGCGTTGCTTGACTGTCTCTATTTGACGTCGTTTCAATTCTATTGCATTATTAGTACCTAATACAAAATTGTCTTTCTTCTCTCCATCGATTTCCTCATCATACTTTTCCAAGATCTTATTTTTTGGAAATCCATGTTCATCAAAATTTTCATCAGCATATGGATCATATGTAGGTTTTCTAATTTTATTTAAAACACTACGCTTGTAGCGTTCATTATCAACCATATTAACATTCACAAGTGAATCAGCATTTTCCTCTAATACCTCTTGATCTTTTAATGTCAAAATTAAGGTTTTCCCTTCTTCAAATGTTTCCTAGAAAAAATATTGTTTGTTTAAAATTTATTACAAATTTAAAAAAACAGTGATAAACATACAGCTTAGATTTTTTAAATTTATATATATCCAAATTTATTTGTGTAATTAAACTCTATTCGTAATAATTAATAACATTATATATATTTAATTTAATTTACTACTTACAATATTATGTTCAACTTTAAGGCCTTTCAAATCCTTTTCTGTATATGCTGTATTACGCGCAGTATGTATTTCCTCTTTAACCAAATTACCAATTCCAAATTCTTCATCCAATTGATCTAACATCTTTGCCTTAAATTAAAATAAATTAAAATAAAGTATTTGTAAAGAATATATAATCTGACTTTAATAAAAATATAATTTGTAAAATATATGTATATGTAAAATATATATATGTGTGTATGTGTGTGTGTGTGTACTAATAGTACTATAGCACTATAGTACTAATATACTAATATACTGAAAGTACTAATTACGAGAATTATGAGAAGTATTATGAAAGATATTAAGATATTACCCTTTGTTCCGCTTTCTTTTTCTCTTCTTCCAAGTGTCTAGATTTGTTGATCCATGCTTGAGTATCGTCATCAGAGTCGCATTCACCCAAATTTTTCACTTTTGACAAATTTGCTTCAATCTGTCTCTTCTCTTTTTGAGTACCTATCTTGTCCCTTAATTTCTGTGCTCTTATTTTCTCATTATTATTTGGTGCAGGTTTATGATAAAACTCTCCCAAATCATCCTTGATTTTATCAGGATCATCTTTCGGTGCATTATCAATCTCTAATGGTTTCAATCCTAACTTCGCACGAAGTTTATTAGTTTCCTCAATAGATAATGAAGCTTGTGATGCTCCACCTTTAGCCGGAGATGGACTGCGCTGTTTAGAAATTTCTGGTGGTGGAGGCGTTGATGGATGCGATAATTTCGATATTTTTGGCGGTGGTGGAGCATTAACAATCTCAACTGAAAACGAAAGAAAAACATCTTATACTCCTGGTAATATATAATATAATCTTGCATAAACATTCTTTGGACCGAATTTCATACCATCGCTGTCGTAATCCTTGCGCTCTTTCCTCCTGTGTTTTTTGTGATGCCTGTGCTTTTCTGATTTGTCACGATCGGGTGTATAGCTCCTAGAACGACTGCGATGACGCTTCTTCTTGGCGTCGCGTGATTTCTCGGTTTTATGACGTTTATTCGAGCCCATATTAACGATTTTTTAACTAGCCGCTGTGGAATTTATCGTTTATTATTATATGATTATATCACTTTAACTGTTTATATTCTTATTTTTTAACTCCGAATTTGTTAATCAATATATATTCCACGCACGCAAAATAATACTATTGAGCTTCGTCAAAACGTTTCCGCCATATTAAATTATAAATTATGCATGTCCTTGAGTTACGTTCCAAAATTTACTCTTTAGAATTTAGAGTAGAGGGAGCGTCCCGTTTGACCACGTTGCGATTGACCACAGCCAATTATATCGACCTGTGCCTAGGGTAACCAGCAACGATTAACCAATCAGAAAGTCCTATTTTGAATTGGCCAATTGGCGACGTGGTCAATCGGGTGCCACCCAGAGTAGAATAGCATTCGATTGGCCAATCAGGACAAAGAAACTTTTATTCTGATTGGTCAAACGTTATTCTCCAAGAAGTAAATTTTTGGAACACAGCTCTGCACATGTGTACTTTAGGACGTTCATAGCGCTAATTAGAGCGCCGCTCTACGGAAATGGTGATAAGCAGAAGTATTTAAAAGATATTAAAAAAAACAGTCGAAAACACATCCGGAATTATCAAAAAAACTACGCTCAATTTTAATCGTTTATAGCTTATTCTGAAAAATTAATAATTTATCTTAACAAAACATATGTAATAACATTATATATTATATTTTATAACAATTGTAATAAAATGTAATAAACATGTTTTATTCATATTTTATAAATGATTTGTATATATACATGTATATACAAATTTTTAATTGATATAAATATGAATATACTATGTATATATATATATATATATATATATATATATATATATATACACACACTGCAATACCTTGATTATTCATACATTTTTCATACATAATTTGGCACATATATCGTTTCGTTTAGCTTCTGCAGCATTTGTTTCATCATATTCTATTTTTTCTTCTTGCAGTTCTGTTTCTTCTGCATCTAGAATAATCAATTGCCCTTGTAATTCATCCTTTTTTAGCAAACAAATGTTGTGCAATACACAACATGCCAGTATATGATCAGAGGTAAAATCCATGCGACTTATTGCCAAAACATGTAATAGACTTCTCCAACGTCCTTTTAAAAGAGCGAATGCTCGTTTGATCATTATTCTGCCAGAAGAATGGCATAAATTATAATTCCTTTGTTGTTTTGTGAGATTTTTGTCATCAGGATATGGAACCATAAGATGTTCATGCAATCCATAAACAGCATCTCCAATTAAATGTGTATTATTTGGAAATTTATTTGGATCACTGATATATTTTTGAAGAGCGGAAAAACGGAAAGCACAAATATCATGATCTGAATTTACATTTCCTAAGAGAACATGTGTGAACAATTTTGTGTGATCACAAGTAGCCTACAAAAAATGCAATACATAATTTGTTAATTATTTATAAATAACTTTGTCACAATAAATATTAAATTAATGGTTACAATTTATATAATAAATAATACAAGTAATCATGTTATAAAAGTATTATATTAAGATATTACTTGAACTTGAATTGAATAATGGTTCTTCTGATTGGCACAAGTCTCTGGATTATTCTTGGATGAAGGAATATTAATATGGGTACCACCTATGGCACCAATGGTATCAGGAAAACCACTTGCACAAGAAAAGCCATGCACAACATTCCGTATTCTATCTCCTGTAGGCCACACAATATATTTTGAGGAAAGCTCGCGTAATGCTTTAGCAACACGACGCACGGATCTTACAGCTGTGCCTTTACCCACATTAAATCGTTGATTTATAGCACTAAAGAAAAGGAATATTTTTTTTATATGTAGCTATATTTAGATTTAGCATTACAATGATCTAAATAATTGCAATACTTGCCTATATGAATCTGTAGTTGCAAAACGCCACAAACTCAATAGCAGTTGCTTATCTGCAGACACCATTACATTTCCATCAGTAGTGCGAATTAATTTCTCTCCAATCTCATCCAGAATAAATTCAAATGTTGATGGTAGCATTCTGGTAGTGGATGGTAGTCATCAAATAAATGCATATTGTAAATAATATGAATGAACTCTTTTCACAAATTTTTAATTTTCAATTAAGGCAGTATGCAATTAATACATACTTAAAGTGAGATTTGAATTGTGCACTGCTAAGTGATGGAATTATATGTTCGACATAATCTTCAGTCCGTTGATAATTTCTTGTTATAGAAACAGTATCTGTAATTCCTAGTAAATCTTGTTCCATAATTAATTGTAGAATGCTCGCATTTTCATCTTCATAAATATAAGAAGATGGTTCAAGGAAAGTCCTCACAACGCACATTAATGCAACATCCACTTCCATATTTAAAAAGATATAATTTGTTCGTTGTATGTAGAATAGAAAGAAAGACAATCTCCTTATTTTGAAGAATTCTGAAATCACTGTAATATTACAAATATATATATATATATATATATATATATATATATATATATATATATATATATATATATAATTATTATTGCAACTTTATCGCATCTATATATTTTTTTACCACTATTCTGAAAAGAATTGGCAATGTTATCCAGTAAAAGAAAAAATTATATCATATTCTGTCAATCTGACATTTATAATGAATCAAAGCATTGATATCTGAAATGAAAATGAAAAATCCATTGATACTGTCAATTGATCAAACTATTTTTACAAATCGCCAAACCATAGACATGTAAAATACATAAACGGAGTCTATTTTCAGTAATGAGGAAGATTTGCGATAAGGGGCATAAGTACAGGTATAACCGAATTTATCCGAAAGGAACCGAAGAAGATCTCGCAATTTCGATGCAGTCCGTTTGCATCTATCTTTATCCCCCTCCCTTACCTACGATTCAATGTCAACAGTTAAGCTTCCATCTTTGTATTTTATGTCCTATGGTATTGATAAACACTAGTGAATAGACAAACATGGTTTATATATATATATAATATTGTATATATGATATACGATAAATAGCCGTTAATCTCGGATATTTCAGAAATATTGTATAGTACTGCAAGTGTTACACGTAATTAGTCATATGACGATAACGTATGACACATCCGTCTTCATACCCTGGGAGTTAACGTAGATTGCGAATCGTTTTTGCGCACTTTGTCAAACATATCGCAATGGCTACGATAACTTGTTTATCTGACGAAGTGATCAGCATCATCCTGGGAAATGTTAATATCAGCATTGAGGACATCATAAATTTTGCTTCCACATGTAAGCATTTTCGCAGCATGATCAATGATGACAACATACTTTGGCAAAACAAGCTGTATCAAAGGTATTAATCTTTATCGTCCTCTTATTGTTTTAATATTGTTTATACTAAATCTATTGTATAGATAAAAAAAAATTGTTTTATATGCTTTAACCAATTTATTTGACATAGAATGTAATGAATTGTATTTTTTATTTTCCATCGGATATATGTTAGATTTATATATGTGTAAAACAATTCAATTTTCATTCAGCAAATAAGATTACAAGATAAAATAGATTTTTAAAAAATGGTAAATTGTTGAATAAAATTCTTGCATTAAATTTCTTGTTAATGATGATAAACGAGTATATAAATATTGATATTATTTTATTAATCAAATTGCTTGCACATATATGTATCATATATGTATAATGATAGATATACTGTTATTTCCTTATTAGATTTTTTATTATGGCAATCTTGTAAATATAGCAATCATTATCTCAATATAAGTGATGTTTTATTTATTGATATCATATTTTATTGATTCAATCATTATTGCAAAAAAATTTTTGTACATTAGAAAAGAAAATTATTATTTTATACAATTTTTCTAATTGGTTTGAAATATATAATTTTTTCTTATATGAAATCTTTGTTGATGCAATTGCTTTATTTACTCCGAATAATATTATATATTTAAAAAATTATAATATTAATCTTATATCTTAATTTTAGATGGCCTAATTTGAAGAATATTTATGATAAACGAAAATGTGTAGGACATATAAATTTTAAAAAAGAAGTAGAAGCAAGTATAATACGTAGGAAAGAATTATGGTGTTATGTGAAGCAAATGTCTGAATTGCATTATTATAAAGATGATCTTTCCAATAGTGATATGAAGGATTTCAATTCATTATTCCATTTAGATAAAAGAACACATTTTATGAATCATTATTTCATCACAGATGAGATAATGAATTTTGTTGAATCATCTTCAAGGTAAAATTTAAATTCTTTATATATTTTAGATCAAAGTTTGGATTTATTGTACAGTTAATATGCATATTTTTTAGGGACATTAATTTGACACATGAATATTACCTCAAGAAACTTGTTCCATATCTGCGACAATGTCATTTAAAAGTGATATGGCAAAAATTTATAAATAGCTCTGATAAACAACAGCTTTTAGAGCAAGCAGCTATTTTTGTATCTCAATGGTATCAACCCAAAAAATCTCTATTCTATCCATATGTAACAGCATCTTTGGAAAACATTGCACAGCAGGTATTGGAATGTCTTAAAAGAAAACATCCCATGCATTCAATTTTCTCGACGCCCACTGAATTGTTTTCTTCTTGGAAATATAATAATATTGATGATAATCAATGGGATAGCATAGAGGGGAAACAGATTATAGATACGCTTCGAGAAGTTTTATTTGATGAAATAGGTTTTTCCGGAACACTATTTGAAAATCCAGAAATCACTTCAAAATATATCCTTATAGATCATGTAAGTTATAAATTACGATTATAATGTTATGATTATATTATACTGTAAATAACTCTATACTTGTTGTTCATAAATATTAACCTCTTTTTGTTGTGATTTCTAATCCATAGGTTTTAGAAAGAAAAATTGGTAATCCTATATCCCTGGCAATAATATTTGAAGCTGTAGCAAGAAGACTTGGCATACGGTGTGATATAATCTCTTTCCCAGGTCATTTCTTTTTAAGTTGGAAGTCAAAATAGTAAGCATAATATTAATCTTCATTTCACTTTTCTCGGCTTTTATTTTATATATATTCTTATTGTGTTTACAGTAATACAACAAATTCCGAAGATAAAGAATGCTTCTATATTGATGTTCTACATCGTGGATCTATTCTAAGCAGGAATGATTGTCCCAAAATTCGCGGTGCTAAGAAGTGTCCTGTAGAAAATTTCAATACATATAGCAAGATTAGTGCTATAGAGGTTGGCAATTTACACACACACACACACACACACACATATATATACATATACATATAGAATTTCTATTAAGTTTAACAATACTTAATAAAAATAGTAGAAATAATAATTAATTGCAGAGAGAGAGAAAGAGCGAGAGAGAGAGCGAGAGCGAGAGCGAGAGATTAGCAAATATATTCTGAATTAATGAATGTTTCATAGACAATTAAAAAAAATAATATATATTTTTTATTTATAAGTAAAGCTTAGCTTTATATATATATATGTATATATATATATATATATATATATATATATATATATATTTGTTTTAAGGTAATGTTGCGGATGATCAATTATTTGCAAAAAGTACATCATTATACAGAAACGCGTTCATTATTAGAGCTTCAACATTTGATAGAACCAGATAATGTAGACACGATTATGCAATTGGGACACTATTATATGCAATATCAAATGGATTTATCAGACCTCATGATTAAATTGACAGAAATACAGGTACATGAATGAATTTATAGACAAAAAAATTTTTCTAGAGATCTAAGATTTTTTATTTTTGATTTTCTACAATGCAATAATTGTTCAATATAATAATATAGTGATACACTTAAAAATATTTTTTTTAGTTTTTCATATAAACATTCTTGTATAAATATATATATGTGCGTTCACGCACGCGTGCACAAATAGAGTCCGTTGCAAAAAATATTTTTAAATAAATATTGTATTTGTATATATTTACAGATTAACTGTAAAAATATTAGATGTGCAGAAATAAGACGCGCGGAAATGGTACTGGATAAGTTCAGGAAACATACAGAAATATTTGTGGTAATATATATTGTATTATAATAATTATTAATATTTATACATTACAAAATTGAAGATTTTTTTATTGGTATTTTACAAGAGATATGTAACTCAAGATTTAATCTTACACACTGTTTGATATTTTTATTTTTATATATGTATTCCTAACTTCATTAATACTTGGCATGAATACTGGCATGTTTGGCACATATCGAACAGATATATACAGATATAGATAGCAAAGTAGTTTTATTAATGACTGATGATTTGTATTATTTATAATCACTAATTATCTATAATTTTTAAGCTGATATAGAAATTAATAAATTTTATTTATCTTGAATGCATCTTGTATCAAATGCAAAAGAGATATTAAATTTTGATATTAATCTATATATTTTTCTTTCTAGTCTTGTAATAAAACAAATCTTGTAATTAAACAAAGAAAAGAGCAAAGAACAAAGAAAATGATGTTCAAGATTGGAATGATTGTGACATGTCATAATAAAGTCACATCTCGCTCTTCGTCAGGTGTAATTATTGGGTGGGATGAGGAATATAATCCGCGTGTGGAAATGGAATGGATGCAATGCAGACCTTTATATAATCGTCCTGTTCTTGGACCAAATACTCTATCACAACCATTTTACAAAGTTCTTTGTGACGAAGATATAGCGTATTACGCCATTGAGGGTATAATCAAATTATTAAAAACACCTTATATATTTGTATATTTTTATATATTTATTTATTATTATATTTTTGTATATTTTATTGATGCATTTGTATATATCGCATGTTTGTATATTTATTATAATCTTATCTACATAATGTATAAAAAAATATACTTCTTTGTCTATAGATGCTCTGGAGAAAAAATCTTTTCCAGCTCCGATAAAACATAAAGAGATTGGTCGATATTTTTGTAAATTTGAAAAGGATTATTATGTACCAAATGAGATGTTGGCAAAACATTATCCATGCGATCTACGATAATTAAGGCTCGATAATCAATCATTTGTATTTTTAACTTTTTTATCAAAACACCTATAGACCTTATAAAATGTGCTGTCTTTTTTTTTTGCTAAATGAATAATTTTATTGTATAATTATATTAAGTATTAAAAATAATTAGCTAAATAATGATAAAAAAGTGAACAAATACGACATTTTACAATTCATTGAATATGATAACATGAGAAAAACCTTAAATTTTTTTTATTTCTTACACATATTGCGAGAAAATTTTATATACGATCTTTTTTGTGTATTTAAAACAAGAAATTCATATATTTAATATATAATATAATATTAATGTATTTAATATATAATATATTGTTGATATTATAATATGATTAAGTTATACATAATAATTATATTAATTAATTATAATGTATAACTGAATAAATAATAAAATGGAATCTCTTAAAAGTAGACCATATAAGGGTATTGATATATCTCTGATATAACAAGATTCATTCCTGTTATGTTGAAAATCATAGAAGATATTGTTTCATATGATTACTCGCGAGATTTGCATGTTTTTTCGCCAGAAAAGGATATTGCGCCTACAATTCTGTGTTTTGCAGCGCGACTGGACTGTTATTTCTATACTCGAAAGTGATTTAACGCGAAGGAATGCAATACACTCTTTAGAAATATATGTTTGAGAGATTTCAATTTATATACAATTTGTTGCGAAACATATAGTCGAACAAATTGAAGAAACAACATAGTTTTTTTTTATTTCATATAAATATATTTGGAAGGACATAAAATTTACATGAAATGTAGCATATGCAATACAATGTTTCTAAAGTTAATAGATTGTGTACATAAAAGAAATTCTGCAAATTTTACGAGGAATTTTCTATTTTAACTTCCTGTTTTCTTATTGTTTACACTCTTTCACTTTATTTGAATTTTTGGATCTATGTGCCTATCTTTCTATATATTTTTATATTTATCTATGTCTTATACCATCAAAATTGAGCAAGTATTGTGATATGTTTTACAAATACTCTTCTTTCTTATAGTATAATCTTGTACAATATAATTTTCTTGTACCATATCCTTTTTTTAGTATAAAAAGTATATTCTTGTATCTTATAATTAAATATATACATATTAGGAAATTGTTGATTATTTTAAAGAGACATTACATATTTTATATATATATATATATATATATATATATATATATATATATATATATATTAAAAGTCTTTAATATATTACGTACTTTACGCATTAAATTTTTGAACAAAATTATGGTTTGATTAGAATTTCATTATTTTTATTTTCTCTCTCTCTCTCTCTCTCTCTCTCTCTCTCTCTCTCTCTCTCTCTCTGTGTGTGTGTGTGTGTATATATATATATATCTGGGTATATATATAGTGATCTGATCTCGTCTAATTGTAAGTCTGGAGCCAACTATCAAACTGTGCGAACGCATGTTTTGTGTGACCGTTTTGTGATTATTCAGTAAGTTATTGAAGTCTTGTATAAAATCGTTGTTAAATTACCTATTAATATTCCCTTTAAAAATCCTTTTAACAGTTGTATTATTATTTACGAGTATTCAAGTACCGATTGGTTGCATCGATATATTTTGAGATCACTCCGCGTTGGTATGTACCTATATAACTAATTTGTAAAACGCACTTTTTCTATTAACTCATTATTTCAAATATTTGAAAATGAATAGGAATAGGCAAAAATTATATACAATGACACACAAAATTTAATTTTAAAACGTGTAAATCATAAACATTCGTAGTTCTCATAAAGTAAATTTAAAATTAAATTTAGAATAGTATTTATATCAAATATATGAAATGTAATTAAATATTTTTAATTATAAATTGCTTCATATTTTCGTAAAATCATAAAAATTAAAAAATTAATAATATAATTTTGCACTTTTTATTAATTTTCTTATATGTTTGTTGCAAAACAAATTAGGAGTACGATTAATTTGTATGTATACTTTTCTTTGCTATTATTATTAATTAAGTTATGTACATTAATGGGAAAATATTTTGCGCAGTATTTTTTGTTATATTATATAATTTTATTATAAAATCTCCTTAAATGACTCGTAAGAAAAGTATAACTTTCGAATCACGATTTTAATGAAACTTTTGCGAGGGTGTAATATGTACACTGCGCGATAACGATTCGTTCCGTGGTCACTCTCTCGCGGGGCAAGAGGAGCGTAGAAGTGACCAATCAGCTGGCAGCGTGGCAATGGCTGATTGGTTAGAAGCTACGCTCTTCTTGCCTCGCGAGAGAGACCTTGGAACGAATCGTTGTCGCGCAGGTGTACTTATGTAACTAATTTGTAAGACGCACTTATTCTATTAACCCTTTCGTTACGAGCGGTGACTATAGTCACCCAACAATTGATACTCGCTATGTACGAACGGTGACTGTTGTCACCTTGCGCCTGACGCTCGCTATTTTTATTTTTCGCATACCAATGGCGACTTTAATCGTTTGTTATCGTCATGGTTATCCATCGCAAGTGTTATATATTATGTATTATGTGATAATTTTTTCACCTTTTCTTTTCTACGGGCAATTGCAGATCTTCCGCAAGTGCACACTTTCGGCACAGCGGCTCGTTCAGCGGGAAAAGCGCGCCGAAAAATCGGCCCGTAGCGAAAGGGTTAATTCATTATTTCAAATATTTGAAAATGAGGAATAGGCAAAAATTATATATAACGACACACAAAATTTGATTTTAAATTGTTTATTTTCAAAATTAAACACATTTACCCATATAGAATATTACCACATTATTATTATATATAATTATATGTAAGAGTTATTACACTTATATATAAATATATATATAGTCCTGTACTCTATTATTTATAATTATACACATTTTTGAAAAATTATATATAATTTTGTACAATTATATTCAATTCTGCATGAATATACATGAAAAATTTTGTACCGGGATGATTTATGATTAATCAAATATAATGAAATTGCTTATTTTTATTTATTATAGATGAAAACTTGCGATGTTCGCGGAATTAATTGGGGTTTTCATCGTTGCTTTGATTATTGTGTATACTTATTATAAGTATGTGTTATTTAATTACTGGCGCAAAAGAGATATTTTTTATATGGAACCTGTTGTGCCAATTGGTAATCTCGGAGCTGTAATAACTAAAAAAGTATCAATAGGCGAGTATATTTTCTTATAATATTAATAATGCATTTATTTCTACATAAGCAATTTTTATTATCTCTAGTATTTTTTCCTTTTTCCCTGTTCTCTCTTTTTATTTTATTTGAAACGAAAAGTAAAATTGGACAAAAACTTTTTAACAGGCGAATTCTTCCACGATTTATACATAAAATATAAGGAACATCGTGCCTTTGGAATATACGGGTTTTTTAAGCCAAATCTGATAATTACTGATCCTGATCTTATTCGAATAGTGCTTACAAAGGAATTCAAGAAATTCCATGATCGCGGAATATTTTGCAACGAGAAGATTGATCCAATGACCGGTAATTTGTTTACACTGCCCGGGAAGAAGTGGCGGAATTTGCGCGTCAAGTTGACACCTACTTTTACTTCCGGAAAAATAAAGCAAATGTTTGCGATTTTGAAAATGTGCGGCGATGAATTTACGAGGAATTTAGAAAGTGTGACTCAAACAGGAGATTTAATCGAAATAAAAGATTGGTTTGGAAGGTAAAATTTTTTAGAGGGAAATTCTTTGTATGAACACACACACACACACACACACACACACACATATATATATATGTATATACAAGGATTATTTAAAAAAAAATTACATATAAAGTTTTTTTTTTAATATTATCGTAATAATTTGTTGAAAATGTATTCGTAGATATACAACGGATATAATTATGTCGGTAGCTTTTGGAGTCAAATCCAATTGCATAAAGGAAGGCGACAATGAGTTTCGATATTGGGGGAAAAAGATCTTTGAAACACATCCCTTTTGGACCGCATTATCTGTGTTCATGCCCCAAATTATGAATTTCTTTTCCATTCCTTTCCATAAACGAAGTGTCACCGATTTTTTTATAAAAACGTTTCGAGAGAATATGGAATATAGGCAAAGTCATAACATCATTAAGCATGATTTTATGAATCAGCTCATACAACTTATGGAGAAGGACTACGTTGAATCCGATGATATGAAAGATATCAATAACTCTTGTAAATATGTATATATTTGTTTTAAATATCTTTTTATCATGCTTATCTTGTCTTTTAAAATTAATTTTGTTTTAAAACATAATACATACAATTCTTATTTTAATTAAATATAGACAACGATATGTATGTATCTAATAAACATATTACATAAAAAGACTTAATGTTTCTTTTAAAATATTTCTAAAAGAATATTTAGAATATTTCTAAAAGAAACATTAAGTCTATTAGTATAAAAAAGTATATTTTTTATATTGAATCTGTTATACAATAAAACATTTTGTGTATACAGCAAACATGAGTAGACTCACTTTGTTAGAAGCGATTGCGCAAGCTTTCGTCTTTTTCGCTGCTGGCTTCGAAACTTCTTCGACAACAGCAACATTCTGTTCATACGAATTAGCTCAACATCAAGACATACAGGACAAACTTCGCAATGAAATCGACGAAATATTAAAAAATCATGGTGAATTGACTTATAATGCTGTGAATGAAATGACATATCTTCACAAAGTAATAAATGGCAAGTTGATAATTTATATTATTTATATTTTGCCGTAAAGTCATCGGACTCATTTTTATTAAGGTTCCTTTACAAACAGATTACAAAATCTATTTATAAGTGGGAGTTTGCACACACACTGATCCCATACAGTACAAAACATTGCAGCAACATTGCGATAATATTCTGTGCAATGTTTTGTGCTGTATGGGATGTTTTTTATATATATGTATAAATAAACATGCTAATAACTGATTATATATTTCAGAGTATAATTTTTTTTATATCTTTTTTACATATTCCAGAAACAATGAGGAAATATCCGCCTCTACCTGTTTTGAATCGCATCTGTACCGAAGAAATAAATCTTCCAACGACAAATATTCATATTCCAAAAGATATGTTCATTAGTATACCGGTACTCGGATTACATCGAGATCCATTGATATATCCAGATCCTGATAAATTTGATCCTGAACGATTTAACGAGGATAAGATACCAACTAGACATCCTTACACTTATTTGCCATTTGGAGAAGGACCGCGAATTTGTATCGGTGAGTGTAGAGAGATAAGTCTTTTCTATCTAATTGATAAAATCTGTTTTTTCATCATTTACGCGAATTTTTTTAAAATTTTTTATCTTATTAACTTCTTATATATATATATATATATATATATATATATATATATATATTATAGTAATTTTTTATTAAATTATCATGAGAAATAAACAAATACATATATAGATTAATACATATATTTCAAAATATTTAATTATTTAATTAGATGCTTAAATATATACATATATTTAAACATCTAATTAAATAATTAAATATTTTATTTACAGATAAATATAATATATTTTTTTAAATCTTTTTTTCAAAAGTCTTTTCTTCTTAATATTTATTTGTGATATTAGTTTAGCAATATAATTATTGAATCATTATAGAATCAAAACGTTTAATGAATAAATATATATGATTTAATTTAAGAAGAGTTATATAATTATTTTTTAGCATTTTCTACCTAGCGCTCCCATTTGTCTCATTTTGAATTGTTTATATTGTAATATTTAGAGTTTCATTTATTATTATAATATATATATTATAGTATATATATTATTGAATAAATTGTATATGATTATTTATGATTATGATTTATTAAGATATTATAAATATAAATATATTTTCATTACATATTTTATTTAGAGATGCTATTAACTTTAAATAATTTTAAAAAATTCTAAAAAAAATTTATATTTAATTATATATAAATTATATCAATTGTTTTACTATATAATATCTGTGTAACATCTTACTATGCAATATCTATAACACAAATGCTATGTTCTGTGCTATATGAAGTATTACACTATTATCTTATCAATGTATCAACCTTACATTTCATTATTACTATTAATTTTTAGGTTCGAGATTTGCTTATATGCAAACCAAGCTTGGACTTATAAATCTTGTGTCGAAATTCAAATTCGAACTTGATCCCCGAACTATGATCCCGCTAACTTACGATCGAGATTCCTTTACGCTTGCGCCCAAAGAAGGTGTATATCTTACCATAAAGCCGCGATGAAAAATAATATAATAAGCACTCTTGAATATGTTTAAATTTATTTATTCAGAAACATATATATGTGTCACAATTATAATTTTACTTTTTATAGTATATTTTACTCTTGTTATTTGTACTATCAAAGAAAGATATTTGATAAACATTTAACTTTTTATGAATAACTTTTATGAATTATTTTTAAAAAGATATAATATAGAGATGAAGATGACATTGCAAATTTATCTTATAAAAAAATAGACAGATATTAAAATATATATACATAGTAAAAAAAACTTGCTATACATATGTTTATATGTTTATATTATATATATATATATATATATATATATATATATATATATACCTACCTAAATAAATGCAATGTTAAATTAAGAATTACCTATTAACAATAATTTTGTCGTGAATATTCAGACAATTTTTTATAACATAATATGTAGGGGATTAATTTTTCTCTATTGTAAGAATAATACATATTAATTATTTAAAATATTAATTATTTATAAGACATAATTTGATAACATGCTATCAAATTATGTCAGCAGGTTTTGTAACATTTCTGCTGATATTCTGTTATCATGATTTGATATAAAAAATTTTTTATACAATCTGCAATCTTACTGTCAACAAAAATTTGTAGCAGAAATTGACAAAATCTGTTTAAACAGATCTGTTTAAACGGACAATTGTTTCGCAGAAGATAATGCTGATTTGAATTCTGTACTTTTTTCAGAACTTGAATCTTAAGAAATTATTTTTTAAGAAATTGATGTTAGAAATATAGATCGATTAGTAATACAAAAAAGAGCAGTTACGGTTTGCAAATCAGAACAGCTTAAAAATCCATTTATCAGAAAAATTCAACCGTTCGAATTATCTTTCATTTTTTTGGTCACTCAAGAATGCTTGTCATTAACGTTGACAATAAAGCCTGCGACACATCAATTTTTCGTACTAGATCGCGTATGAGACATATTACTAGCAGTCATATTGACGATACAACTTGAAATGTTGCGTGATACGTGCTGTGCGTGCTAACATGCTAGTTTTTGGTAATAGGTTTGGTGCTATTTTTACTACGTGATGTGCTACTAGTGATAAGTTTGATGGGCGATATATTTTTGATTACAATTACAAAAAAAAATAATGATAAAGAATAAAAAAGATAAAAAAGTAAATGTAAAGATATATATATATATATATATATATATATATATATATATATATATATATACAGGGTGCTTCCGCAACATACAGATCCGTAAGTCGGGTTGCCTATCTGACTATCGGTCTTCTTTTACCGACCTCGCATAATTGAAAAATAATAAAAACATAGGATTGATGTAATTTTTTTTCGTGAAAAGTGAAAAAATTCCTTGAATGATACCTTGAATCCGTAGGAAATAAGGAAAGTGAAATTAGCTTTTAACATTGATATAGTGTAACTGTAAATATTTAATAACATAAATAACTTAAATAACATTAATAACATAAAATAACACAATTGAAATATAATAACACAGATAAAATATAATGAATTACGGCAAATTATTGTTCGAATTTTCTTCTTCATCGGCTTGATGAATTACTCGAAAATGTGCCACTAGCAAATAGATTAGGAATGATATTCCAACAGGATGGACATCCCGCTAATACTTTTTTTTTGGCGAGAACCATCCTGAACCAAAAATTTCCGGGAAAATGGATTGGACTATATGGTCCTCAGGAATGGCCACCACGCTCTCTCGATCTTACGCCGATGGATTTTTTTGCGTAGAACTTTTTGCGACAAAAAATATATAAGAATGTACTGCAAGATCCAGAAGATCTTAAAAATAAAATTCGAAACTCGTGTGCGGAAATCATTCCTCCGATGATTCGGAGAGTAAGGAAAAATTTTATGCGGAGAATTGCTTTATGTTTAGAAGAGAATGACGGTTACATTGAGCATATATTGTAACCATTAAAAATAGCTTTTGTTTAAATTCATTATATTTTATCTGTGTTATTATATTTCAATTGTGTCATTTTATGTTATTAATGTTATTTAAGTTATTTATGTTTTTAAATATAATATTATTTATGTTATTAAATATTACAATTACACTATATCAATGTTAAAAGCTGATTTCACTTTCCTCATTCCCTACGGATTTGCATTCAAGGTATCGATCAAGGAATTTTTTACTTTTCACGAAAAAAAATTACATGATCGATCCTCTATTTTTATTATTTTTCAATTATAATATAGCGAGGTCGGTAAAAGAAGACCGATCGTCAGATAGGCAACCCGACTTACCGATCTGTATGTTGCGGAAGCAAGATCCCTAGACGAGATCAGATCACTATATATATATATATATATATATATATATACACATACATATATATATATATATATATATATATACATATATATATACATATATATATATATATATAGTGATCTGATCTCGTGATCGATACCTTGAATGCAAATATATATATATAGTGATCTGATCTCGTTCAATTGTAAGTCTGGAGCTAGCTATCAAACTGTGCAAACTCATGTTTATTTGTGTGCCCGTTTTGTGATTATTCAGTAAGTTATTGAAGTCTTGTATAAAATCGTTAAAATCGTTAAAATACCTATTAATATTTCCCTTTAAAAATCCTTTTAACAGTTGTATTATTATTTACGAGTATTCGAGTGCCGATTGGTTGCATCGATATATTTTGAGACCGCTCCGCGTTGGTATGTACCTATATAACTAATTTGTAAGACGCACTTTTCTATTAACTCATTATTTCAAATATTTGAAAATGAATAGGAATAGGCAAAAATTATATACAACGACACACAAAATTTGATTTTAAATTGTTTATTTTCAAAATTAAACACATTTACCCATAAAAAATATTACAGCAATATTATTATATATAATTATATGTAAGAGTTATTGCACTTATATATAAATATATATAATGTCCTGTACTCTATTATTTATAATTATACATATTTTTGCACAATTATATATAATTTTGTACAATTATATTCAATTCTGCATGAATATACATAAAAAATTTTTTACCGGGATTGCAACAACATTGCAATATTACCGCAATATTCTGTGCTACATAGGTATATGATTATAAAAATGAAATTACTTATAAATAAATAAAAATAAATGAATGAAATTAATTGTCCGATTTATCGACAAAACATAAACCACGATGATATTCATATAAGCACGAAAAACATAATTATTATTATTATTCATTAAAGTTCGTGCGGACGACTCGAAAATCATATATTCTTCTTGTCGATATGAATATATTATATCATAAAAACAAAGAAAAAGAAACGTCATTGGCATATCATTTATAAATTTACATTTTCAAAATAATCCCAGACAGCATACATGTCCAAAAGACATCTAAAAAACGACTTAAAAACATCTTAAAGTCCTCTAGATGTCTTTTAGTCTTTTTGTGCTATCTGGGATAATTCCGTACTCTTATTGCGCATGCGCTTCAATATTTTTTATATACAATATTAATAAAAAATAATTATATAACGAATTGTTCAAGCAAGCAATAAGCATATCCACGACTGCAATATCTTTCAGTATTTTAGTAAAAAATATTGATAAAAGTATATTCAATACATTCAATAGGTGACTTATACAGTGACCGTGACACTCAGAAATATATCTCACAAACAATTGATTGCTTTTTGACGGAAAAATTTAAATGTTTCTTATGTAAAAAAAGGTAATATTGTGATAATTGCAATAAATTTTTTTAAATTTAACATATACAAAATATTTCAGATGAATTTGCATATTTTTATAATAATAAATTATTTATTAAGTCAATTTGTAATATAAATATGCAAAAATATTATTTATTATAAGTTTTTAAGTTTTAATATCTAAATATTTAAATACTCTCATCGAGTTAAGTGTCAATCAAGTAATAATATTATAAAATTAAAATTAAAGTAAAACCGATTTATAAACAAAAATTAAATAACATTTTTTATATTAATATGATATTTTTCTCATAATCCGCACAAAAGGAAGAAAATTATAAAAATCAACTGTTTTGATTTCTCTAATAATAAATTCAATGTTCAATATGTTAATTTTTTTTATTGGTTTTACATCTGCCTAAATATATTTCACATTTTTATGATTCTAATCAAATTAACGAATTTGATTGTATGACTTGACTTTAATCAAATAATATACCCGGTAAAAAATTTTTCATATATAATTAGACAAAACTGATTATATCTAGTTATACAAACTTATATATCAATTTTGTCCATATAAAAATAGATATGCTTATGTATAAATGGATATGAATATATATATTTGTATATTATTATATAAAGATATATTTTTATAATCCCGGGAAAAAAAAGTCCATATAAAATTGGCCATATATGGATTTTGTCAATATCATCTAATTATGTTTTGCCAAATATAGTCATATATGATATCATATATGAATAAATATTAAATTATACATAAATAAATATTCTGAATTCCAATAAGGAATCCAGCTCGGAATTAAACTGATAAACAGTGATGTCAAAGAGGATGCGCGGCTCACATGCACATAGAGAACATATGTGTGAGCAGCGTCCTCTCTTTCGCACCACTGCTAAGGGAAAAAAATATACTTTAGATCTTACGTTAATACAAATCTTTTATATATATTTCATGATTCAAATATTGAATACAAGAAAAACTAAGAGTGATGTTGCCGCGTAGCGGCAAATGAAGAAACATGTCGCGCATACGAAAATCGAGTTGCAGCGTAGAAGTCGCCAATTTAGAATATATTCTTATTCATTAAGAATTTACAATTTTTTCGGTGTACCACTTAGCTGCTTCTATAATAATATACATTTAATTGTTGTTTTTAAATACTGCATAATAATTAATTAAATATATAATACAAGATATAATTTTTAGGAAAAATTATATTTGTCTATATAAAAAAAGGTAAAATCATATATAATCTTAAATGATTATATATAATATCATATATGATTTATATCAAAGCGTACATGAAACTAATCTTTGCTTTGGTTTTATACATGCTTAAATATGATATCAGTATCTGACTATGTCTGATTGTTCAAAATGACGTGAGGTATCTAATATCATTTTTTATGATCCGAAATGGTCAGAGATGGACATCATATCTAAGCATATACAAAAACGTATGCTCTGATAAAATCATATGTGATATTATATGTAATCATATAAGACTGTATATAATTTTACTTTTTTTATATAAATAGACATGGACTTTTTTTTCCTGGGAATCATTAAGCACAAAACAAAATGTTTCATCTATCCGTTGTTCATGAATGCATTGAGGGAAAAATACATATAATTATATATTAAACTAAATCCATCTAAATAGAAAACCATGTATAATTATACATAAAACATTGTGAACATTATATACAAGTATGCAAAATGCGCACTTATATATAATTATATGTAAGAGTTATTGCACTTATATATAAATATATATAATGTCCTGTACTCTATTATTTATAATTATACATATTTTTGCACAATTATATATGGTTTTGTACAATTATATTCAATTCTGCATGAATATACATGAAAAAAATTTTTCGCAAATACAAATGTATAATTGTACAAAAAATTTTGTACCGGGATGATTTATGATTGTAAGCAAATATAATAAAATTGCTTATTTTTATTTATTTTAGATGAAAACTTACGATGTTTATCGCGGAATTAATTGGGGTTTTCATCGTTGCTTTGATTATTGTGTATACTTATTATAAGTATGTGTTATTTAATTACTGGCGCAAAAGAGATATTTTTTATATTGAACCTGTTGTGCCAATTGGTAATTTCGGAGCTTTAATAACTAAGAAAGTATCAATAGGCGAGTATGTTTTCTTATAATATTAATAATGCATCTATTTCTACATAAGCAATTTTTATTATCTCTAGTATTTTCTCCTTTTTCCTTGTTCTCTCTTTTTATTTTATTTGAAACGAAAAGTAAAATTGAACAAAAACTTTTTAACAGGCGAATTCTTCCACGATTTATACGTAAAATATAAGGAACATCGTGCCTTTGGAATATACGGGTTTTTTAAGCCAAATCTGATAATTACTGATCCTGATCTTATTCGAATAGTGCTTACAAAGGAATTCAAGAAATTCCATGATCGCGGAATATTTTGCAACGAGAAGATTGATCCAATGACCGGTAATTTGTTTATACTGCCCGGGAAGAAGTGGCGGAATTTGCGCGTCAAGTTGACACCTACTTTTACTTCCGGAAAAATAAAGCAAATGTTTGCGATTTTGAAAATGTGCGGCGATGAATTTGCGAGGAATTTAGAAAGTGTGACTCAAACAGGAGATTTAATCGAGATAAAAGATTGGTTTAGAAGGTAAAATTTTTTAGAGGGAAATTCTTTGTATGAACACACACACACACACACACACACACACACACACACACACACACACACACATACATATATATACATACAAGGATTATTTAAAAAAAAATTACATATAAAGTTTTTTTTTAATATTATCGTAATAATTTGTTGAAAATGTATTTGTAGATATACAACGGATATAATTATGTCGGTAGCTTTTGGAGTTAAATCCAATTGCATAAAGGAAGGTGACAATGAGTTTCAATATTGGGGGAAAAAGATCTTTGAAATACATCCCTTTTGGATCACTTTATCTACGTTTATGCCCCAAATTATGAATTTCTTTTCCATTCCTTTCTATAAACGAAGTGTCACCGATTTTTTTATAAAAACGTTTCGAGAGAATATGGAATATAGGCAAAGTCATAACATCATCAAGCATGATTTTATGAATCTGCTCATACAACTTATGGAGAAGGGCTACGTTGAATCCGATGATATGAAAGATATCAATAACTCTTGTAAATATGTATATATTTGTTTTAAATATCTTTTTATCATGCTTATCTTGTCTTTTAAAATTAATTTTGTTTTTAAACATAATACATACAATTCTTATTTTAATTAAATATAGACAACGATATGTATGTATCTAATAAAATTACATAATAATCTAATAATCTAATAATATTACATAAAAAGACTTAATGTTTCTTTTAGAATATTTCTAAAAGAATATTTAAAATATTTCTAAAAGAAACATTAAGTCTATTAGTATAAAAAAAGTATATTTTTTATATTGAATCTGTTATGCAATAAAACATTTTGTGTATACAGCAAACATGAGTAGGCTCACTTTGTTAGAAGCGATTGCGCAAGCTTTCGTCTTTTTCGCTGCTGGCTTCGAAACTTCTTCGACAACAGCAACATTCTGTTCATACGAATTAGCTCAACATCAAGACATACAGGACAAAGTTCGCAATGAAATCGACGAAATATTAAAAAATCATGATGAATTGACTTATAATGCTGTGAATGAAATGACATATCTTCACAAAGTAATAAATGGCAAGTTGATAATTTATATTATTTATATCTTGCGTTAAAAGTCGGACTTCGGACTCATTTTTATTAAGATTCCTTTACAAACAGATTACAAAGTCTATTTATAAGTGGGAGTTTGCACACACACTGATCCCATACAGTACAAAACATTGCAGCAACATTGCGATAATATTCTGTGCAATGTTTTGTGCTGTATGGGATGTTTTTTATATACAGAGTGTCTGCTAAACATGCGGCAAAAATTCAGGGAGTGATTTATTGGGTTATTTTAAGACTTTTTTGTTATCTGATGATTTTCGAAAAAATGGTTTGTTTCGAAAATAAAAGCAATAAAAGTTTTTTGACCAATTTTTTTTTTTTTTTTTTCTTGTAATTTTCAATAATTTTGTTAAAAAACCTGTACCGCCTGTTATCTATGGAATAAAAAATTGGTCAAAAAACTTTCATTGCTTTTATTTTCGAAACAAAGCATTTTTTCGAAAATCATCAGATAACAAAAAAGTCTTAAAATAACCCAATAAATCACCCCCTGAATTTTTGCCGCATGTTTAGCAGACACCCTGTATATGTATAAGTAAACATGCTAATAACTGATTATATATTTCAGAGTATTATTTTTATATTTTTTTACATATTCCAGAAACAATGAGGAAATATCCGCCTGTACCTGTTTTGAATCGCATCTGTACCGAAGAAATAAATCTTCCAACGACAAATATTCATATTCCAAAAGATATGTTCATTAGTATACCGGTACTCGGATTACATCGAGATCCATTGATATATCCAGATCCTGATAAATTTGATCCTGAACGATTTAACGAGGATAAGATACCAACTAGACATCCTTACACTTATTTGCCATTTGGAGAAGGACCACGAATTTGTATCGGTGAGTGTAGAGAGATAAGTCTTTTCTATCTAATTGATAAAATCTGTTTTTTCATCATTTACGCGAATTTTTAAAAAATTTTTTTATCTTATTAACTTCTTATATATATATATATATATATATATATATATATATATATATATTTTATAGTAATTTTTTATTAAATTATCATGAGAAATAAACAAATACATATATTTCAAAATATTTAATTATTTAATTAGATGTTTAAATATATACATATATTTAAACATCTTATTAAATAATTAAATATTTTATTTACAGTTAAATATAATATATTTTTTTAAATCTTTTGTTCAAAAGTCTTTTCTTCTTAATATTTATTTGTGATATTAGTTTAGCAATATAATTGAATCATTATAGAATCAAAACATTTAATGAATAAATATATATGATTTAATTTAAGAAGAGTTATATAATTATTTTTTAGCATTTTCTACCTAGTGCTCTCATTTGTCTCATTTTGAATTGTTTATATTGTAATATTTAGAGTTTCATTTATTATTAATATATATATATTATAGTATTATTAATATATATATAGTAGTATTATTAATATATATATAGTAGTATTATTAATATATATATTATAGTATATATATTATTGAATAAATTGTATATGATTATTTATGATTATGATTTATTAAGATATTATAAATATATTTTCATTATATATTTTATTTAAAGATGCTATTAACTTTAAATATTTTTAAAAAATTCTAAAAAAATTTATATTTAATTATATATAAATTATATCAATTGTTTTACTATATAATATCTGTGTAACATCTTACTATGCAATATCTATAACACAAATGCTATGTTCTGTGCTATATGAAGTATTACACTATTATCTTATCAATGTATCAATCTTACATCTCATTATTACTATTAATTTTTAGGTTCGAGATTTGGTTATATGCAAACCAAGATTGGACTTATAAATCTTCTGTCAAAATTCAAATTCGAACTTGATCCCCGAACTATGGTCCCGCTAACTTACGATCGAGATTCCTTTATACTTGCGCCCAAAGAAGGTGTATATCTTACTATAAAGCCGCGATGAAAAATAATATAATAAGCACTCTTGAATATGTTTAAATTTATTCAGAATGTATCACAATTATAATTTTACTTTTTGTAGTATATTTTACTCTTGTTATTTGTACTATCAAAGAAAGATATTTGATAGACATTTAACTTGCTAGTTTTTGGTAATAGGTTTTTGGTAATAGGTTTGGTGCTATTTTTACTACGTGATGTGCTACTAGTTGTACGATAAGTTTGATGGGCGATATATTTTTGATAACAATTACAAAAAAAAAATAATGATAAAGAATAAAAAAGATAAAAAAGTAAATATAAAGATATATATATATATATATATATATATATATATAATATGTTTTATTTAAAATTATAATGGTAATAATTGAATATGTGTATAATTAAATTAAAAGGGATGGATTTTTTACTATCTATTACGAAACGTAATTTAAAAAATTTTATTAATTCTTTCATAATAAATAAACGATAATGATAAATATATTATATTTCATTAAGTTTTAATGTCTGTGTCCCGAAATTCATTACCAGTAAAATATATAATACATGTTACGTATATTATAGATTTTTAGTACAAGATAAATCTGAACGTGTGAAGCCAAAACTAATAGCATTCTTATGATTGGAGCAAGCAGAGCACCCCGCTAAACAGCATGTATCGAATCTATTAACAAAACCAGTAGGAAAAATCGTATCGTAGGCTTAACATTGTCAACGAAATCTACGCGCGTTAACCAATCAGAATATCCCATTTTATTGCATAATTTGTGACGCGTCTTTTTGGGTGACGCATTGGTAAGATTGCTCTATTTTGGATGAAACCGCGCATTTACCATGACGCAGCCCGCCGATAATAAAATGATATTTGTAAGTTCAAAATTATCAAAAATAATATTTTTAAGTTCCAATTATTACTCAGATATTTGATGGTGTAGCCAAAAGATTGTAATTAGTAGATTTTGTTATTTTTGTTGTTTGTCATGCTTCGCCGTATTGCTTGACATAAAAAATAGTTGTTTTTTAAACTCTTATTTACAATTTAAAAAGTATCACAATTAATGCAAACATAATACAAATGTCTATGACAAATGTAAATTAAACTAAAACGATTTATTTCGGATTATTATGAGCAAGTTAAAAACATAAAATGTCTTGTTGTGACGCGTTTAGTGTGAATAAGCACGACGCTGTTTCAAAACTTTCGTCACGTCGCGTCATGACGCGCTGGCTGATGCGACGCGAGACGCGCTCAGTGGAAATTCGGCCTTACTACATACGTGATTGGTCAATTTCTCCAGTGATTCTTTCGGGTGGCACCCGATTGACCACGTCGCCAATTGGCCAATTCAAAATAGGACTCTCTGATTGGTTAATCGTTGCTAGTTACCCTAGGCACAGGTCGATATAATTGGCTGTGGTCAATCGCAACGTGGTCAAACGGGACGCTCCCATTCTTTCGCAAGTCAGATGCGGTCAGGACGTAATTGAGATACGCATATCTAGGTATTTATGTATCATGACTCAAAAGTTAAATATAAGGCAAATAAAAATAATAATACGTAGATTATATATATTAAAAATTAAGCAGTGAAAATATAATTAAAATGAATTTTTATTAGTGTAATCATAACACATGTGCATAAATATCAAGACGTAATGTGTATATATGTTAAATGCAAATTCATGCAATAGGACAGTCGAGTGTGTGCATACGTAAGTATTGAAAATCTTTTAATATTTGACAATATTATTATAAAAGAAAAAAATTAATGAAACAGAAGATTAGAAAAAAAACAGGAGAGAAAGATGAATAGAAGAATATAAAGAATAGATAATAGAAGAATAGAAAAGTATCCCAGAGGAAACACAACAATAATAAATTAAAAAAACAGGCACTTACAGTTTCCTTTATAATTCTATTCATCTTGATGTATATTTAACTTGAACTAGCATTTGTAAATTTATTTTTTATAATTATAACTTATTAAAATTTATATTAGATTTTAAATAATTTTTGATTTCAGTATTATGCATTTGCCTGAATTTCCAAAACACTTTAGCGCTGATATGGTGAATCTAGCGGAAGACAACGATGTTGTGTTAAGTTACCACAATTATGTGGTAAGATCATCTGATGTTGCACTATTGGAGAAAGATGACACATGGCTCAATGATATCATAATAGGGTTTTATTTTGAATATTTGGATCAACAATATAAAAAGGATAATAAGAGACAATTATTATTTATTGATCCTGGAGTGACTCAATTATTAAAGATGCAAGCTCCTTTACAGTATAATATATTTCTTGATCCAATTGAAGCAATAACTTATGATTTTATATTTTTTCCTTTGAATGATTGCGAGGGAAATGAGCCAGGTGGCTCACATTGGAGTTTATTGATATTTTCTCGTAAGGATGAGATGTGTTATCATTATGATTCATCAAACAGTATTAATAGATCTGTCGCAGAAAAATTTGCTAGGAATGTAATCAAATATTTTCTTAATAAGCGAGAAAGAAGATACATTGAAATGGATTGTCCACAACAAAATAATTGCTATGATTGTGGTTTATTTGTTTTATGTTTAGCAGATTTAATATCCAAGTATATTCTAAAAGGTTTAAAAATAAGTGATTGTGATTATAGTATAATTACAGAAATGGTCTCAAAGAAGCGTATGGAGTTATTAGGATTGATTATGGATTTAAGAAATATACATGATAATGAATAACAGAATTGTGCTATTAATATTTAAAGTATAATTAGGCATATAATATTTTAGTTTTAAATGATTATACTTTGCTTCTATATATAAATCTGTTACACAGTTAATATAATAAATCTGTTACACAATTTATCTTAATATTAATCTTTCATTATCATACTTGACATTTATATATGTATACAAATTTTGACATTGCTGTATATCAAAATCTTCATTTATCTATAATATAAAAACGATATAATGTTTATTTTTACGATTAATTAGATATATATTTTATATGAATATTTATAAATAATGCACAATATAATATATAAATATTTTATGCGTACAAAAATGTTAAGAATTTAGAAATTTATAGATATATATCATATATAGAGATATATTTTAAGTATATTATATTTTTTAATATTGCATTAAAAATAAAACTTACTTTTATAAATGGCTATAATACGATGCATGAATTACCATGTCACGTGTAACATCTTTTACTGATGTGCAGCCTGGAAAAATATTAGCCAAAAAGATTTCATTAAATTAAAAAGAAACATAAAAAGTTAAAAAAATAAGAAATGTTAAAAATTATGCTTTGACTTGCCAGTTAATGCGAATGCTAGATCGATTTCTCTTCTCATAAGTTCAAGAATTTGATAGGCACCTTTTTCACCATCGTACGTCAAACCCCATAACATTGGTCGACCAAAGAATACCTGAGAAAAAAAGGATGCGATCAATTGATGAATGTAAAAGGTATAAGCACAAAAAACTTTGGCAGTGATTAAAAAAATTACATTTGATCACAAAACGATATTAATTCATAAATTGAACGAAATCGTTCAAATACTTTCGCGCAAATCTTGTATCTGCCACTCGATAAATTCATACCATTTTTGCGCCCAGTGCCAAGGCTTTTAATACGTCGATACCCTCAGTCACTCCACCATCCATATAAATTTCGACTTGATTTCCTACGGCTTTGCTTATTTCAGGTAATACTTCAATCTGCGGATATGATTATTTTGAATAAATTCATATATGTATATATATTATATTTTTTTATTTCATTGTTTAATATTCTTCCCATAAATTCCTACAATTTTTTTCAGCAAGAATTATAAACCAACCGTTGCTGGAACGCTGTCTATTTGACGTGCACCATGATTCGAAACGATAATGCCGGCGACCCCACTTTCCACGGCCAAATGTGCATCTTCTGCCGTTAGAATTCCTTTGAGAATTATCGGTAGTGTTGTAGTTCTACAACAAGTCAACTAGAATAATTCTTGCATTTAATATGCTTTGCATAAATCAAATATGAAAATGGCTTCTTAAATATAAAGAAATGTTACATGCCATATATATGTCAAGATAAGAAAATTTCCACTAGTGATACGAATACCTTTTAAGCCATTTTACATCATCCCAGGACAAGGTCGCATCAAATAGTGAGTTAACATATTCACTAAGACCAGAGCCGATTTTTGCGCTGTTTATTCGTTGTGATAATTCACCTTCGAAATTTGCAAATCTAAAAAATAATATAAACATTCCATATATTTATGTAATAATGTAATAATGCTTATAATAAATTTTATGTAATAATTTAAAATATAATGGAATTCATAACATAATAGAAATTCACAATTTTTATTTTAAATATGCAAAATGATTTTGATTTTCTTTCTTCTTTTTATAAATATTGAAAATATAATTTAGCTTTCTTTTAACAGTCATACATTCGTTGCATTATTTGTTCTCTTCAGAGTTAATAATAAATTTTGTAACTTTCATTATTTCTCATTATAATTATATATTTTTGTATTTTTTAGATATTTATTTGCATTCAATGTTCTCTGTAACACATTTGGATCACGTACCTCAAGTGACTCGGTAATGCGAATTTATTTTTTATATCAGGGCGTCTATCGCCAAAGAACGGCGCATCGATAGTAAAAACCAATGCTTTGAAACCTGCACGTTCGGCGCGTCTTATCAAATTCAGGGTAACATTTCTGTCGTTATAAATGTAGAGCTGGAACCATTTTATACCATTCGGAGCAGCTTCCGCCACTTCCTCTATGCTACTCGTCGATATCGTCGAAAGAATAAAAATCGTCCCTGCTGCTTGAGCAGCTGCAAAGCGATAAAAAGATGATGTAAACATTTTGGCATGAGAATAGCTTGAATAATCTAATGGATAAAAATTAAATTTATTAATTTCATTTGTTCAGTATCTTGTAGAAAAATAATTTTAGTTTTGTTTAGTTATTTAGTTATTTTAATTTACTTTCCATTTCTATAATTTTCGTAACGCTATATCGCATGTCACACTTATGTATACACACACAATTGTACTACGCTATTTGTGAACTAATTTTAGTATCCAACCAATTTCACCTGTGTGATTATATCACGAGCAATATGCAACATGCGACCTATTATTACATGCATCATTCGTTTAACACCTGTTGGGTGACCTCTTTCTAAAAAAATAATAGCAACTGTAACACCTCTGTTTCTTTCGTGTATCTATCATTTCTATAATAAACTCGAATCATTTTATTCATACAAGCATTTTATATAGAAAGATTAGAAATTTAGAAATTCTAAGTATAATTATCAATCACTCTTTGTCAAATATATTAACTAATATTTAAAAAATATATTCATTGAATTATTGGAAGAGCTCGAATTAAATATTCACTATAAAAGAATTCGTGAATTTTATTTTATTTTTTTTTATAAAGCAATCATCATTTAAGTTCTCTTTTTGATAAGAAATATTTTTCCGTTACATGAATGTCCTCAGATGTGTGAATGGCTATATATAATAATTTTCTTAAAATTTATGTTATATTTAGCTCGATTGTGATTGATGCCGATCGGCATCAAAGAACCGTTAAGATTGCAAGAAAGCGCAAAAATGCGTCAAAGGAGAACACGCGCGTGTTAACCGATAGAGAGAACCGAGAGAACGAGGTTTTTTCTAGAGTGCACGCGCGAGAGAGATCCTTGGCCGATTCCCGACTAACGTTAAATCAGCCTGGTTTCTTTCATCTATGGGATTTGATAAAAGCGTTTAAATTATAAAGGGATCCCATATGATCTGATACTTTTTGGAAGTTAAGTTTGTCATGATCAATAAGCAATTTAAAATGAGATAAAAAACATTACATGTAAATATGATTATTATAACATGAAATGCTAAATAATTCTTATAAAATTGACATAAGGAAAAAAGTACTTCATGTTCCTTACTGATAAACTTTTAATTAAATTTTTATGTTAAATATATTAATTTTTTAATAAAAAAAAGTCCTTTTGTGACACTCTTTATATTCCACGCGCATGCGTAAAAAAACCGGCCTGGTCCAACCGTCCAACATACTTTCCGATCTGCAGATCCGCTTCAGTCATCGCGTGGCAGTTGCGCGTGTGCTGTCAGGTTTGACGTTTACGGCTTGTACGCATCGCGCTAACAAAAGTACTTATCAGGTATATCGCAGGTGTATCGCATCCACCGAGACGCCAGGACCAGGAGAGAGAGTTGACGAGGAGGTGTCGGTCTGAAACTCTTTCGCCGACCGCAACGCGGGCAAATCTTTGGGGCAAATGACGTTGTCACATCGCGGCGAGCTCGTCCGCCACGTATGCGAGGAGAGGTGAGAGGTCGAGGTTAAGTCCTCGGGAGGCCGGCCCGCGACATGCTTCTCTCGCGAAGATGAGACGGAACGTGATCAGCCTAATCAAGTTTCTCCTCCTGGCGATACTCACGGTGTTCCTGACCATCGTGGTGTTTCGTTACATGCGCTCGCCGTCTAACCGTCAAATCACGACGCCGCTTGACGTATTGGCAGCGGCGGTCGCCATCGGTCCGGGGAAGAGTCGAGGGAGCGATGAGCATCAGGTAGGAATAGGACAGGTAGAATCGGTAATACCTCATATTCTCATATTTAACTCTCTCGGAGACATCGCGGCCAAATGGATTTTAATTCATAACAAGCAAATAAATATATAAAAAAAGGATATTTTGTCTTTTTAATTTAGTTTTTCTTTTTATAAAAAATCAGAACAGATTTTACGTTAATTGTCAAATGAAGAATTGGAACTGGCGTATAATATTGAATTTGATACGGAAAAAGAAAATTGCTTATCAGTAGCTTATCAGTTATTTTATATCGATGTTGATAAATATCTCTTTCGTAGATTATATGCCGAAAAGATTATATAGAATCCTACGTACATCTCGAAAATCCTCTTTCTACAACAGTTAGAAAACGAGTTTTGATTGCAACTGGTCTCTCTTGCATTCTTAGTGACCAGGAATGTACGAAGATTATCAGGCACCCAGATCTATTGTTAGCTTCTTTTTTCTTGTGATGATAAAAATTTCATTTTTCGATATTTAACATACTTTGCATCATAGACAACATTGTTACTTTTTTAAACATAAGAGAAAACTGAAAATTATTTTTTGAAATTTTAATCTATATAAATATCTATTTAATACATCTATTAAATACATATTTAAATAGAAAAAATTAGTCTAGTATTAAATAATTATTTGTAATTAACGATTTCTATATTTTACAGGCTGACAAAATCGATTGGCATGACTACAAAAAGATTAAGGAGGAGGAGAAACGAACTGGAATGGGAGAACACGGAAGACCAGCCTTTCTTTCGCCATCCCTTGATGCACGAAAGGAAAAATTATATCAAGTAAATGGATTCAATGCCGCTCTCAGTGATGAGATCTCATTAAATCGTTCAGTGCCTGATATCCGTCATCCAGATTGTAGGAAGAAGAAATACTCGAAAAATCTAGATCCGGTCTCTGTGATAGTTTCTTTTCACAACGAACACTTTAGCACATTGATGCGAACATGCTGGAGCGTGATTAATCGCTCACCACCCTCTCTCTTGGAGGAAATTATATTGGTCGACGACGCCAGCACGAAAGTGGAGTTGAAGAAGAAGTTGGACGATTACATTGCACAATACTTGCCAAAAGTATCGATTGTACGATTAGCAAAACGTTCGGGATTAATCAGAGGCCGATTAGCAGGCGCGAAGGCGGCTAGAGCGAAGGTTCTCGTATTCCTGGACTCGCACAGCGAGGCTAACGTCAATTGGTTGCCGCCATTGTTAGAGCCTATTGCTCAAAATTATAAAACCTGCGTTTGTCCGTTCATTGACGTGATCGCTTATGAGACTTTCGAATATAGAGCGCAAGACGAAGGCGCCCGAGGGGCATTCGATTGGGAGTTGTATTACAAACGACTTCCGTTGCTTCCGGAGGACCTGAAGAGACCCGCGGAACCGTTCAAGAGCCCCATAATGGCGGGCGGTTTGTTCGCCATCAGTGCCAAGTTCTTTTGGGAGTTGGGTGGTTACGACCCAGGCTTGGACATATGGGGCGGCGAGCAGTATGAACTATCTTTCAAAATCTGGCAGTGCGGTGGACAAATGTACGACGCGCCATGCTCCAGGGTTGGCCACATCTACCGCAAGTTTCCGCCGTTCCCTAATCCCGGCCGTGGCGACTTTCTAGGAAAGAATTACAAGAGGGTCGCAGAGGTGTGGATGGATGAATACGCGGAATACATCTACAAAAGACGACCGCATCTACGGGCGCTGGATCCGGGAGATTTATCGGAGCAGAAGGCCCTGCGCGTGAAATTACACTGTAAACCGTTCAACTGGTTCATCGAGAACATAGCCTTCGATCTTGTGGAGGTTTACCCGCCCATCGAACCGGACGACTTCGCCTATGGAGAGATTAGAAACATGGGCGCGACCGAGTTATGTTTGGATTCGAAGAAACGGAAGAGGGACGAGCTTATCGTGGTGGATACTTGCGTGAAGGACGATCCGAAAGTGTCGGGTGAGCAAGAATTCCGACTGACGTGGCACAAGGATATCAGGCCGAAGGATCGCACAGATTGCTTAGATGTGTCCCGAGGTGAGGAGAAAGCGCCTGTAAGCTTGTATCCTTGTCACGGGAAACAGGGAAATCAATTGTGGCGCTACGACATTGAAAAGCAGTGGTTGCAGCACGGTTATTCATCCAGATGTTTGGATACCGATCCAGGCAGCAAGAGAGTATTCGTGACCACGTGCGATAAATCGTCGCCCACTCAAAAGTGGCGGATAGAGCAAGTTAACATGAAGGCCATTAATAATTGGGAAAACATAGGACCCAAGCTCAAGTGAATTATCTTTTCTCTTGTACTGCCATTTTCTTAGACAGGTAGGCCGGATTCCTATTCATAGAGAAAGGAACGATCCCTTTATTCCTGGTTACTAGTCATCACAAATTTTAATTTGGACAAATATATTGCGCTTGTGTTAATCGACGACAGACAAGAATCATCGCCCGATCAAAATAATTTTGCACGTAGTGTAAAGCGAAGTTTTCGTTCCTTTAGATACGTAGATTGGATATCAAGCTTATATCGGCGGATGTATCTATACATATCGTATAAGCGCTCTATCGTGCCTTACATTACATAGCCATATGCAAAAATGTAATACGAATCATAATCTTAATATTTAAATTTTGATTTAAAAAATCACAAATTAAAAAATATTACGGTAGTCATTATATCGTTTTAAAAAATATGTTGCTTATTAAGCAGGACTGATATATTTCGTTTATTATAATGTAAGTTATTGAAACAAAACTAACAAAGTTTTAGATAGTTTATTGAGAGAAACTGGAAACTAATACAGGATGAGTTACATAAATTATTACATTATTTTCTCGAAGATGTGAAAGATAACAAACATTTTTTTCTTTTATTCGTTAGACTTTTTTAAAATTTTCATTGTGTGATATATAGAATGTATAATTGGCACCTCTAAAGAGAGAGCAGAGAAGGATAAGTCTTCCTTTTTTTAAAATATTTTAAATTCTCTTCTCATTAGAGGAAAAAGGAGAGTAGTGGCCTATATATTACACAAAAGAATTCATTAAATTTTAAAATTTTAGAGACAAATTCTTTTTGCTATCTTTAAGTTTTCGAAAAAGGAGCTTATATAATATTTCATGTAACTCACCAGATAATAATCATATAATTTTTCCTACATTATTTTATATATATCATAATCTATATCTGAACAAATATTATATTATGAATTATTTTTTTATCTAACGATAAGTAGTTTATTTTGATCAGAAGATATATATATATATATACGATTTCCTTACTTTTAATACATCATGTAAATTATAGAATAACTTGAAATGCGAGATATTTTTTTTACAATAAAAAGATATAACACGACAAAACTAGAAAAAACATAAAATGCATAAGAATGTTTTTCTCTTTTAGTAGTTTTTCTTTAAATATGTATATTTTTTAAGTTTTACTTTTCTTTAAAATTTAATCTTTAATTGAACACACTCTTGTCTCAAAAAATCTTTTTATAATTTATAATAAAATAAAAATACGATTATTTGTTATTGAAAAAGTTATTCTGTAATATACTCGAAACCGAGAACTTGAAAGTGGAGCATTTATCAGACATTGCAACAGAAATAAACAAAAGCATTTAAACTATATATTTAGTTGCTTTCTATTTATCAATATACTTGTTTATATTTGAGCATATATGGATCAAATGTGAAGTGATAATTGCATAAAAGAGATATCGTCTGTGATCATTGGTATTGAGCTAATCTTTCATTATTATTACTATTTTTATAGCATATTTATATATGATTTTAATAGAAAAAAGATTTGCATTAAATTCTTATATATATTTTACGATAAATATAAGTCAATCTGATAATAAAGAAACAATATACGCAATAAAGTTATAACTCTAATCAACAATTTTATGCTGATAATGATATTGAATAAATATTTCGTAAAATTCCTACTTACCCCTTGCATTGGCACATTCTCCATCGGGATGCGCCATACGTTGCATCGCAGTAGGTGCGACTCCCAAGGGCATTGAAACTTTGTGTCCCAATACTGTTGTGCTTATATCTCTTTTTGACACGTCTCGTAAAAATCTAGGACGTATCCTGTAACTGCGAATAATTAAAAATTGAATAATCATTACATGAGAGTTGCATATTAGAAATATATATTATTATATATTCTTTTTACATAAAAGTACTACTTGAGAAATTATGCAATATGAATATCTAGCTAGATTGTGCATTTTGTACAACTTTGTAAATATTTTCCAATTATTTGCAAATTATCTCTTTTATTTTTCTCTTGAAAGAATTTTCATTGATATCTGAGATAAGCATTAGATTTATACTTTTTGAAAGCCTCCCTATTCAATTTTAGGCTGTACTCATCTCCTGCACCGCTCTTGTAATAATCCCTTATGGAGGGAGGCAAATGTTCCAGAGCATATTTCTCATAATCGTTGACACACACATACGCTGCCATTTTATTGAGATAAAATGATATTAATATCGTTGCAATCTGAAACAAAGTATTGCTATAATATTTTATCTTGAAAAATGGAGCTATGAAAAGTTTGTTTATAAAAGCTTATGAGTTTTAACATATGTTCTCGTTTTTTAATTTGCATCAGTATGATAATTTTAGAAATATTTCACATACATAGACAAGATCAACCAGTATTTATCGAAAAAAAAGAGAAAGAGAAAAATTGATATATAATTTAATGTATAATTTAATATATAATTTAAAATAGTATATAAAATAACAATATTATTGTATAATATCATTGCAAATATGCAATAATGTTACACAATGAATGTGCATTGTAAAAGAGAAATCGATAAATAAATATGCGTTAATTATAATTAATCACGCTGAAGATTATATAAAATATGTATGAAAGATCAAAATTTCAATGATTAAATAAATTTGATCATTTTTTAATTTTGTTATGTCAATAGCTGGCGCGCACTTTACTTCTGAAAATTTACAGATAAACAAATACGACTTAGCGAATGATTTATCAAAATGCCTTATATATATGTACCGTAGAATTTCAGTTACATTATGATTCTTATTTTAAAAATATTCTTATTATAAAAATATTACAGAGACATAAAGTCACATCATTTTAACAAGATTGCAATAATATTATAGTAACGTTTTAAAAACATTGTAAAAATATAAGGCATATTAAGCTATATTTCTAAAAAATAAAATACAGAGACTTCTGGTAAATTTATAATCTGGGCTTCCATCTTATAATTTTTGTGTCGATACGATCATATTAGAAATCTTGTAAAAAGAATTATATTTATTAATAGATGGTAGTTTATAGCATGATAAGAGATCGAGATAAAATGTAATGCAACGTAACAGTTCAGATGTCATTTTTATTTGATTGCAATTCTAATTTTATTGATAATGCAATATACAATATTATTATAGTTTCGATCGAAAGTATTCCCAAATAAAAAACGAATTAACTTTCATCTATCATGTTAAGAAATTCATAAGAATTACAAAAATCGAAGAGACTTACCAAAGTCCAAATAATTCACTGTTCTCATCTGTTCATCCCGATCACCAACAGACGACTGACTGTTCTCATACATAAACTGGTATACAGATAACATATACATTGGTTCGGTCATATAAAATTTTTACAAAATATCAGTTATCTCTCTATCTGTGTGTCTTCTGAATCTCTATTGAATTCTTCGACTGTCTTCTTTCAGTGAGTACTTTCCGATTCACGCATGATGCGCATGAAGTGACAGAAAATGTATAATATGACATGAATTATATATTTTCTGTCACTTCATGCGCATCATGCGTGAATCGGAAAGTACCCAATGTTTAATTATGTTTAAATATTCCGACAACAGTCATCGTATATTAGAAATCATACATTTTTCTGTCACTAATAGATTCTTGTCGAATATAATTAATCACATATAATTCAAATCAAACTGTCAAATATAAAACTATCTAATATTATACGTCACGTATGCGTCTTAATATGAACAATTTATTAAGCTTGATCATTCCCAATTACAACTTGTCATCGAAATTTATAATATTACGAAATAGAAACTTGCAGTTTCACATTGATACTATATTTTAATACTTATATATATCAATATAATATATTTATAAAATAAGAAAATTCGAAGAAAAAGAGGAAGGAGAATGAAACGCAGCCATCGCATATCTCTGTTTAAACTTTACTTTATTACATTCTGTTAGAAATAATACACAAAAGATTCCGCAGGCAGCAGAGGTCTCCTTACTGCGTAACACGCAGGACACACGTGCGGGTATTGCTCGTTCGTGAAAGCTCCCCGCGAAAATTGGCAAACCGTCGCCCGCAACCCCCCGTGTTCATGTATTTACGTGTGTGTGTACATACGTGTGTTTATATATGCCGTGTGTATGTGCATTTTTTTTTTTCATTTGAAGTCACCCAGCGACCACGCGCGCACGCCAGCATCTAATTAAGAATATACACAATCTTAATAATTATACTTATATTTATATGTATATGTATATATATATATATGTATATCGAAAGAGAGAGTCTGCGAGGGACCATAAATAATCGCGCGGGTCGGCGGCGTGAGAAGGGTCGCAGGATCGGTTGGCGAGTTGTTTACGAGCTCGATAAGACGAGTTTAAATGAAAAATGCCTGCATAAATGCGCCATTTTCTTTTTTTTTTATGGATATGTAGCGCGTAGGGTGACCTGAGCGCTTCTGTTCTTTCACTTGGGGCTTCCGGTCTCGCAGAGATTCATCTCAACGAGACAAATCTATCTCTTCGTTTTATTCTCGCCTATCAAACAACACGAACTAGAAGAAGGCATCCTCGGTAAGACGTCTAAAGGACCGATAATTCCTGCGATCTTAATATTGTCGGATCTATTAAATCCTATAATATTTTGTGAGATACACTTGAATCCTAGTATTCCTTTCTTACACGTCCTTCAGACGTTTTCCGGACGTCTTTTGGATTTTTGTATTGTTCGCGTTGTCCTGTAGTTCTAAAAGGACAAGCCTCTCGATCGAGTATCCGGGAAATACGCGAAAGACAAAATTATGAGCAAGAACGTGAACTTCCTAATTTCTTCACCCGGTTCGTTTTTTTTGTATCGCAAAACGGCTGATAATTTTTGACGAAATGAAGAATCCAACAAAAATATTCGTAATACACACGAATGTATCTGATTATCTCGTAAATAACGTTCTTGTATAAAAAAAAAAATATCGAAATTAGTAAAATTAAATTGAATATGTGATGGTAATAATTTTAAACAATGTTATTTTTTTTCATCATAAGAATAATGTATGTAAATAATATATGTGAATAAAAATTTTTTTTATGCATACGCTTGCAACGTTCATCTCCTCCTTAAAAATCTGTCGCGAAAATTGTTTCGAAAAGTCTTGTCATTTTTCTTCGTGTTTTCTATTACAACAATTTAAACTAACAGTGCGTGAAATTTCTTTCGTCGAAATACATTGACCTATATTTATCCGTGATATTTATTTATTATTGTATAGGTACTCGAGCCGAAAGTTCGCAAATTAACAGATCTTTCCTTTTCACATTTTTCTCGATCTGTTTATGCTATATTTCTCTCATCTGTTACAAATAAATCGGATGGGAAATGAGTCGATTCGAAAACGATCGAAAATCGCATTGCCTGTCAGCGTATTCTGTCTTTACTTTAACATCCTAAACAACACAGAAGTCCAAAAATCGTCCAAGAGACGTTTGAAAAACGTCCAAAAGTGTAGTGGACATTCTCCGGCGACTTTGCGACTATCTGCGTTAATTTTACATTTACTTCATTTTCTTAAGTTTTGATAGCATTGTCATTCTCGCTATCGCACGCGACGTATCCTTAACACATTTACTGTCCATCTATTTTAGCTCTCTACACAGCCCACCGCATTCATTATGTTTTTTTTACTCGAATACCAATCACACAGTCTCTATCTTGAGTTTTGTATTTGACTAAAAAAGGTTTTTATTTCGGAGATTGATTAATAATACATACGTGATCATAAACGTATAGGTAACATTATCAGCGATACGTCCATGAATCGTATGCGTCCATATGACATATTCACAGGACACGTTCGTGTGTCGTGTGGACAGTAAACACGTTAATAATCCTGCATAATTCCTTACATTTATGTGCATTTGTCCTCCCGTATCTTGTCTAAGCGCAAAAATTCTCTCTTTAATTGCTAACATCTATCCAACCAAATTCCAATATTATAAATGTCATATCATAAGTGGAGGCTTCGAATCGGGCCTTTTTTCCTTTCTGTTAAATCTAGCATTATTAACGTGCCGTCGAAATTGTTTATCGGTTATTGGCGTCCCTTCAATGAAAGCGTTCCATCTTAATAATCACGTTCTGTATACACATTATCATTTTTCTTATATATTTTGCGTCTAATTCAGGTTTCACGTAGTATTAAATTGAACGGAATGACAATTTCCAAAGTTTCGCTGGGGCAAATGTTAAATAACAGTATACGGAAACTAGAAGCTTCTTAATGTATACCATGTATAATAGATAATTATTTCCCTAGCTCTTTATCGTATCGCGATTAATTGATGCTACGGTGAAAATAATAGCGCAATGGCATTTATATTAATTGCACGCTCGATTCACGTAGATTTTACTCTTTAACTCTTTCGCCATGACACGATTCAAACTCAAAAGAGAGTCCGAGACAATAAATTATTCGGTTTAATTTTTTTATTCGTGTCGCACATGTTTCTACACTTTTATTGTATCTCTCTTCATCTCTCTCTTTCTCTCTCGCTTTCATTCATTCTCTCACTCATTCTCTTTCTTCAAAAACACATTATGCGTATTTGGTATCGTGTGAAGAAAGCGTAGAAACTAGAGACACACACATGCAACGGGACAAACCTGTTACACATATATATGCACGAACATAAATTGTGTAATATTTCACGCATTAATAGAACACAATCGCCTCAAAATAGGAGATATATTTTGATCATATATTTCAAAATTGATGATATTAAATGGAACTTTTGGATAAAAAAAGATATATATATATAGTTGGGAATATTGTGTGTGTATATATGTGTGATCAAATCAACCAGCCCTTTTTTAGAGCTCCTCTCATTTTGAGAATATTGTGTAATCTTGATTAAAGTTTTTCTCTTTTCGATGTAAGTTTTTGTTTTACTTTCCTTTCGCTCTTAAAACTTTCAAAGATACACGATCAAAAACAGCTTGGAATAAAAATACTTAGCATTTATTAAATGCAACGAAAGAGATAAATTAATTAACGTATTTTCAGTTGAAAGCGCAATCATGATCTGCACTCGTCTTTAAAAAATCTACGAGCGTATAAAAAGATGTTTATGCAAATGTTAAATGTACAGCATGCGAATAAAAGTGCGAAAACATATGCATCTCGTATTTAACTTTGGTAAGGATTATGTTTACGAAACACAGACTGACCCGAGGATCGTGCATCAGGATTCATGTCTAAGTTTAAAACCCGTATCACTTCAGTGAATTCTAATCATTAGCCTGAACGCAATCTCGTGACCAACGCTGTTTGACAAATTCGTGTTCCTTAGATGGTAACTAATTAAATAGTTTCGTAAGCGATATTATGACGATTCGAACGATCACGCTAGTGCATAAAGTAATATTGTTCAATGTTTAATGTCCAAAAGAAAATGACATGTCCCTTTTTATTTTCTTTAAAACATTCAAATGGAATTTTATTAAATATGACGAAAAAATTTAAACAAATTCTGTTCGAATAGATTTTAATATGGAAATATTTTTCAACAGAATGAATTGAGAAAAGAAAGTGCACTCAATGCACCAGCGCTCGCGATCGTGTCTCTTCCACAAAGCGGTATTGCTAAAACAAAGCATAGCGTAAATATATATTGACTGCTTGCAAGTAGTCGAGGTAGTTTACAAATGACGAGTCGCTCACATGTCAAAGGCAAATGAGAAAATACAGAGAACGCATCAAAATCTGCAGAAACGTTCGCGGTTCAGTACGTTAATGAAAAAATTAATGACAATGACGACAGAGTATAATTTTTTTTCGCGGTGTTAATTTTATTTTTCTTACTAATCTTATAGGACGCTTCGCGAACATCCCACAGATGATATTAAATGTGAATGAAATTACTAAATCTTTTTCTTTATTTGTAATTTTATTGACTAGAGCGTTATTCGCGCTAAATACAAATAAAATTACCTTTAAAACTAAAACTAAAGAAACGTCGATGAGACAGATTCTTTGTTTTTTTTTCTGTTTATGAAAATTAGCTTTATACGAGCAAACGCGTGGTCTTAAAAACAACGACCACACTATTCTTCCATTAGTCTTCGGCTCAATCCACGCATTTGCCTTTGAACTTTTTGACTTTTATCCGATGACTCTCGAAAACGAACGTAAAGTCACAGTGCGCCGTGTTAATACACATATGAACAATAACGTAATTAATAAATTTTATGCTTCGTCAATTATATCTGCGAGATGGGATCACGCATACCATAAAATTGGTGCACAATCCTTTCTTTCGTTCCTCTCCTCCCTTTACTTTATTACGTACACAAGCATTGTAGGAATCAGTATAATTTCGGTGAGTTCAAATTTCCAATATAAATACGTTTCATTATTTTCGCAAAAATACAAGAGGCGATTTTTCGCTTTGTGTCTGTAGCATCCTCGAAATCTATATTCAGTGAAATTACACTAATCTTAAATGATATATGTACGCAGGAAAATGACATTCCGTCGCAATCTCTACTGTCCCTTGCGTATCTCTCTTCCTCCTTCTTTTTTTTTATATTACAACGCCGAGCGCTATCTCATCTGATGGCAAAAAAACGACGATTCCGATCTTATATTACGTATATAATACGCGCTCGGCTATCGTACACAGCTTGTCTCCCTTATTTCTATTACCACGCATAAGATAAATGACACTAGTATCATGACACTTCCAGTTTTTGTGAATCTCTCGAATAATTAAAAAAAAAAGAAGAAAATGAAATATCTTTTATACACGATATTATACTCGCTTATTATTTAGCAGGGATAAAATTAAATATTAAATAATTAGACTACATCTCGTGTTAACAAAATTGAACTTAGCATACAGTCTGTGTACAAAAACCAGGATTTACAATAGCGTTTTTTTTAAATCTCAATGTATATATAATAGGAATATAATAATTTTTTTATCACATATAAAAAGCGGTTGTCTGTGTAATGTCTATATATGTACATGTCTGAGTAAGATTAGGTACCATTATTATTTTTAACTAATAGAAGCTATTATATAATTTGGTACACTGTGTTTAACTCGGTTATTCGATAAATACGAACAATAATAATCAATACGTTTCATTATTTCCTGGTGTCTTGACATAGTCGTTGGTTTTTCGCACGAAATCTTATTATACACACTGCTTGTTTATTTCCACGTTACATGTGATTTTAATTCTCTTTTTTTCTTCTTTTAAGATTATTTTTATAATATTCTATATATAATACACACACACGTTCCTTTCTTTATTCAATAAGTCAGAGCAATGGCCAGTTGATAAATTCAAAGATCGTTCGTCACTTTGTCGTTCTCCGTGTGTTTATATTTCTTATTCTTTCTCGTAGAATACTTTTCTGTTACTCTTGTAGTATGCCGGACGATTTTATCAAAATGATGATCATTTTCGCAATTTTTGCGAAAAGATCACATCGTCCTATCAACGATATAGGTCGTACCATACAACGATACAAACTAGCTATTTGTTTGCTCCATATCCTCTTTGCGTTTTATTACTTGCGTCACGGGTTTTTTCAATTCCTTTTCTTCGTAAAAATTTGCGCTGCGAATTAGGACAATGTTTTCATTCTTAAACGATTATCCTTTGGATAACTCGATATCGTATTTATTAACGTATATGCGTGCGTCATGATAAATTAAAATGGCCCGCAGCAATTACGTTTCAGGTTCTGAAATACGTTTTAACGATTGCATTAATCTCTCGATAAATATTATATCGAGTCTCACGCAAATTTCCTGATAAACTTCTAGTTTTTTTTCCCCTTTCTTTTTCATAGTCAACTCAACAAGCGAAGTATAAGCAATTAAATTTGAAGCAACAACTTGATTCTTAAATATCTACCTAAAAGTACAATGGAGTCGCACAATGTCGAAGGCACAACTCTTTCAAATCGGTCGAACTGAAAGAAAGCACAACAGGAGGCATCATTGGCATTTGTTGAAATTTTAGCAGCACGGCAGGCCGCCAGATAAGTGTCTTTCTTCCAGAATGCTCGAGTTTGTTAAGTACAAGAAGAATTCTTTTATTGTTATTAAAAGATTAAATAGCAAAAGCTATGTTATACATATATAGCACATAACTATATGCACATAAATACATACATACATACATACATACATACAAAATATATGTATATATGCATATATATATGTATACACATACATACATATGTTAGAGCATAGCTTCGTGAAAACTGTGCTTTCTTTGAATAAGATGAGAATATACTAGCTCGTTTCTCTCTTTTTTATTTTTTTGTAATTGTATCTTTCGATCATTAGAAAGTTCTATTTCAACTTTTCTTTGTATTAATAACAAATTTACATAGGCATACGGAAAATTATGGTTTATACTCTTGTTTTCTAATCGGCAGAGAATGGGATTCGTAACACTATGCTATACATTTATACAATCTTATGGTATTCATTAAGCTTGAATCGACATGCATTAATCGAGGCAAATGAAACTCTTAGCTGTAGTTTTAATAAAACTCTTAGCTGTACTGTAGTTTTATCAAACTCCCTCAAAGAGAGAGAGAAAGAGAAAGAGAGAGAGTGAGAGAAAGCGCGCGCATCTTTATATATTTCTTTTCCTTTGTCAAATCGTCACTTCTAGAATTGGAAGCCAAACAGTTGTCGGGAGACACAAACAGAATGATGAACAATGTCAAGATTAAGGAGGAAAAAACCTTGTTGAGAATTGATTGCCTCAACCAGCATGCGTTAATTCAGTTCTCAGTCAGAATCGTTTCCCATTTCGTTTCTTCATTTGCGATTCGAACATTTATAGCGCGTCACATTATCAAAATAACTACCCACAATGAAACTAAGAGATTAGCACGAATTTATTAAAGGTCACTAAAAAAAGACAAACCCTCACTTGTTATATCTGTACATATGCTGCTACTGTTCGCCACCAAGCTTCTGGCGCAGTTATAATATCTAAGTATTCTGAAATCATTTCACTGAGGCAGCAACTTGGTAGAACATCAGTGTTCAACATTCATTATGGATCCTGACTGGTATTTTGTGACGACTCACAGTTTTGCGGATTATGCATTTGAAGCGCTAAGTGGGGTGTGTGTACTGGAGAAGGTCCTGGTTGGGGCTGTTGTTCTTCTTGCATTTGTTGAATTACGGTAAAATCGGGATAACTATAAAAAGAAAACAAGCAATTGTAAATTTGCGTCTCATAAAAAATAACGATATTGTTTATAAAAATTAAAGCTGTTAGATAAAATTCAAGGCATTCTCATTGATAAATTCTTTAAATATTTTTGTATAATATATATAGAGAAATTTATATATGTAAATAAAGTATTTTCTATTTATTACTCCCTTATTATATGTATATATATATATATATATATATATATATATATATATTTATTTATTATACAGGATGGATCTGGTAAAAATTTCTGCTGTGTGCGTGTATAAGTGTTTATATTATACTTATACAACTTACTCCATAGATGCCCATCCTAAGGCTCTGTTATTACGCCTTTTAAATGATGAATATTTTGTTGAATGGAATGAATGTTTTGTTGATTCGGAATATTTTGCTTCGGGAAAAATATTCATTCTATATGAATTGATATTCTGCAACACACATTTATCAGATTCTTCCGCGCAATCCTCGCTCGTGTCTTCAACTTCTGGCTCATCATCGGGACATAATTCGCACGCTCGCTCCAATGTCTTTCTGGCGCTATTGCTACGTTCCAGGACATACCCATTCGCAGAATCATTGGATTGTGCTGGCGGAGACCAGTTATTGTACGCATGTGTATAAGGCGCCGTGGAGGCATATGGTCTCTGAAAATAATTTATTCGATTTTTGTAATTATCTAAATAATATTATATATTAAACTACTATTTAATTTTCGCGTCACATACTTTGTCGAGTTCGTCATGGAGCCAATCTATGGCATGACTCCATTTTCTTTTTAGTTCTGGACTATGATGTAAAAGCTGATGGGCAGGTCTACATTTACTAAAAAGTTGTACCATGCATTTAATACATTGGTAAGCCCTCTTTTGATAATGGTTTTTACTTCTTTGGATCGTTTCGAATAAACCTTCTCGCTCATCAGGAACTCCTGAAAAAAGTTTTGGTGTTACTAACTTTAATATTTCACGCAAAAGAACAAACTTACCCTTGAGCGCATTGTGCACGCGATGTGTCTGCCACGAATCTTCCATTAATAATATCGTAAGTAGCAGATCTGTGTGATGCCTCAACTCATGAGTATATGCAAAACCTATTTGCCACAGTAGTTCACTAAGCACCGTTCGCGATAAGTGTGGATTCTCCCAACAACAATATTGCAATAATTTGATAGTGTCTTCAGTCACATTAGCGTCTTCGATCAATTTTTTGATGTAACTGTTACCAGGACAGAACAAGTGCATACAGTTGTACAAAAATTTCATATATTTTTTTCGCTATTAAAAATACGAATTCTCACCTAGTACGGACAAATAATATATCAGCTGCTTGCGGTTGGATGGGCATAAGATATTCTGATTGACACGCGGGATCTCCGTACGGATTTGGTAAGGGTTCTGCACGGGTTTGCGTCTGACTCGAATGCGCTTTCGACGACACATCGCAGCACCGTATCAACATGCTTACCACTTGATGCAATTTAGTCAATTCGGGATACTGATACTTTATAGTAGGACCCGGTCCTTCATCAATGGCAACCAACATGAATGTAACTGGGACATTCAGCTGCAATTAATTTTAAAATTAAATACACATTCGCGCTAATAATATCAATATGTGTGTGGTTTATACACCTAATATCTATAATTTTTTTTTACCTTAAGCAATTGCGCCTTCTCGGCAAGGCCGAGTGAAGCGTAGGCGTGAAAGAGGGAAAAATAATGAGGAAGATGACGCCCGTGATCTGAAATTTCGCGGTGCAGTAACGATAGTACCGCGTGTAACAGATGATCGCTGAGGGTTGCTACCGGATCCAAGAGTATAGCTAACAAAAAAAAAACCATGTTCACAAATTATTAAAAAAGCGTATAAAGTGGTGTATTTATCACTTCTGTTTCAGTACTCACTCGGTGCATTTAGGCTAGGTGGAGCGCATGGGCCATCCTGTAGAGAAACGTGTGCAAGGAATACCAAAATCTTGAGAAAAGCAGTGCGTACTTCCGTACTCGGGCAACTCAAGAGGTATTCACAAAATCTATATGGATAACAAATTATTAATATTATTAAAATCCAAATGTTTTCCTTTCATTTTCTTTTTCTCCCTATCTTTCTGTGTATATTATGTATTTAGAAAAATCTGTTGAATTACCTATGCGGATGATTAAATAATACTTCATTGGCGAACCAAGAACGCACTGATTTAGTGCTTCGCAAATGATGGCATATAATGTCATACCAATCTGTCGCCGTTCCGCGTAATGTTTTTTTAGTGTGAAAACCTGTATAGAAGAGAAATCTCGATGCTAACTGAATCGACAGCATCGCAAGTTCTTCCGCATCGGGACTCTAAAAGCGAATATGATGATTATTAAATAAAGAAATCCGTTAAGAAAATGTATATATGCGTCCATATACTTACAAGTTTCTCATTCAGATTCTGTCTGTTAATATTATGTGGATTACAGAATACCAATTTTTTGATAAATTGAAAGTATTCGGCACTAAATTGATTTCGATGATGCATAAATTTTATATTCTGCTTCCGCACGCTATATTCTATTGCCGGTGGCATTTTCATAACTCCTAGTTTCGTATCTGAAGAGAAATATCGCGATAAAAAAGACGATACGGTAGTTGAGAGATCAATCTTATAGAGATCTCTATCGATTACTTACACAATGACAATTCATTTACACTCTTCATTAGAGAATTCTCTTCTACATCTAGTCTTGTATAAAATAACATGTATGCGTTCCACCATCGTTTCTGTTTGCGGTAACTCATCCGCTTGAGCATATGATCAAACACTTCTCCTAAATAATCACCGCCGAAACATTGAGATTTCATTTCTTCCTCCTCCTCCATTTTACATTCCGTCACATCGCCATCATCGAACTTGTACCACTTGGCAGTACCATCGTTTAACCTGCAAAATTATTGAACATAGTCTTTCTTTGTCTATTACACGTACATATGTATTTCGCATATTTATAATACCTATGCAGGATGTAAGAGTAGTAATGGCCACCGCTAGCCTGACCACTATGAACCACTATGCCAGTTAATTGATATTTCGTGCATGTTCCTTTCACAGATTCCTCATAATCACAATCTATGACTTCTCCCTCCAGTTTGGCTAAACCAGAAACAGTATAAGGTTCCATATCCAGATCTCGCGGAAACTCGAAATAATCGTTGAATTTTATGGCGCATACGCGTTCAAAATCATATTCGAATCTTTTCAATTGAATCGCTAAGATGGGTGGCAGTTTTTTTACGCACAACCTTTTCACTGTTACGACCTAAGCATAAAACACAAAATATATCATATTTCATCGAGTTAAACCTTGCCTTTGGCTTGCTTTTAAGTATAAAAGATCCGTTGTTTGTGCTTTATAATATAATATTCCTTATTGTTGATAAATTATCATATTATTATATCTCTTTTTGAACAAATTATTTTCATTAATTTACTTTCAAAGGATCTTTTATATATTATTTATATATTATTTTTATTTTCGTGAGAAGAAATATTATCGCACAGAATCATACTTTTTTGTTACACTTATCACAATGATAGGCGTCTGCACCTTCTAGCAATTCACCCTTTACGTATTGCTCAAGAGAATCCAATAAATTACTATGATTCCGTATGTCCACACTTATCACGCTGAATGGTTCCTCTTTGGAATATCTGAAGAAAATGTAATGTGGTATTACAGTTTACCGAAGAAAGCAAAATGTAAGAACTAAAAAGGTACCTATGAGGGCAACCTTTGCAGATTTTCTGGTCGCTATACGAGCCACCAAGAATCTTGCCCATTATCTGCTCGTGTCCCAAGGCTTTCAATGCCTCGTCTAAACTCTCTACCAGACTCATGAAAAATTCTACCGCGTCCTGTTGTTCTCTAAGATTTACAGGTTCTCCTTGAAGCCTATAAAGATCAAATTTTCTTATTAACCATTTAACGCACATATGAAATGCATCAAAATTTGTAAAACTACATTTGTAATAGATGCAAGGCATTATGTTAATTTTACTTTTAATCTGTAAAAATAAATTGTATTTATTCTTACTTGAAATGCTTCCATAATCCTCTAGGTATGTAATATTGTAATTTGCTATAAGCCAAGTGACCAAATATCGCTTGTACTTGTTTTAAAATACCGATATTATATTCTTTTCTAGATTCATCGGCACCGCATTTTTCTTCATTCGTATCATTGTCGTTCGTCTCGATTGTTTGCTCCCCTTCAATCCTCTCCTCGCCCGAGAAATCCTCATTTAAATCAGTCGCCGCGCCCTCCGCTGCCAAAAGTCCGACTCTAATACTCTCCACCATGTACAATTGCTGTAATACTGAATTCATGTAGCAAGTTGCTCCCGCATTCTTCAAGCCTACGAAGCCTTTAAGTGGCCTATGTCCCACAGGCGGTAAATAATCCCATTCTGCTAACGGTTCGTCCTTCTCGGAGTAGAACATGTCGGTGAGCATTGTGACTAGAAGTTTCATGTTGGGTACACAGCCTACGCAAAGACCTACGAGCAAGTCGAACGCGGCGCTAGTCGATTGAGGAGTGCTGCAAACCGGACACGCTTGCGATGGGCTCAATTCGCCAGTACTACGAAGCTGCAGCATCAGGCGAGACGCAGGGAACACAAAGTCTTCGACCAACTCCTTGATCAAGTTAATTCCGTGCTTTTCGTCGGAGCCGATCTCATATTTTTGGTGAGGTGGCAAAAAGGCCAGCAGTTCCTTGGTTAGACCGAGGTGACCCTCGAGTAAGGCTTCGTCTACCTGAGTTTCTCCAGTTTCTTTCATATTGTCCCGAACTTTCTTCAACCAGGCAATTTCTACGTTTAATAACGTTTCCGCGGTTGCCAAAGAACAACCTGACATATGCGTAAAGTTCAATAGTCGGCACAAAAGCTGAAAATATTCATGACTCTGTTTCGCGTTTTCCGTAACGATGGTATTTAAAACGGCGAAGAGAAGAGTTATGGTGACTAATAGTGTCTGATGTCCGCCACTGCACCATGTCGAGATAAGAAAAAACTGTTCGCCAGCGGCAATTCTAATGGCCCTCGACGTACTAAGTAGCACCAAGTCTATCAGGAAGGTATGCCATATTTTGTCACGCGATAATGTTTCTAACGCCGATGGATTCAACACAAGGGCGATTGTCAGTACTTCAAGCGCTTCCTTACACACAAGAACATCGTTATTATCGGGATTTCTCTGTTCTTTCTGATTGATCTCGTGCGTCGAGTGAAGAATCTCGTTCGATGCGTTAATGTTGTTCAAGTTACCCGTGGATGCGGCCCACGCTAATCTAATTATGGCACGTATAGTAGCCACATCCGGTAATTCCCACGAAAGGGCCTGCACAAAGAGCTGCCGACATCGATCGGCTTCTGGCCCGCCAGACAGCATTCGATGGGACAGAGGTTGCGCCAGTTTAGCCGCTACGCTTCTCAACATGTACTCGGTACTTTGATTCGGTACACTCTGAAGAGCCTGTTTCAGTACCGCTACTCGACCGCGATTGTTAACGTGATTATCGTGATTCTCCGGAGTTCCAGTTTGTTGAACCTCGTCCATCACGCAAGCCATCACATTACCCATCACTGTCAAAAGCAGTTTACACAGTCTCAGCACCGTTAGATACGCCGAGCGTTTCGTAGTTTCATCCGCATTTGGTAAAAATTTGTTTTTGGTTAGCATATCGAGGATAACGCCCGCTTCGCCACTTTTTATGAAATTATATTGAAATTCAAACGCTCTGTCCGACATAGGGTCGAGAGCCGGCATTAACAAAGTATACAACACCTAAAAGTAAAAAAAGTTTGTGTTATTGACAAGAACAAAAGGATACAAATTTATAAAACACGCATGCTCACCTCTAAATTGTATAAAACTTGGCTAGGACTCGCAGTAAAAAATAGAGAATCTACCGTCGTATTCTGCTCGTTACAATGATACTGAGAGGGGTTCTGTAAAGCTTCGTCGTCTTTGTAATGACCAAATAACCATTGTAATCTTGTTACAGTATAGGTATCTGGCGGCACCAATTGTAAGAGATTTCGCGCACCATCACGCAATTGCGAATGTGGAAGCGAACAGCCAAGATCTGCCAATTGAAAAAAGAATGTCGCGTATTGCGATCTCTGCGACATAACCTGAGAATGAAATTACACCATTAGAAGAATATAAAATGCGGGATGCAATAATTAAATTTAGAAATTTTACATTAATAAACTTACCACACCGGGCAAACTGTTCTCTGCCTCTACATTCAACCCGTCGTATGGATGGTGCGGGGAACTAGTAGAGCTATCAGAGCTACTATCCGGTGAGCTCGGCATATTGCTATTTACTTGACTTAGCTTTGCAGATAACAACTACACAAAAAAACATGTGAATCGCACATTTTCTATACACTAAACTTTTTAATAACTTTGTGTTCTACTAATATTCACCATTTTGTCCCTCAATGGAATCTGAGAAAGGAGTTTCCTATCATCGGACTGTTCCAGCGAATCTCCATTAATAAATAAATCGAGTTTCACATTCGTCCCGCTTGCTTTAATCCTACGTAATATCTGACGTCTCAATGAAGCTAATGTGTCATTACTATGCGTGAAGATATCTATGTCATCGACGTTTCGTCCGGGACTCGCAAAACGAATGACAAGTGACAGATGCTTGCCACGAGCTGCTCTGTAATCGGAATAGATGCTGCATTTGTGCTGTATGTGTTTGAAGACAAACAGAAAACATTCTCATTATATACAACTATAATTGTACCTATGCAATGGTAATATTTTCCGTTCCCCTGGGAAAGCTGTATCGCATTCATTTATATATTCCTGCAAAACTTTCATAACGCGACACATTTTTATGGCTTCCATTTTAATTTTATTTGTCATTTGTTCTTCGCGTTCATCTTTTCCCTCCAAATATACTCTGCTTAAAACAGTCACAGTATCATAATGAGCTTTCAGTCTGTCCATACATTCCGCTATATATGTTTCATGAAATGCCAAAACAGACGAGTGTAGTCGCGGTCCTAAATTGGTATTCACTTCCTTTAAGAGTTCTATACCTCTGTTTGCAATTTCCTCTGGACTATTTGTTACTACCTGTAGATAAATAAGATTATCACTGTTACACAAAAATATATAAATCAAAAAATAAGACGGAAAAATGTGGAAATCCTTTACAATTATAATATCAATGTTAGAAATATAAATTCTAATACAGTGTTACATACTCTCCACAAATAATCAGTCCCAATTAAATCCACATCATCCATGAGAAATGTTCTACGTTTCAGTTTCAATTTTCCTTCCTTAGAATTTACAGCTTTAAAAAATCTCTCGTAACATTTAATACCGCTTTCTGTAAGTAATGTCGGATCTAATTGCAGTATATTATTTTGGAAAAAGTCTTTGTTTATTGCTGGATCTAGATCTGGCTCGTCTCCCATAAGCTTGGAAAACCATTTAAAGCACGCCTCACGATCCGAAACAAATACACCTTGTTCGGCTAAACATTGCCAAATCTGCTCTGCTTGATCGGCGCATAACCATAATTGTCCATCCTGGAAAATTCATACATTATCCAATGTAGTTTTTAACATTTATGCTCTCTCTTTTTCTTATCTATTATTTCAAGATCTGGAATGTACCTTTAGAAGAAAACGCAAAAAATTCAATCTTTCTTGCACTTGCATAATGTGATTGTATCGACCATCAGGCATAAAAGTATTCGCATCGATTTCAGGATTTTCCTTTACCAATTGTCGCACTTTATCCATATAATTTGTTAAACTATTTGTTACAAGTATCACTACTGAATGTTCGCTTTGTAAACGCTCAATTACTTCTTGCCTATATAGTAATAATTAAGAGCATAATTAATATAAAAATGCAATGTATACATATATTTGCTATCTCTTATCTATTTGTATCTACATATATAGATAATATATGCATAACTGTAATATAAATCAAACCTGTAATGCAAATGATGACTACGTTGACTATGACCCAAATTGGGATTTGGTTCATAAAGGCAACATATTTCACGAATTTGCTTTAATGCAGGAAGAGCCCACTTATCGCCATTTTTCAATTCTTCAACACACTTATCCAGCCAGATTGTCTTCTGCGCGTCTCTTTCTTGCGAACATGAGTAATCAAGAATCTTTACATGAGCATTCAACGCCTGATCCATAATTTCTGTAGGGACTTCATCAGAATGAGCCAAAGTCCAAAAAAGTGTCAACACCTAGTAGTAATAACAATAAAAAAGCATTTCAAAATCTCCGAGATACATTTATATATCTATATATATATGAAAATATATAAATATAAATATAAATATATATATATATATATATATATATATATATATATAACTTAAGATTCATCTCACCTTATGTGCCATAACGCCATCCTTATCATCCTCCGCGAGTCTCCTAATCAATTCTAATAATTTTTCCCGTTGTTTTTTATTAGCAGTCCTCCAACTTGTCTAAAAAAATTGCAAATTTAATTGTTAAACTTTATGCAATTTAAATTTTGTAATAGAGTATCATTACATTATTGTGATAAATACCTGAAAACACTCAAATAAATGGTCAAGTTGTTCAGGACTAAAATCCCAAGCTAATTTAGCTAACAAATCATGAACGTTTTTCACAATCGCCTCGTGTTTACCGGCTTGAGCCGCCCAAACAGCATCCAAGTCTTCTAATGTAAGTGCACGTTCTTTTATAATAAAACGTAAAATTTTCTCCAGTTTTTCGACATATTGAGGCTGATGCAATGAATCTCTCAGTACAATTTCCAATACACCATTGTCTTTAATCCATTTCTATCACAAATAAATACTCCTTATAAATCTTTACAAAATTTATAATATAACTGTCAAACTCATAATGTGGCAAAATATTCACACACATATGCATTTAATATGATACACTTATTCGTTACTTTAATTTAAGCATCATTATATTAAAATAAGATAATAAGATAATTATATTAATATGAGATATACAATTATATATATAATTATATATATAACTCGACATAAAATTATATATATAGTATTATGTCGAGTTTTAGACAAAACTTACTGCCATACGCTCTGCTGTAAGCCATTCTTCCTCCTCCACTATTGTATTACGATGTTGATGATAACTAACACTAGATATTACTTTATTAACTTCATTTAAAGCATTCATCTTCCCATTAAAAGAAGAAATTTGTAAGAGTCTCAATATCATTTTCAGTCTCAGTATTTCCAAGTTCTTTATCATTTCTTCCTGATGAGGTACTCGTGACACCAAGCATTTAGCGGCTTTGATTATGGCTGATATTGCGTCGTTTTTTGATTCGTTTTTCGCCTCCTTTTTCAACTCATCATCAGTTAAGTTATTCAAAATAAGAGGTACCATTTCCTATACATAACAATGTTCTTTGAAACTTGTATAATAAGTGATGAATAATAAAAGAAGAGGAAATGCTTACAACAATAGGCATCAAATATTTAACTATTGTATGAACAGTCAATAGTTCATAACATAAGCCAAAAGGTCTGATTAAAGCATAAATAACTGGCACTGTTAAATTACGTCCACTCTGAAATCTAGAGAGCAAAATTTCAAATCCATTGAGACTCCCGAATCTGCAATAAAGGTTTATATCAATTTGTAAGTATAAAACACACATTTGTATATATGTATATAAAAAATATACCTGTTTATAAGATCTACCAGCCAACCACGAGGACTACGCGAATCGGGTGGTGGGCGAGCATAAAGTTCCTCATCAGGAATATCGCTACCAGGAGGAACCGTTTCAGAAGCTCTTACTGCATTAAATGTGTGAAATCTAGAAAAATAAATTTTTACAAGTATAATCATATTTAAAATTCATATTTCGTAATCGATAAAAGAATCTTACTATCAAAATACTTACTTATTACTAGGATTAAAAACCATTGCCAATAAATCAAGTAGAGGAAACCAATCTTCATCTAATTTTAGGACACATAGTTCCACCAAACGTGCACAATTAGCATTAATACAATTGTGAATATTTAATTTCCAACTGTTTACCGCATCATCTGTTAATATCTTAGTAAATGAGATTGTGAGACCTTCTCGAAAAAAGCGTTGACACGCTTCGCTTTGTACATCAATTCCTGCAATATAGCAAACACAAATGGGCATAAAAAAATTATTATAAACAAAATCCTAATCCTCCATATAGCAAAAAACAAATGTTATTATATGATTTAATGTATTGATGTAGAAATACACACAATAATACATATAATATATATAAATAAATAAATATCTGTGAAAAATTTATAAGCAATATATGTTACCTTTTTTACAAAGTTCGATACTGGCTTGTAACAGGCACTCTAATTCTTGTTCGGGTAGAACTGGTACAACCCATCGTGGACTAGATATCTTTTCATGAAGCATATTAAGTTTGGAAATAGGAAAATCAGGTTCTCCATGAAGCTGACTGCTATCTTCCACTGTAGCAATAGCGTCATTGTTGCATTCTGTTTGTACCACATTCTCAGTGAGTTGAAGTCCCGACATGGTGTCAGCCAATTGTTGCGGACCTGGTGGACTGTGCATCTACACGAGGCAGATTTTTCATACATTTTAATCGATATGTATTTTAAACTATTATGATTTTATAATTTATACACATACTTGTGTATTTTGCTGGCTTTCGGGAGGGTCTATGCCAACTCCCTGGCCCCTAGTGGCAATCGTCATTTTACACGTCCTTTCTTACACCTTAATTGTTTGAATATCTCTTGGTCCAATGATTACACCACCAATAACAAGCATCCAGCTTATATACTGACATTAAATATAATTGTATCCTAAAGGCCTTGTTTTAATAAACTATACCTACATTATCTGAAACAAAGAGAGGGTACAATCTTAACGTTACACTCTTAAGAATTTACTGAGAAATAATTAACAGAATCCTGTATAGCGCACATGCGCCATCAACAATTCAGCTTACGAGATTCAAACATAAAAAAATTTACAAATTTCACAGCCGTTAACAAAAAATAACAAAAAATACATAAATGTGTATTTTCCAAACACAAGTTATAACAAAAATGACAGCTTGCAAGATGATAAATTCGCGAGTCATATTCGAATATAATTATTGTCCATATTTTCTAGAGAGAAAGTCGCGGATGCGATCGGCCAATAAATCGACGTATCCATCGCAGTCAGTGAAATTCCTCGATATAATAGTCGGTCGAGTGTATCCGAATACATCCGCGGATGTCGCACGACAACGTGATCACGTTAGGATTTCGTGCATCGACGCGCATTATAAAGGCGAGCAACATTTTTAACGTAGCGTCACGCGATTTAGGAGGCGGACAAGACGAGCGAAACTCTCCTGCCGCGTTGCGGAGCGAGTGGTGTATATATTCTCAGGATCGTGCGATCGCGTAAGATTACGATCTCGAGTCACCGCCGCATCGTAGACACGCAGCGCGAGCTGTCAATCGTTGGCGAGCCGCGGTCGCGGTTGTCGCGGACGACGACGACGGCGACGACGGCGACGACGGCGACGACGGGGAGCGGCCGCCGCGCCGGTCGCCCGAGACAGGTCAGACGTCACGTCTTCGCCGAGAGGTCCCGGCGATCGAGTCCCGATGACAAAGACACGCGTACCAAAGAACGAAAAGTCTACCCCGCGACCAAGAACGAGAGCAAACGAAACGAGCGAGCGCTCGCACACAACGGGGGAAGACTCGTTGGAACCCCGGATCGTCGCGGGGGGATGAACCATCGTCGAGACACGTCGATCTCGCGCTCGTCGGAAGACGCCCGACGACGACGATCACGCGGTCCGCTACCTACACAAGTCGCGATAATCCTCGCGGGTCCAGGCAGCGCCTATTTTCGCTGCACGTTCGCCGCGACCGGGCTACCTCTCCGGACAAAATGGCGACTATCCTAACGATTGGCACTGCCGTATATTAACGAAAGCGCCGATATTTCGGCCCGATAACCGTCCGCGGGCGGCGTCAAGCCGCGCCGACGATCGCACGGCACCGGGGAACGATCGGCGCGTCGTATTTCCATCGCCGGGGAACGCACCTTTACATAGTAAACGTTGTAGAAATTCGTGTGTTGCACTTTTTTGACGTGACGTTACGGAACTCAACTAGCAAATCTGTAAACACGACTGTCGCGGCGCTGCGATGCCATCCGAGACGACGTGCGTGCACGACAGGGTGACGAGCAACGGCTACGATTGGACCGCACGTCGCACCATCGCCCGTCGTCCGTCGTCGCCGTCGCTGCTGACTGGCCGTGAGAACCTTCGCGCGCCAATCGCAAAAAGAATTACGAACGATCGGCAAATTTGTACTTGTTATTGCCTCGAAATTTTTTTTCGCGTCAAATTAAAGCAAATCGCAAATATATACAACATAAGATCAAGATTCATATTTGCACGCTTTTCGAAGTACATTTCTGCGCCAGTATAAAGATTTCTTCCCGATTGGGGAGAAAAAAAAAACAAAATATAAATAACTCCGTTTTTGCAAAAATATACACAATAAAAAATTTATAATTAAAATCATTACTTTTAACTCCTTTGTATGAAGAGTAATTCTAAATTTTTATAAGTAGATGCTATTTTTTTTATATTGGTATATTAAATTAAAAGACGATTTTGTTGCATGCGAATCATGTTTCTTAAATGTAGATACAATAATAGGGTATGTATATACAAACACATACACACACACACACACAAAATATTTATCCATATTGTATCCTCATACAAGCACTGTTTTCTTTAATAATTTATTTCCATAAATTTCATGTCACTGTACATAACATCCGTACGCTTTTACTATTCCTGTCTATATCGTAATAGACTTACTATGTAATCGAGATACATAATTTGCATATATTCTTTAATGCAGTTACATATACACATATCCAAATACATACATACATACACACACGTACCACGCTACAAATATACAATCTTACATGGACTTTATTTCATTCGATTGAACAAGTTCGTTTTTTTGAAAAAAAATTCTATGCTTCTTATATAATTTTTTTATAATAATATAATAATTATGTAATTAAACTTATTCATATGCATATACTTCTTAAAAATTGCAAGAAAATTTATATCTTGATTTTATATTGTATATAATATAAAAAGAACTTAATTGTTTTTTAATCATCTAAAAATATGTTGAATATAACATTGAATATTGAATATTAAATATAATTAAAACAATAATATATAGAAAAATTCTTAATCTTAAATGCTGTTAAAAATTGATATTTAAAATTTGTTTTTCTGAAATATTATAAAGATTGATCTCTACATCTAAAGTTTATAATTTATGAAAAGCAATATTAGATAATAGTTTTGTGCAGAATGCCAATCTCATGTTTAAATGCAAAATTTACTACAGCACTATAAAAATATTAGATTACTTTATGTTTTAAAACTATCTTTTATAGAGAAGAAAAAATAAAATAAATAAATTATACATTTCCAATATTTTCATTTTTTACATTTATTTTTCATATTTCTATCGGAAAAGATCTGATGTAGAGTTAGCTATAGTAGTGAATTGTCTACTACAGTAGACAGTTTTTATTTTGATCATAACTATTAGATTGCACACAATCATTTATGGTTTCTTACTAAGATTGATAATAAACACTGCTACTATATCTATCATTATTAATTTTTAGCAAAATCATAAAGTACATAAGAATATATAAACATATTTCTCTAATAATATTTAATAAAATATTATTAGATTGCTATTAAAATGAATATGATCATCTATTCTTATACGCGAACACAATCTTTGTGGATGTAGTATCAATTCAATTTATGTATATCTCAAGAGATTCCCGCTTATTTTTATCTATGATATCACACATGTGATATATGTAATTTCTCCATATTTTCAGGTTGTCAGGATAAATTTGATTTACACTCGTAGGTGTTTTTTTTTACAATTGTTTTTAAAAACAAGAATTTGCTCGCAATTTCTTTTTTCTTTGTTTAGCAAGTTAATTCTGTTTGATATCTATAGATTATTTATCATAAAGTAAGTTCTTCAAGTTCTTTTAGCAATTCATCTTCTTTCTTGATCTTATCTAGTTGATTAATTTCTAATTGTTTTCCCAATTTTAATTGCTCCTTTAATTTAGAAATTTGATCTAATTTCTGTGACATAAATCGAAATTATTACCATAAGTTCTTATTCTCTAGTTATAATAGAAAAAAAAACAAAATAGCTATTAAATATATACTTACACTCTTCACTTTCTTTATTTTTTTATTCTTTTCAGGATCATCTGTTAATTCCATTTTTATACTTGTCGTTGCGCTTGTAACTTGTCCATTAACAGTGGAATTGTTAGATTCTAATTCTTTCTTAGCCTTTTTCGCTTCCCGGTTTTTCTTCATTTTCAGTGCAGCTTTTGATGGATTTGCTACAAATAAATTTCATAGAGTTAATAATGAAATATTTAAAATGTGTTTGTACATACTTACATTCTACACTAGGTTTGGAAGGTGGCTCTATGTCATCGTGTAATCTAAATGTAATATTTTGTCCTCTGGCACATGGTGGTCTATATGCTTCTTTTGGTGCTTTAAAAAAATAAATCGATGTTATATATATATATATATATATATATATATATATATATATATATATTCTGAAATTAGATCTGTACACTTATTTATTCCTAAAATATTCATAAAAATAACAGTTACCTTGCGATTGACTAGGATTAGAGATAATACCCTCAACTGCTTTGTAACTAATAGGTTTTGGTGAAAAAGTATTCAAAGGAAAGTTTTGCCAAATCACCTCCCATAATTCCTCTTGGTTATTCCAAGGTCGTTGATATACTAATGAGCCAGTGTAATGCCAAATCTTGAATCTAATAATACACACCCATTAATTTACAGCATGTACAATGTATTTAAAATTGAACATAATATCTTTTTATACGTTTATTTTTACCCATTGCCGATTCGTAATCTAGGTGCTGTAGTTGCTGTCACAAAATGTTCACCATCTGGTGACCACTGGAGTAGTGTAGTATCTGGTGCATCAATTTTAGCAATAAGTTTTCTATTAGCAATATCCCATAATTCAATGCTGCCTCTGAGATTGCCAAATCCGGCCAAAAGCAATAGTACACAGTAGTCAAGGAAATTAATTAATTAATAAACATATTATTATTTTCTATTACAAATACTAATTAAATGCTGATGACATATGTGGATTTATCAACACACATGTTAAAGTAATAAAAGGATATTGTTGCCATATGGATTGTAATATATGCTATTTCTATGTAATGTTCCAAACTCAAAAATGGCTTCACATTTAACATTAAACAATGTTGCTTTAGCTGGCATAAAACCATATATCACACAAAATTCTGTATTTTTGGGAGACCATTCTACTGCATGTATAGGACCTTCTTTACCTAATTAGAAGAGTTTCCATTAATATAATATTGCTATGCAAATTAGTTTTAGACATTCTAAATTGTTAATACAAGAAAGGAATAATTCTTTTTGAACTTACTGAGCGTAACCATAGCAGTATCTCCTTTTGTGCTAAGATAATGCAATGTCTGTTTCCCATAATATGATGCACCACTCTTATCAACTTCAGTACTTGCCATCAATAATGCATTAGTCCCTCGTTGATGCCAATAGATATCAACTTTATCTGCCTAAAAATCGCAAAGTAATGTTGAGTAAAAGAAGAAGATATATGCAAATATTTGTACAATTAGGATACAGGTGCAATGATTTACCTGAAAAAAGCTCTTGCTCGCGAGTGCTTCTCCAATCTCAAATTTTGGATATTGAAATAATCTTCCAAATGAGGGTTGACCAGGCTTTCCTAAAATATATATTTAAAAAATCTTTAATTTAAATATATTTAAAATTTTATGAAACAACATCAATGTTTTTAATTTAAAGATACACATATTTAATAATTTTTTAAATACATTTTTAAATAACAAATCATTAATTATTATTATATTATTATTAATTATGATTATTAATTATTATATTAAGATATTATATGGAAAGTGCTAGTAATGACAATAGCAATGCACATAAATTTTATTTTGTTGAATTTACAAATAAGTATAACTAGTGATGATGTGTAATACTTATATTATAATTGTATCGTATCTATTTGTTGCGCTATTTACTTGTATAAGCATATATGATTCAATATAAATATAAATTAAATTATTTTGAATATTTTTTAGATGAATTTAGATAAACGTTTAATGTTTAGAAACCACATGGTGCAATTCTGTTACATATAGCAATATAATTTTTCTACTTAAAGAAAATACTTACAAATCGTATGCTGTATAATAATTAGGAAAATTTTCCATAGTAGATCCTGTTTCATACTTGAGTGTTTTGGGAAAATGTCAATATGTGTGTCTATTATTGTTGTTTTTTTAATATCATAAAACAATATATATGGTCAGAAAATTACTTTCAAATCTTCACTTTACTATATTTTTATCAAATACATATATGCTTAAAACAAGTAAAACTGAAATAAAGTAGAAGTTTGTAAGCTATAGCATAAAATCACAATGCAATTGTATTATTTCCAAATCACTTCATTTAACACAATATTATCAAGATAAATTTCATCTATATAATACTATTTATGTTTCATTATAATATTCTCATCATGTTTCAACAATAAGTGCTATTATTTTATGTACAATTTTATGAAACTGTTATACATATTTTTAACATAATAAATATAATTAGCTTCACAAATTTAATATCCTATTATATAATAATTAATACTGACTATATATATTGTTATATAGAAAAGAATATTGTACTATAATAATAAATATAATTACCAGGCATGTAGCAGAGAATATGATAGGGAGCATTACCAGGTGCTATACTAAACTTGGCAACTTTGGCTACACTTATCTTGTGTACATATCTATCAAAATTATTATCTTCATATAAAAGAACATTTACACCATTCAATAATCCACAGAGTTTCTCATCACTTGACCACTGTGGTTCCCTATTATTGAAATAAATTTGAAATTATTTCTTACAGATATATTAAAGATAGATATATTTATTTTTTCTCATAGATATATTTAATAATAACAATGTCAGCAATGTATTTCTAAGTGGATTGCCATTTGATGTTTATATTATTATTACATATAGTTATTAAATTCTAACTCTTTAAATTTATATAATAATAAAAAAGAAACAGAATTATAATATAAATAAAATATATGATATATTACCAATTAATTTGTTTCTTCTGCACAAAACTGTGAACTAATTCACCATTTTCAGATTTCCATATGTGAAGATTTTGTGTTCCCTGAGGATTTGTTTGCGTTACTGAAAATATATTACAATATTTTTACTATTAGTTATAATAAAATTAGCATTTGAAGTTAGCATTTATCTACATATTTCATATATATGTATTATTTGAGATTAATTACCAAAAGATGGTTCCCAAGTTGCTAGATATGTACTACGAGTAGAGAATTGAATAGCGCAGATCTTAGGTCTTGCAATTTCGGCAACAGCTTTCCAGGTCTCGCATAATACAATTTTAACACCAACCGCATTAACCCACGCAAAGTACCGGCCATCTGGACTAAAGAGCATAGCTTTACAGGTTCTGCTGTCATCTTTGGGAAATGTTTTGACCGGTTCGTAAGACGGTGGACCTTGAGCTAGATTTATACCAGTGGACCCTCTCACTATATATTAAAAAACATTAATAAAAAACATTAACAAAAAAACATTAATATCTTTCTCCTCTTGTACATGATAACAATGCAAATAATAGTTAGACTACATATGCTTGTACATATTTATTGAACAGAATTCCCAAAGAAAAATATCAAATTTACAAACTTTTGTGACACAAATGAATGTATCAAGCTAAAAACGTTCCAATAATTTTTTTTTTTATTTGCTCTCGCAAAACTTGCATCAACAGTTGGCATTTGGAAAGTAACACGTCAGCAGTTACAGGTTAGAATATAATATTTCGAAATTTTGTGCATATTACCGCGCGTTTATTATTTACAAACATTATAATGTCAATATTCGTTTGAACATCGCTGTTATCCTAAATACATCTAAATTATTCGATGCCACGAGACACATGTCTAACACGTTTATCGCGAGAAACGGTGCCCTATCTGAAACGTCGTGCAACAGGGGTTGGAAATGGATACGCGCATCCTTGAGGAGGGAATTACTCCGGACGATCGTACGTTCGATCAACGATTGACACTCTCGCGAAACGTATTTAAAACATAAAAACCTGAGAAAATGCTTACCAGCAACGCAGGGAATCGGCGAAGCCATCTTACCACCGTTACCATGTGGTATCGTCGACATTACTACTACTACGTACGACTATGATCTGAAATTGGGCACTTCCGGCACATGCTATCGCATCGTGACAAATCCATGCGTGTCCAACTCAGTTGGAGGAAAATTTTCGAAATTACATTTACATGAATTCTTTATATTACATCTATGGTTTATATGTTGTTTACAGGGGAGCTTTCATATATAAACTATGTTTACTATTAATTATTAAATATTTACATTAAATTAAATGTCACGCGTCTCTTCGATATGCGATCGATCGATGCGTTTTTCAAATTAATATTTGAAATACTGACAGGACGGGACTCTCGAAAATACTTTGACGCGCGATGATTCACGAAATATATCACGAATGAATCGCGCGCTCCGCTTGCATGATTAATTCGCACCTTCGATTCGATATATCAATCGTATTATATCATCTCGTTATAAGTGATTGTACTTTACAAGAGGAACAAGGGACGATATCTATATTTAGAAACATGGTTACGAAATGTTAAACGTGTTGTTTTTCGGCTATACGATATATATCGCGATAGTAAATTTCTGTAATCTGACAGGAAGCTGTTGCGCCTGACTCGACGAGTAAAATCTGTCTCATTGTTATTCCGAATACGCGTGGTAGAGTGAACCGCGCGCGCCATAAGACCCATTGTATCGTGCATTGTATTGTGCTCCGCGAGTGACAAGCAACGCACAGTGCTCCGAAATATTTCTGTGATCGATGGTCGCTCGACTAAACGTATAGCTTCGTAGACGTACGTAGAATATCTATGGACGGAGTTGTATGCGATCACGCAGATCCATTTGACACCTGCCGAATTACGTAGGGCATGGCAAGTTCATGCTTCAGGTGAGTGTTATTTGTTAATTTTATTCAACGATATCACGCACGTTGCGCTGATCGTATTCTGTGAACATCAGCGATAAATTTTGCGCGAATGCAATGAAAATATCGCATCTATTTTATTTTGTTTTCGTTTTATCAAGGTTAGGTTTCCTCCTGTTCACACGCCCCTTTGTGTCGAATTTGAATAGGAGAAGCTCTCTTTATTACAATAATTTCTCCTATTTTTTATTTATTAAAATTTATATATTTTTCATTGTTTCCATTCCTTGTTATACATCAATTTACATGGATCGTTTATGTCATATTTAAAGTAATATGAAAGTAAGAAGTCTACTTGCTCTGTCATCTGTTTACAATTAATTAATCAATATATTGATTAATTATATTGTACAGTTTTATTTATTTATTTATTGTATAAGATTTGAAACACGTATCTTATACATTTGTTCCTAGTGATGTGGACGAATATGGTTTTGAACGACCACACGATTTCGATTATGAAACTTATGAAGATTTTATGTCAGAGTACCTTAAGGTTCTCGCAAAAATGGCCAAGAAATGGGCAAAAATTATTGGCGAAGGAAAATCGTTACAGCGAAGCATTACTATAAAGAAATATGTTCGTAAAGGCATTCCAGGAGAACATAGAGGATTGGTAATACATATTATAAAGTTTCATCTATTGCGCTTCAAATTTCGATATTCAAGATAAATTGGGAATCCTAGGTATGGCTCGCTGTGAGTGGCGGGGAAGAAATAAAAAACGTGTCGCCGGAACTCTATCAAAAATTATTACAAGGTCCGCATAATACAGAAATTGCTGAAATTATAAAAACTGATCTCCCAAGGACGTTTCCAGATAATATATTCTTTAATAATACAGAGAATCAGCAGCATCAATTATACAATGTATTGTTGGCTTTTGCTCATCAAAATAAAACTGTTGGATATTGTCAGGTAACATCCAAAATGCGCACTCTGGAATATACAAATACAAATACTTTTCAAAACAAATAAATATACAAGTTGTTTTATAATGAGAGCTTCAAGCAAAATGTTTGCTTATTGCATCTTATTTTATAGTACATTTATATTTTTTAGGGTTTAAATTATATAGCAGGTTTACTTTTACTTGTAACAAAAAGCGAAGAAACAGCATTTTGGTTATTAAAAGTGTTAATTGACAAAATCTTACCAGATTATTACACGCGCACTATGGATGGTTTACTTACTGATATTGATGTGCTTGCAGAATTAGTAAGGTAAAACATAACAAAATGTACTAAAATATCATTTGTCAATAATATTTACATGTATCTGTATATTATTTATACATATAGGATAAAAATGCCTGATGTTTATCAACATGTAACAAACTTAGGGTTGCCTTGGGCAGTAATTACAACAAAGTGGTTTGTGTGCTTATTCGCAGAAGTCTTACCTATAGAGGTATATTATTAAAATATTGAATATAATTTTAAAAATACATACACAAATTTTTCCAAAATACTTGTGGCATAACTGGAAATATCAAATGCTTTAAATTTAGACTACTCTACGTATTTGGGACTGCCTCTTTTATGAGGGTACCAAGATTATCTTTCGTGTTGCATTAACACTTATAAAAAGGAACCGATCTAATCTGTTAGCTTGCCAAGATTTTACAACATTAGCTGAATGTTTCAAGGAAATTACAAAAGACAGTATTGTTTTACGATGTCACGAATTTATGCAGGTATATAGCATTGTACAGTGCATGTAACTTAAATATTGATTAGGTAGACTTATTAAAAATAAGTAAATCAAATATTTACTGTAATATTATTAGATAGATATGAGTAAAAACAAATGTATATTGATAAATTTTTTTCTCATTTCACAGAGTATTTTTAAAGTACCTGGATCACTGCCTGGTAATACAATAACAAAATTAAGAACAAAAGTAACGCAACAACGTATAGAACAAAAGCAAGATAAGCTAGGACGATAGTATTATTGACCGATTTTTTCACATACACCGAAATATTCTAGTCATTATTCATTTGCATCTTTTGCAAAATGAATGCGTGTAAAATTGTATTATATATATTTTGTTATTGCATAATTATTCTATGCTCTATTGCTGTAAATATAAGAAATTTATTTAGCAATATAAGAAATTATAGGTAACATATCTTCTCAATTACTCTGTTTATTTTAGCTTATTGTATATAGAATATAAAATAAAAAACTAGAAAATATAAATACTTTATCAATGATATATAAAGTATAATTGTGATATAAAATATAATAAAAATTTTATAATTGATATTTTAAAGAGAGATGACATAGAAATATTAATTAAATAATTAAAAAAACAATTCCTCTCAATATTTTATTATATTTAATATCAAGTTTATATACATATACATATATATATACTTTTGTTTATGTATACAAGCTTTTTGCAAAATTTTTAATCTGAATATTGAGGATATTGAAATTACACGGTAAAATTAACTGATTTAATGAATACAAATTATTAAATATTTTATTCTATTTTTTTAAATAGTTTATTTATTATCGAGAGTAGATAAATAAGATATATAAGATAAAATAATAACTATATACATTAAAATTTGGTTTTTCCTAAAATAAACATAAGATATATTACAAATGTGTACTACATGATCTCCTTTTATTATTTCTCAAGTATATCCTTTGCTTCATTAATTTTTGCAGCAATATATGGAGATCCACCACGATCTGGATGATTTACAGCCATCACTTTTTTAAATTGTTCTTTTACTTTTGCTTTACTAGCTGTAGGCGACACCCCCAAGATTAAACTAGCTTCTCGTCTGGTCATTTTTGGTTCAAACCCACCCTTATAATACTTGCTGCTTGCTAGTGACTATAAATGTTAAACAATATCAATACTTTCATGTGCATGCAAATATAGTTATAAATGAGTCGAGAAAAATAAGCATTTCTACCTGTGAATCTAGCTTTTTTACTGTCTCAGCCATTTTCTGTGATATATGTGGCATTCTCTTGAGCAGGTAACGACCAGTAAAACCTACAGCAGCAAGGCCAATACCTGCTGCTACAACAGTACTCGCCTACAGAAAAATTAGCTTTTGTAACATTTTAAATTTAAAGTCCCAAATATAATAAAATGTCTTAATAAAGAACAAAAATATATATCATAAAGGGTACAAATATAGATCATAAACTTAACCTTTAGTTGTTAATTTTAAAATTATTAATGGTATATCAGAATTAACATCTAATAGAAACTATGCAGCTCTTTTCACAATAAAATTCTTTTTATTTTACAATAATAATATATGTTTATTGACATAAAAAAAGACGTAGAAAAAAATGATGAAATATTTGAATACCTTCGACAGTTTCGACATTGAATTTATTCGTTTTTATATTTCTCGAATAGAAATTTAGTTCACATTTTTACAATATACAGAATACGATTTTAGATATTTCTCGATGAAATCGTCTGAAAAGAATTCTTACCATTTTATTTAGCTTTAAAACAACAGACGTAATTTTGTACGTAGTACACCGGGACGAAAAATATTTTCGTAGCGTGCTAACGAGCTACATTCGCTCCATCTATAGCTGTCTTTGAAGATGATTATCGCTCGTGATAAGATTGTTACACTGCATTATCGACCTTGCATACATCTCAGATATTACACAGATTTTTTTATCGAATTTTATAGAATCCCTTGTACATGTGTTATATTTATTTTATGTAGTTTTTTCATTTCTATTTTCATTTTTAAACCTTGCTGAAAATATTCCTGTTACATCTTAAATATATAAGGTATGTAACAAAACATGTACATGGAAAATATACAAACCAAATGCGTTGAAGAAAACAGAGAGCTCTGTCTCTTTTTAGATATACTTTAGATAAACTGTGGAAAGCATTTTTTGTATATGAAAAGAGAAAGAACAGAACGACGTATCTCACATTTTAAATAGAGACAAAATTAAGGATAGAGAGAGTAGAGCCGAAACGGATGGATGTTTTGCGAATCGAAAGTTTATGTCACGAGAAAGTTCTTTATACATAAACAATTACACAGAGACTTAATACGTATGAGAACTTTATTCTGAAAATAGATGATGGTCGTTGCTCAATGTCGGTTTCAGGTTTTAGATGTTATCTGCGTGTCGTTTTGAATTTCAGCTTTTCGATGTCATTAAAAGAAGTCGAACGAGGGGCACACGGATTCCTCGACCTTTTTTTTTCTATCAAGTGTTTAAGTTTCGTACCAAGTGTACACATGCAAAGACGCGACTACAAGAGCTACCAGGTGCGCGCGAGTACATTGGTCGATTACATTCGTATATGTGCGAATGTACATGTGTATATGTATATGTATATGTGAATAACGAATGTGTATGGTGTTGCGAAATACACGAGACGCATTTCGTACGCTTATAAATATCAGTTGCCGTTGAACCTGATCTCCAGCAAACTCCTGAAGAAGGCGAAAGACTTTCAAATGCCGTCGTAGCTGTCTAATTACGAGAGATCGCTATCTCTATATCTTATTACTCGTGACAATAACATCCTAAAATGAAAATGCATTTCTTCGTCTCGTTCTAGATTGCATGTATATCTTGGTTCTGATCTCTGGCTTCGTATTATAAATAAGATTATGAATCAGAAAGACAAGTAATCGCTGCACCAGGACATAGCTGTCATATTTCGAGCATAATCCAGGTAGCAAAAGTAATTACTGTAACATCAAATTACATGAAAATAACTACCTGAAAAGGCTTCATCATAATTTGAAACGTAAGAAAGTAGAATCCAGCACGTGAAATTTCGTCAGATTTCGTCCCTTTCCGTAACGCTATTAAGGAGGGAAACATCATATAAGGTCATTCGATTTTTCCTCCCTAAAATCAGGCGAAAAGAGAGTAAATACGCGTCGTCGTATCCGCTCGCTCAACGCTATTGTAAATGTATTACATCTGCGCCGCGAGACTGCTAGCCAGTGCTAGACACGCACACATATGCAAACACATAGAGAGCGAAAAGTAGGTTCTGCGTGAAAAGATAGCGCGCGGTGCACCCACGGATGAACGAGCACGAGGATGTGTGCGCGAGCGATGATCGCCCCGCGCGGGGCGAAGGATGCGCGCGCCCGTTGGCGATTTAAAATCATAGTGGACCATGGCACACGCGCGAATCGAGGAGCGGGAGCATGCACTGTATCTCTCGGCGTGCATATAATATACCACGGAGATTCAACTTTCGTGAGGGAATCGCTCGAAATTAACGCACGCCCGAATTTTACGTCGACAGAATTTTTAGAGAAAGGATAGATGTTCTCATCTGCTACGCTTATCCGTTCATATGTGTGTTCACCCTTGTGTATGTGTGTGTGCGTGCGACCTTCTCGAAAGGCCGCGAAAGAGCGTGCCCGCCGTACATTAAACGTTTGAAACCAGCGAAAAATTGTCCTTACAAAAGTCATCTTGTATTCGTTTGCGACATTTATGCCGAAGTTTCTCCTTTCTAGTCGTCTCGCGACACATTTGTACGATACTTACACTCTCCGCCTAGATTCGTGTGCGATACAGCCGTTTTAAGACTATGAAATTGACATACGCGGGACACGTAAATAGTTAGGTTAGCGTGACACGCGCGCTCGATACGAGTCGTCGCGTCTATCGAAACGAGTATACGCGTATTTATATACGCCGAGCGTGTTTACATGTATGGCTCGAGATGTTTACACGCGCTTGTGTGCACTTTACGCACGACGATGTTTGTCCCACGGGCATAAACGTCTCTCTTTCGTTGTTCCTCCGATGGCGCGCTCGCTCGCACGGACGAGTGAGAGTGAAGTTAAATACCCCTCGGAGGAAGGCGAGGAATGGCATCGGCGCATTTAGAGACGGAAGAGAAGCAGAAAAGAAAATGAAGAAACAAACTACAAGGATGGAATACGCGACTCCCCCACGTAGTCGACTCCTCGTATTTATAGTCCCCGCGTTGCTCCCGTAGCGGATTGCATCGGTCATATACACACACACACACACACACACACACACACACACACACACACACACACACACACAGGGTGTCCCAGTTATCTTCCGTCATCTTTCAAAGACAGATTCCTGGGATCATCTGAAGATGATTTTTCCTCAACGAAAACGTCGAGGCACTAATAATTTTCGAATTATAAGTGATTGGAAATAAGGGATTTTTCGTAAACTAAGCTTTGTAGAAATAAAATATTAACAAAACCACATTCTTCGGTTAATTTTAAATAGAGTTTACTTTAGTTGAGTTTTAATTTAAGACTTAATTGCAAAGATGTATGATAACAAAAATCGGGAACATGCAAAAAATGATGGCCTTCATTGACTTTTTCGCTGAGGAAAAGTCGTCTTCAAATGATCCCAGGAATCTGTCTTTGAAAGATGACGGAAGATAACTGGAACATATATATATATATATATATATATATATATATATATATATACATGCTGTCCCAGAGCTATATACAAGCTTGTGAGGAGGTAGAGTGCAATAAACTAAAGTTTCATACTGCTTTACGATTTTCGCAATAATAACAGAAATATTAAATATTAAAATCGGATGAGAAACGATCAATCGTTCGAGCTATAATACGGCCCACCGTGTTACAATTTTCACAATAATAACAGAAATATTAAAGGAACAATCGAGCGCTCCTTCCATTCGTCCGATTTTAATATTTAATGTTTCTGTTATTATTGTGAAAATTGTAAAATAATATAAGATTTTTCTGTTCAGTTATTGGTCTCTATCTCCTCGCAAGCTTGTATATAGTACTCTGATTGTGAGACATCCTGTACATATACTCTTGGACAAAATTAATGTATAACTTTTTTTCACTTTTTCTTTAAAATTTTTTGTTAAAATTTAAATATCAGCTTTTAAAGAATAAATTAAAAAAATTATGCGTTAATTTTGTCCAGGAGTATATTACATATATATATATATATATATATATATATATATATATATATATATTTGTATGTGTGCTCGAGCTCGCAAATCGTGCAACGGGTGTACGTAATGTTGCGCGCTCTTGTACGTACGTTAAAATAAACGGATGCATTCTCTAACGACGCGAGAGGCCCCTAACAGTCGGCACGAGGGTCAGGACATTTAGTCTATTGTTTCGTTTTCATGTCGTCCATCTTTTCTTCTCCTCAGGATTACTCACAAGAGATTCTTTTTCTTTCCCGCGACTGATGTTCTTGTCTCATTTCTCTTCAATTTTACCGAAGAATATCGACGAAATATTATCGATGCCGAATAAAGTGACGCATGTTTTGTATTTTGTTTAATTGAAAGATACGTTGGATCTTGTATCGGCGAGCGTTATCGCTTTATTGTTTCTCCTTTGTTGTTCTTGCGAGAAATGACTTCATTTTTTTCAGGGGGCGGATCATCGATTGGCGGAAGATAACAGAGTACAATGACTCGACGTGAAATTGCATTTTACAATAAAGGATGTTGTAGACTGGCATTGCGAAAGTCGTGTTTTACCACGGCTCGGGTACATACACCAAGTCAATGTAACGTGTAATGCGCATTTTGATTTAATGGAGCGATTTCGCTTGTAAAATGAACGTTCTTTTACCTTCATGTAGTTACCGATTTATGCGATTCACAGAGTCACCGAATATAATGACAATTTGAGCACGCGAATAAAATGAGAAGATGGATCTCGAGTGTAGATTATTACTTGACAACACGTAATGTTACAAACACGTGCGTTACGTCTTGTAATTTTGTAATCTTTGCAAATGAGTGATGATAAATATACCTTGATATGAACGATATAAATATACCTTTATTAGTGTAAATTCAGAAAATTTGGGAGATTAAAAATAAAGACTTATTTGCTTCGAGAAAAAGCGAAATCGATTTTACGAGGATTAAGAATAATACCAGAGAGATCATCGCGGAATAAAAATTTTATATCGTTCTGCATTCGTGGGTGCAAGGACGATGAGGCAATAGGCAATGCGCACTTACGTGGTATATCTTTTGATCAGTACGAACGATATATCGTATGCATAAAGACAGAGTCGACGTTTTAGCAATTTTTTTTTCAATCAAAAATACATAATTTAATTTATCAAAACTTATATATATCTTAATTTAATGAGTCTCGCGTCACGCAAAATTAGATTCATGTTACTTATTTTTTTACGGCCCATTAAACTTCATAAAATAAGTAACACATATACATACATACATACATACATATACATATATATATATATATATATATATATATATATATATATATAAATATACAGGGTGAGGCATTTATAGTGACGCGGGCGTATTTCTCGGAAACAAAGCGAGATATTAAAAAATGTTTCAGACGAAAGTTGTATGGTTTCAAGGGGGACATAAAATGGTGTTATTAGTTTGATCTTGAAGAGCCACCTGAAGGACACGCGAAGGTCAGCTCCAACTTTTTAAATGGGACACCCTATATGCTTTTGCATATTCTTGTAGCTCATCTCAAGAGCTTTCCAAAACACTATAATTAAGTTAGTTTTCATTAAGTACTTTCCAAGTTATGAGGCTTGAAATCATTTTTTAATTTTACATAAACCGTAAAATATCTTGTAAAATATTCATTTTTCGATTATTTTACCTTAATACTTTTATGTACAAAATAATGAGAAAAATCAATTGGTGTAAAGAAAACTCATAGTTGTTTCGAAAAAAAAAATGTAATTTGCAATTAACAATTACATATTTTTTCTTAAAAATAACTATGTCTTTTCTTTACACCAATTGATTCCTCTCATTATTTTGTACATAAAAGTATTAAGGTAAAATAATCGAAAAATGAATATTTTACAAGATATTTTACGGTTTATGTAAAATTAAAAAATGATTTCAAGCCTCATAACTTGGAAAGTACTTAATGAAAACTAACTTAATTATAGTGTTTTGGAAAGCTCTTGAGATGAGCTACAAGAATATGCAAAAGCATATAGGGTGTCCCATTTAAAAAGTTGGAGCTGACCTTCGCGTGTCCTTCAGGTGGCTCTTCAAGATCAAACTAATAACACCATTTTATGTCCCCCTTGAAACCATACAACTTTCGTCTGAAACATTTTTTAATATCTCGCTTTGTTTCCGAGAAATACGCCCGCGTCACTATAAATGCCTCACCCTGTATATACAGGGTGTCTCAAAACTCATAATGAATCTTTCAAAGACAGATTCCTGGGATCATCCGAAGACGATTTTTCCTCAACGAAAATGTCAAGGCACTAATCCAATCACTAATAATTTTCGAATTATAAGTGATTGGAAATAAGGGGTAAACTAAGCTTTAGAAATAAAATATTAACAAAACCACCTTCTTCGATTAATTTTAAATAGAGTTTACTTTAGTTGAGTTTTAATTTAAGGCTTAATTGCAAAGATGTATGATGACAAAAATCGGAAACATGCAAAAAATGATGGCTTCATCGACATTTTCGCTGAGGAAAAATCGTCTCCAAATGATCCCAGGAATCTGTCTTTGAAAGATTCATTATGAGTTTTGAGACACCCTGTATATATATATATATATATATATATATATATATATATATATATATATATATCGCAAAAGTCCTGGCATGGAAACCACCGGTTTATGGTCTTGTAAAACTGTTACTCTATCTCGACATAAATTGCAGGATATAATCATTATAATGGATAAATGTGTGCGATGTATATTAAGAGGAGAGAGACCATGTGTTAATACATGTATGTACATATTATATTAATGATAAATGATACGAGGAGAGCGCGGACCGCGCGATCCAGCGGGATCGAAGCAACGTGCGCCGTGCGCGAGAGGCGGCGCGAATTGGGAAGAACGGAACGCAACTGCGCTGCCTTGCGCTGTGTGAAACGCAAGGGGAGGAGGAGAGTCGCGAGGTGGGCCGGAGTAGGGACCATACGTCAGCGTGTACCGCCTCGCTATCGCGCGGAGAATCACGGACAGATCAAACATGGCGATTCAGTCGCTGTTTACGGTGAGAGCAGACGGCTTCTAGCGCCCTGGTGGCGTGTACCAGTGCACAAGAGGGACTTTCTAACGGCGGAGCGGGCTTGTGCCATCGTGAATTGACGGATTTCGCTGGATATCGTGAGCATGGAGACGTGCGAGGCGGAAACGACGACGGAAAAAGCGTCGGGTGGCGTTGGTATTGATAGCGGAATATATGACGCGAAGGGCGTCGTGTACTCCGTAATAGCGGAGCCAACGCCTGCGACGTCATCACGCCCACTTTCCGGACGGGTGCCGCGATCTGTCGGCGGCAGCGCGGAATGCAAACCGAACGTTGATCGTTCGAACGGCAATAAGGTAAGGAACTGTCGTTATTAAGGGGATCCTTCAAGCGTACTTTTTTATCGACAAAAACACGAAATTTTTGGGCAAGTGCCATTTTTTATTGCCTGTATAAAATTAAAAATCCTTTTCCACGGTTGAAGTATAGATGCGAACGGATAGCGCAAAACTGATTATATACTGAGAAAAAAAAGTATAAAATTATATATTTATTTATCGACTTCTTAGATCAACATGGCGTCTAAAGCTATCACCTCATAAAAACATTAGCCTTGTATAAATGTTTTGTAGCATTTATGCATAAAACAATAGCATATCCCATAATGAACTACACAATAAAAACTTGTGCAATTGTGAAAATTGAGTTTAGTAGTCTAATTAATAAATGGCATGTGCCCAAAAATTTCGATCCGTATGTACCTGAAATATCAGTACAGTAGAGTGGAAAAAGCAGTGCATCTTCTTTATAAATAATGTGATAGAGAAAGATACGAGATGAGGGCGCTGTAATCGTGTAAGAGTTCATCATCCAATGAGGAATCTCCTTAACACCTGATGATAAATGAGACGCATCGTGTGAAATCAGGCTTGCCGTAGATTTCAAAATTATGTTTATGAATTATGTATTGATTATGTGATTCTTACATACGCATGTAAATAATTCGCATACACTTTTTTTCATCTAAATATATAAACTATTCTAAATTCAACGTCACAATGCAAAAAAGAATAATTGCGTTATAAAATAGTGTTAATATAATATAATACATTGAAGCCTAAAAGTAAAACGTTGAGAGGGTAGCATCCCTTGTACGCGCTAAAGGACCGTCTACAATGGAGGTAGTAAGACCAAAGATTAGGATAAGTCTTTGATTAGGTGACAATAAGGCAATAGATAATAAGAAATGGAAATCATTTGATTTATTCCTAATTTTATTCCAGTAAAACTGCCTTATTTTCTACTCTGGTCTTGCTACCTCCATTATAGACGGTTTTTTAACCGTGTACTAAGCCACTCCCCCACATTGGCATGGTGGATGACATGGAAGTGGTAATGGTCCAGTTCAGCAAGCTGTGTAAACTGTGGACGCAATACCGCCTCCTGGACTCCTGGGCAGTGTAGAAAGAAAAATGTTCATGCAAGTCTCGCGAAGAGCCCTTATACAATACTAGGTAATAAGCAATGGGAAAATAGTATCTATTCTCTGCTTCTACTGATGAATATTTTCTATTCCCTATTCCTATTGCCTGTTGCCTAGTATTGTGCAAGAGTCTTAATCATTGTGTGAAACCATTTCTATAGTCCTAAACATAATGGGAATAATCTCATTAGAATATATGAAAGCCTAGTTCTACTTTAGCGAGGTTCCAGTATATACAATAGTTTATACAATATAATAATATAAGTACATTTTTTTTATCAGTATAAAATCAAGTTTGTTAAATTCTTTATTTGATTTCTTGGATATTATAAGATTGTTGTATATCCTTGTTATATATTTAAATCATATATAACGTAAACAAAACTCTGATAAACCATATTTTATAAATTATTAATTGTTGACATAAATGATATATTAAACATAATTTACATTACTCATGCATATTATAATTTATGGATAAATGTTGTACCCTGTGTAAATCACTGTTTTGTATTTTAATAACATCGACATATTTGATTGATGAATAATTAATAATGGCAATTTGCGTCTAGTAACTATTTATTCTTGTATAGTATAGTCTAGATTTGAAATGTAAATATTTTGAAATTTTTTCATTTTATTAAATTTGTTTATGCTTTCTTTTATCTCGAACATATTATAAATATACAGCTGCAAACATTTGTAAGATTTGACTATTATATTTAGTTAGTCGAATTCATTTAATGATGATAATTTTGTTTTTTGTGTGTTTTACAGCATAAAACATCACTTATAAAAAACTATGGAAGATTGGAAAGCGGTAGCGGTAGCGGTGATCAAGACGGCGGTCAACATGAAGATATCGCAGCAAAAAAGAGGAAAACTCGCAGGGGTAAACCTAAGCACAGGAAGTTAAAACCGTATTTGAAACAATTATCTTATCAGCAACAGTTGCGGAGCAACAGGTGTATCGGTAGAATTGCAAAAACTAATAGGCAACCACCAGCTCTATATAATACTACACAATTCCTTATGGATGATCATAGTGATCTACCTGATCTTGAACAAAAATTATCAGAAGCGGCATCATTGGAAGTACCTGCCATGTTTCAGAAACCACCAGCGCCGCCGCGCACTCGTGATTCCAGTTTTAGTGTAGATTCCGATGAAGATTATTTTTATTCATCTCCGGAAGATGAAGAAGAGTTTTTAACAAAAGAATTTTCGACTGCATACGAAGACCTTCACGAAGAAAGATTGAGCACTTTAACAAAAACAGAATTAATACAAGAATATAGACATTTAGAAGCTAAAATGGATTCATTAACAAAAAGATTACGTAATAAGAGCATTCATCAAATAGAAGAAAGAGATTCGGAAAGTAAAAACGTATCTACTACAGATTCTGAGATAGCGAAGAAATTAAAGTTATGTCAACAACGAATTGATGATCTAATACAACAAAACGAGCAGCTAAGACGAGAAAACGAAATGTTACGTACTGAAAAAAGATTATGCGCGAGCAGTTCAGAGTCTAGTGTCGATAGTGAAAGCGACAGCGACAGTTCTAGCAATAGCAACCAAAGTGGATGTAGTTGCTCTCTTTCAAGTCCAGGAACATCTCCCAAGCATACTTACAAACCTAGATTAGATAATAATATAAGAACAGATAAAAAAAACGATAGCTGCGATACTAGCCAAAGCGGAAGCCCCAGGACATCTATAACACCTACTAATTTCTCTAACAGGCACGTAGTTATGAATGAAACAGGTAGTTTTCCTACATAAATTCTACTTTCTCTTGAATCAAATTAAAAAATGAATCAGCAAACAACAAGGCAGATCTGTATTTATATACGGTTCGGCCAATTAAATGTATATTAACATTGCATTCAATATTGTGAAATTATGAATAGTGAAGCATACATTGTATGCATTTATTCAATATATGTACCTTACATATATATATATTTAAAAATAGTGAAATTTTCAGTAAATTTTGTTGTAACAGCATTCTCAATCTCTCTCTGATATCTGCTAAATCTGATTAGACTTATTATTTAATATTTTATTGTAATTTGCTTTTCACGCTCTTTTTTCTTTTAAGACTGTGTATGTCTGTATATACATATATACGTATATATATATATATATATATATTTACATACATATACAGTTATATGGATTCACATATGTATAACAATGATAAATGTAGGATTAATAGGAGAATCTAATCTCTATCTTCTGCAAAATTACTTTTGTATTTATTTGTTTTTTTTTTATTTGTTTTAAAAAATATTTACCATATATATTATGTATTGCTTTTTTCTCCAATTTAGTATCACATATAATGCACTTTAATTACATTTCCTCAGCCTGATTTTGTTTTTTTGCATACTGCCAATTACAAATGCTAAGTTTATAAATAGGCGGTCTACAGACCATCAACTAACGCAGATTTATGTACATATATGCACATGAGTACATAAAAACAATTCTCTCGTTTTTTTATTCATTAAAAAAATATGTATTATATGTAATATACTGAAAATATGTGATGAAAATTATATTATAGAAGAAATATATATTAAAAATATATATTAAATCTTTGTACAATTGTATAGTTTTAGAAAGTAAGACAAAAAATGTTAGTTTATGGTCTGAAAATGTAAGATATGCAAAAATATGTTTTACAACATTTCCGAGATTTTTAATAAATCTTAAGTTCTACTCTAATGTATACATATATTTTTATTCTCAAATTAGAGACCGGACACAGCTTGATTTTAAATTAAAAATCTCATAACACTATATAAAATACTATAATTTATAAAATACTATAATTTTCAGAATAAATTGAAATATTTTGCAATATGTATATAATAAAATATTTCAATTTATTTTAGAAAATTCTAAGAAAAGGATTGATTATTGTATTCATTAATTTAATTGTATTAACCGTCAAAGAATTGTAATGAAATGAGAATTTTTCCTACAAGTTAAAAAACATGAATTAGTAAATTGACTAAATACCGAAGTTGAAACAAATTTATTATTGAAAATATTAAAAAACTGAAAAAGATAATTATATATGCATACGAAATTTAAACTGATTGGATTGATTCTTATAAATTTCTGTAAAAGTAACATTAATGAGTGATTTTATTATTTCTACATAGGCATATATTTCTAAAAATAAAAGTGGAAAAATCTGATATACATAACAGTGTAATGGAAAATAAGCATGCTGTGTCCATTTTCCATTTTACAATAATTAAACAAATATTTTGTCAGCAAATATAATAAAAATGAAAATGTGAACATTCTTAGATATATGAATGAAATAAATCAGATATATATAAAAAGTATAGTACGTGAATAATTACATCAAAAAAATCTACGCGAGTAAAGTGGTGAATTAGTAAATATATAAATTAATTTTTAAATTTTAACTTAGAAAATCTATATATAAAAAAAGAGTATAATATATAATAATTTTAATAATAATTATTATATGATTGTTATTTATAAAATATATGACATTGAATGCATTCTGTTTGATGCTATTTTCATTTTGAAACGTCAAGTGTAGCTTTATATTTTTGAATTTAAAAATCGGATTTAAGGATGAATTATACGGTCATTATATAATCAGTCATATCAGAAGTTAATAAATCTAATGCATTTCAAGATTTGTGAATTTAACATTGTACAATTTATTCTTTTAGTTTTTTAAAATATAAAATTTACAATTAATTTGTTAAAGTGAAGATTTGCTCTGCATGTAATTTCATCTCAAAATCCTAAATATTATGACTTATTTTTATATTGACTAACTATGATTTTAACTATATGACGCAAAAATTCATAAAAATAATTTTAATTTATATAATACAAGATAATACAGATAATTTATAATATTATCTAAAAATGGAAAAAATAAATAAAAGTAAAATAGTGGAATAATTTTTTATTATGTTATATAAATCATATTGTATATTGAGATTTTTAATTTTAAATGTAGTAAAAAAGTGTATATTTGTAAAAACGATTTTTTCGATTTTAGCTATTTGGCGGAAATAGTAAAAAATATCTACATCGAATAATATACAAATTATATGCAACGTTAAAATAAATTTTAATAATTTATACCTTTTATATCAAATAGACAAATCGGAAGGCTTGTCAATTTTTATGATAAAGAAAAAAGTTATTTTTACAATTTTCAGAATTTTCTGCGATTTACAAATATCTGTCCAGTTATTCCTTAAGTTGGCATCCTCAACAGACATGCGTTGTAAAGCAGCTTAACACGCTTGAGATGTGACCAACTTCATGGCGCGATAAATCGAAAAACACACGAGCAAAGAGAGAGCGCTCAGTTGAAATTTGTGATCGAACATTAGAGAGAGTATCGGCTCTCAGACCTCGTATATTATGAAAGCAATGTCCCATCATTACATAGTGACGGCGCACAAACCAACCGCTGTCACTGCTTGCGTGACTGGTAAGTTATTAAATTCCATGAAATTAAAGGGCGAAAATTGATACATCTCTTTTGTAATCCTTTCGTTGCATTCTACTTCACAAGGTAATTTTACTTCGCCTACTGACTTGAATCTGATATTGGCTAAGAATGTACGTTTGGAGATATATCTTGTAACACCAGAAGGTCTAAGACCCCTGAAAGAAGTCGGTATCTATGGTAAAATAGCAGTCATAAAATTCTTCAGACCGCCGGTAAGGTTAACTTTATGTACGATGTTATTTGTGTGTATGTGTGTACGTGTGTACATATTGTATCAAAACTCATATTTATACCGGTTATGTTTTCTGTTTATATTTATATTTTTTTCATTTTTCTTTTATTAATAAGAGATTTACGAAATAAGATATTTAAGAAATAATTATTTCAATTTTCAGTAATTTGTATGAATTTAGACTTTTATATATTTTTAATGAGAAAGAGAACATGAATAGAAAAACTTCTCTCTAAGAGAGGGAAAAAATATATAAAAATCTATTATATATAAACAATTGTGCATAGTTATAACATTGTCTCTTAAAGATCGTTTAGAAAATTTACTTCGGTGTAAGATTACAGTTTATATTATAATATTTATAAAAATTTTTGTTCTTTAACAGCATGAAAAGAAAGATCTCCTGTTTCTATTAACGACAAGTTATAATGCTATGATCTTGGAATGTATGGGCGAAGGAGAAGATATAGAAATTATAACAAAGGCTCATGGAAATGTGGCAGATCGTATTGGAAAAGCTTCCGAAACTGGGATCAAAGCTGTTATTGATCCAAAAGCTCGAGTTATCGGTCTCAGATTATACGATGGTCTTTTCAAAATTATACCCTTGGACAAAGATAACCCAGAATTGAAAGCATCTTCCATTCGTATGGATGAACAACAAGTACAAGATGTCAATTTTCTTCATGGATGTACTAATCCTACGTTAATATTAATTCATCAAGATATTAATGGTAGACATGTGAAAACACATGAAATCAACTTAAGAGAAAAAGAATTTTCAAAAATACCATGGAGACAGGACAACGTAGAGCGAGAAGCTATGATGGTCATTCCTGTACCTTCTCCTATATGTGGTGCGATCATAATAGGACAGGAAAGTATTTTATATCATGATGGTACTACATATGTTGCCGTAGTACCACCAATTATAAAGCAAAGCACTATTACTTGCTACGCCAAAGTGGATAATCAAGGATTAAGATATTTATTGGGAGATATGGCTGGTCATTTGTTTATGTTATTTTTAGAGCTAGAAAAGAAGCCTGATGGAACGCAAGTGGTGAAAGATTTAAAAGTCGAATTATTAGGCGAAATCAGTATACCAGAATGCATAACTTATTTGGATAATGGCGTAATATATGTCGGTAGCCGTTTAGGTGATTCTCAGTTGATCAAATTAATTACAAAAGCAGATGAAAATGGATCTTATTGTGTACCTATGGAAACTTTCACCAATCTAGCACCTATTGTTGATATGGCTGTAGTAGATCTCGAAAGACAGGGCCAAGGACAGATGGTAACTTGTTCGGGCGCTTTTAAAGAAGGTTCCCTTCGAATTATTAGAAACGGCATTGGCATACAAGAACACGCAAGTATCGACTTACCAGGAATTAAAGGCATGTGGGCTCTAAAAGTTGGTGGTGGCAATTTTGATAATACATTAGTATTATCATTTGTTGGACAAACTAGAATCTTGACTTTAAACGGTGAAGAAGTTGAAGAAACAGATATACCAGGTTTTGTTGCAGATGAACAAACATTTCATACAGGCAATGTCACTAATGATTTATTTATTCAAATAACTCCAACATCCGCTAGATTGATCTCGCATGAGAGCAAAATGGTAGTTTCTGAATGGGAACCGCAAAATAAAAGAACCATCAGTGTGGTAGCCTGCAATGGCACCCAAGTCCTTTGCGCCACAGGAAATGATCTGTTTTATATGGAAATTTCATGCAATCAAATTGTACCCAAAGGATTTGCCACATTGCAACACGAAGTAGCATGCTTAGATATTTCCCCTCTGGATGGTGTAAATGAGGCCAAAATTGTCGCTGTTGGACTTTGGACAGACATATCTGTTCGTATTTTGACTCTTCCTGGTTTAGAAGAAATCAATAAGGAGCTTCTTGGAGGTGAAATTATACCCAGATCTATTTTAATGACTTGTTTCGAGGGCAACACATACTTACTTTGTGCCCTGGGTGATGGCAGCATGTATTATTTCACTCTGTACAAACAAAACGGTGTGCTCTCGGATAAAAAGAGAGTCACTTTAGGAACGCAACCTACGGTTCTCAGAACCTTTCGATCGCTCTCAACGACGAATGTATTCGCGTGCTCAGACAGACCCACCGTAATTTATTCTTCAAATCACAAACTTGTCTTTAGCAATGTCAATCTCAAGGAAGTTAATCATATGTGTTCTCTGAACGCGGAATCATATCCCGACAGTTTAGCATTAGCAACAGATAGCACTGTCACGATTGGTACAATCGACGAAATTCAGAAATTGCACATAAGAACGGTTCCACTCGGCGAGTCTCCGAGGAGAATCGCTTATCAAGAAAGCTCTCAAACGTTCGGCGTCATTACAATGCGCGTCGACGTTCAAGAGAGCAGCGGTGTGAGCATCGTTAGGCATTCCGCATCCACTCAGGCAGCTTCCCTATCCAGTGGTATCGCATCGCATAACAAACCCAGCGGACATACAGCCAGTGAGATTGGCCAAGAGATTGAGGTACACAATCTTCTCATTATCGATCAGCACACTTTTGAGGTCCTGCACGCTCATACCCTAATGCCGACCGAGTACGCGTTATCACTGATCTCGACGAGATTGGGCGAAGATTCGACTTCTTATTATGTAGTCGGAACCGCGTTTATAAATCCTGACGAGACTGAGCCGAAAATGGGTCGAATACTTTTGTTTCATTGGAGTGACGGAAAGCTCTCGCAGGTTGCGGAGAAGGAAATCAAGGGTTCTTGTTATTCTCTAGTAGAATTTAACGGAAAACTTTTAGCGAGTATCAATAGTACAGTACGTTTGTTCGAATGGACCGCAGAAAAAGAGCTCAGATTGGAATGCAGCCATTTCAATAACATTATAGCGCTTTATTTAAAAACTAAGAGTGACTTTGTCTTAGTGGGTGATCTTATGAGGTCCCTCACATTACTTCAGTACAAAACTATGGAAGGCAGTTTCGAGGAGATAGCTAGAGACTACAATCCCAATTGGATGACTTCTATTGAGATACTAGATGACGATACTTTCCTAGGAGCTGAAAATTGTTTCAATCTTTTTATATGTCAAAAGGATAGGTATGTGCTTATTGTGTTTACAAAAATATTTAAGTTTATGAGACTTTTAATAGATAACTTTTAATAGTGTAATGTTGTTTTTAGTGCCGCGACGTCCGAAGATGAGAGACAACAAATGCAGGAAGTAGGTCAGTTTCATCTAGGTGACATGGTCAATGTCTTTCGACATGGTTCATTAGTGATGCAGAATTTGGGAGAATCAAGCACACCTACCCAAGGTTGCGTATTGTTCGGGACTGTTAGCGGTGCGATCGGTCTTGTGACACAAATTCCGTTTGGATTTTACGAATTTCTGCGCAATTTGGAGGACAAATTAACCAGCGTAATAAAAAGCGTAGGCAAAATAGAACACAACTTTTGGAGGAGTTTCAAGACGGATTTAAAAATTGAGCAATGCGAAGGGTTTATAGATGGTGATTTAATAGAATCTTTCCTCGATTTAAGCCACGACAAAATGGCGGAAGTTGCGATGGGCCTTATGGTAACTCAATATTATATTCTCTTTGAAGTGTATATTTATAAATAAATTGTAGATTATAATTTTCAGAAATATCTTAATATTTATTATATTTTTTTCATAGATGGATGATGGCAGTGGAATGAAGAAAGAAGCAACAGTAGACGATCTTGTAAAAATAGTAGAGGATCTCACAAGGATACATTAAATAGTAGTAAACAAAAATAAATAATAAATAACATTAAAAAATAAATAATATAAGTCTCTGTGAAAAGTATCTGTAAGGATACGAGAAGATATAAGAGAGAGTCAAACGATGATTTAAGCGGAAAGGCAAACATATATATAGTTATCTTTGTTATCATCGATAGCAATTTAACGGCATTACAGAAGCATGTAAATCTTCTCTTTTGCGATCTCCATATCCTTTCGTATATCAAATATGTATGCAGCACCAATGTTGTTTTAGCGATGTTAAAGATTGCGAAAAAAATTAAGATTCCTCCATCGCTCGTTTATCGCACGTTTTTTAGTGTCCTTAATGACAAGCAATATTTTCTTTTAAAATTATACATGAAAGACGTAGACTGTATATGATGACACGAGTTAATATATTATCTTTAAAGAATACTCAAATTTGTAGTATACTTTTATAACTTTGTAAGATCGAGTGTAAATAAAAAAGGACGAGGCACTTTAAAATAACATTCTTTCTCATCGCATAACGACATAATAATTGCTCATTTATTAGCATTGATCGTGGCTTTCAGTGTTTCCGGGTCGAATAACCAGCCGCGTAGATCTTGTACACCTTGACCCGTCATTCCACTGGTTTCCATTACGGTAATCTTCTGCGTTACTTCTCTTTGCAAACGTGCGTATTGCAGCATCAACAAAGCTTCGTTTCTCATTTGACGGTATGAAACATCCATCTTATTCAAAATAAGCGCGACTCTTGCGTTTCGTAATCTCGGTTCCACCAGGAAGGAATAGAGCAATACACCCGCTGCGCTTATTTGACAAAGATTACTCGTATCTACTACGTAGATTATTTTATGAATCTAACAACAATGTAACAGTTATTTTAAAATTGTATCATGCGCGAATTTATTGTGACGCGATTATTTTGCGATACCTTGTCAAAGTAATGCTTCCATATCGGTGCCATGCTACCTCCGATTTCTTTGATTACCATGTCGAATTCCCCAGTATCGTTTTTTACAGTAAACAAATTTATCCCATTGGTAGGTACAGTGTAAGTCGCATCATCGATCTCGTCTCCTTGAAGACTTTTCATTAAGAGAGTTTTGCCCGATTTAAATGGCCCAAGACAGAGACACATTTCTTTTTCGTATTTAAAGCTCCGTCGAATAGTTCACTTTTTGCGTTAAGACTATGAACCGTCTGACTGTGAATAAATAAATAAATATATATTATATATGTTATAGTCTTCATATTTATATGAGAGAATCGCATACTTGTATAGAAGACGGCAAACTATTATTGATTTAACAGGTTTACCGCCAGAACAATATAGTTTCACTGACAATGGTAACTAAGGCGTGCAGTTGCAAAATTAATTAAATCAAACATTTAAAAATGTTTTAATTTGGACTAGTTTTGTTTTATTTAAAGACTTGACACTATCAAAAATTGAAAGTATTTCAAAATTATTTAAACATTTCATAATTTTTACATATATTTTCTTTTTTTATATTTCCTCTGATAATTTTATTTAAATTTGCAATTAGACGCCTCAATTAAAATCGTAATTTTATTCACAGCTTAACTTCAGTACAATATAAAGATTTTCATAGACTCTAAATCTATTATATTTATATTTACAATATGTAAATATGTGAACACCATATGTATAATATACATTCTTTCCTCTAAATACGAAAAATATATTAAAATTGCACTTACAATTTTAAGCTTTTATTGCGATATAATAGTTTTGTTTGACAAAACTGAAAAATTAATATTTTCTATCTATCACCTTCTCATCTCTCCTCCTTTAGAAAAAACTCATAAAGTTTCTACATTGCGATCTATTAAAAAACTTTGCACAATGGAGAGTAATGTTGTTAATCACTATCTAAGTAATGGCAGTAATTTCCTAATTTAGTGTACATTTCTCAATTTTTACAGAAATACAATATGCACGATATAATTATTATATCTATACATAATAAGTATCGCATGTACATAATCTCAATATAACATATTCATTAAATTCATAAAAATAATACAATCATAAAAACAATAATTTGTTTCATTAATAAGAAATTTGCCTCAAAGCTTAAGTTTAAAATTTATTAAATGTAATCACGAGTTTTCTTGTTTATTTCCCCATGTTAACATTTGCATGTACGCGCAAAAACATATATCTATTCTTTGATTAATTTCACATTATGGCTTATCGCACATTTTGGGGTACGATTTCTTAAATACCTAAACATGTTTAATGTCTATGGCAAAAAATGAAATAAATGTTATAAAATGATAATGTATTTTTTCCATAAAAATGTGTATCACAAATTAAATATTGAATTAAGCGCAATATCATTGTCATTATAAACATTAAAAGTGATACTTTTGTAAAAATTATGTAGTTTTCTAAGAAGTGTTAATACAGAATAACGAATATTTGTGAAACACAACAATGAACAAGAGTATAACAGTTTATATAAATTATTAAGTGAATGTATTTTCAATGTGTATCCAATTTCCACATATATTTTTAAACAGCTTTTTAAAATGTTTACGTTTATTGAAAAAATTTCATTTTATGCAATCTTAAGTGTCGCGATATTTTTGAATGCGTACATAAAACTAAAAGTTGCTTTTGCACAAGACATACATAATTTTCATTTTTGCGTCGATTCAATCTAAATTCTTTACAAATGTACATTTTACACTTTTACACAAGTTGTGTACATTGTAATCTTTCATACAGAGCATATAATTGGTAACAATTTCAGCCAGTACTTTCCCACTACAAATAATTAACAGCCAGTACTTTCCCACTATAAATAATTTTTACATCTGTGTCATAATCTGTGAATTTATTATAAAAATGATAAATAAAATTATTTCATTTAATATTTCATGTTCTAAATCTAGCAAATATTCATTAAATGTATAACACAAATAAAAGCAATTCAGGAAATGTGATAATAGCATAATGCTATTTATAGTGAAAAAGTTAAAATACACACACACAAATTTGTTATGTCGTCATATCTTCGATGCCAAATGAATCTCCTGTTCCATTTAGTATTATTTGGGTTGTTAACTGATTGGCTTTCAGTTTTAACATAATTATTTTCGAAGTAGAGAATTCCTAGGCATGCTATGTATGATATCTTACAGTAAGGCACGCACTTGAATGGGCATTTGCCACGAATGCAAACGTTTGTCTTTACTCCCTGCTATGATCTGAAAGATAACATAGTTCAATTGATATTTAATAGCATTTTATCCTTATACACTATATTTTTTATTTAATTAAAAATTAAAAAATATATATAATAAAAATAAATATTTATTGATTTATGAAAAAACATAATTTAAAAAGAAAAATTATACAAAAATTCAAGAAAAAATACTAGTGAGAGAAATTGTTGTAACAAGAGATAGTTTAAGCTTTTATACATACCTTATTATTTACAACTTCTATACTTAATAACATATTTCCTGGGCCAGGTATACTACATACTAGTTTGTGGTTCTGTAAACAGATTTAATTAAATATAAATGACATGGAGCGTGATCAGTTGTAATTAATTAATTACATAATTTGCGATAAAAGCGATATAACATTTACCCTTGTATCAAAAACGTAGATATTGCCGTCATAACAGCCTGCAAACAATAATTGTCCGTGAAGCCGCATACATACGATACCGACTCCAGCATCATATTGAATTGTTTGTTCACCCGTCTGTAATTATATATATTTTATGAATGACAATTCAATTCAATCCTATTTTGAAAGATGTAAAATTAATAAAACTGTTATACACCGCTTACCGTGAAATCAAAAACATTGATGGACGTGCTACTTGTACCACAATAGATTAGATTATTATGGCGCATCAAGCTGTAAACCGTGTGATTTTTTTGACCGCTAATCGTACGAAGAAACAAGCCGGTTTGCGCGTCTCGTATTGTTATCGGCTGATTTCGAGAGGCCACGATGAGAATTCTTCGCGCACCTTCATTCGTCGCTTTAAGAGCAAGGACAGATTTGTCCGAAAACTCTATACTGCTTCCTTTAATACTACTAGCCTGTGTAAAAAAAATCCATTTACACATAAGTACACTAAACATACAAATTTAATTTGTTAATATTATAAATAGTTTTCATACAAATATTTCATTATTATTCAATTCCTCTGCATTTAAAGAAAAATAGTTTTAGAATTAAAACAAAAATACGTAATTTACCTTGATATGAAAACGCGAAACATGTCCAGATTTAGTCCCGATAAAAATCATTCCCCACGATTGATCCATGCATTGAATCGGACTGTTTATTTGCACTGGATTCTTTATCAATGCACCCGTCTAAAAAAAGGCAGTATTTTTTTGTTGTTTTTCAATAAATACTTGTTATAGCTATAACACTGTTTATAATTTAAAACATTAATTTTACCATTATATTGTAACAACGCAAAGTGCCATCTAAGGAACCGGAATACATAACTTCCTTGTTAGCGCCTCCAATCTCCGATTTGTAGATATGCAGACAAGTAACCGCAGATTTGTGACCTTTGTAGATATTCAATATTCCGTTAGACGTTTGGCTATATCTGTATATCTTGCCGTCTTCACTTGCTGCTAGGAAAGAGTTTTCAAAGATCTGGAGAAAAAACGAGAATAAAAATTATTTATTTATTTAGTTAACATAAATATATCTTATGTAAAAGTATATCAGATATTTACCTTGATATCTAAGATAGGACCTTTGTGGACTGTGTATTGCATTTTCATTGCTTCCTCTTCTTCATCGACCTCCATCGAAGCGGCTCCTTGAGCGGAATCATCATCGTTATTTTGTTTAATTGGTCTCTCATCCAAGATTTCAATCTCGGTATTTTTTTTATCGCAGGATTTTTCCGAAAGAAAGTGAGAGCTTTGTTCTGAAGTCGCGGCAGGGATTACTGCCATATCTTGATTGTATGTGGCACATTGCATATGGGATATATCACTTGATACGAAGCGATTGATAGCGATTATTCCAAGTTTATCTAAAATCTCCCGATTGACATTTTGTTTAAACATGGTATGTTTACAGTCGATCAGCCTCACTTTACAGTTCATCATTTGCCATTCCGTGTGTTTTCTTTTTTTCGCGTTTATCGGAGTCTTGTTCTTCGACGATGCGGGTTCAGCAGAAAGACGCGATTTCGCTTGATCAGTCTTGGTTTCACAATCGATAATCGATACTTTTCGATTAGCTATGCTCTGCGTTTTTTGAGCAGCACGATTCCTTTTAATGTTATTTAAGATTTTTTCATCGCGCATCGTCCACGAAGGCGATCCGCTCCTGCATTGCGTTAGATCTCTTTCGTGAACGTTCAATTGTTCGCTACTGTTTGAATTAGAATCAGTCGCTTTGACATTCTCATTGGTATATCTAGTGCTTCTACGCACTGGTGCCGACATGCCGGATTTTTTACGAGACCGTGATTTACTCGTTTCCGTACCCTTCGCGGTTATCTTGTCGAACGAAAAGACAGACGTGTCGGTGGATTCTTCCGACTTTTCGCTTGCTCGATCAATCGAAACGGAACTGCGGGTATTTTGATCATTATCCATAATCGCTTCGAATACACGTGATCCGCTTTCAGGATCCGAGACACTCGAGTCATTTGTTACATTTGCCATCGTTACCTTATTGTTAGATGCGACGCTATCACCTGTATCTTCGTTCTCAATAGTATTGGTGTATTCGGATTTTGTGGTATTTGATTGCGGTGCATTTTGTGTATCCCTCACGTTGTTAATTGTCTCGTCTTTTTGTAATTCGCACGCTTTATTCTGCCCATCGCTCACGTCTACCGCTTGTTTATCCTTCTCCTCGATTAAATTCGTTTCACTCTCCTCTTTTCTTTTATCTTCTTGCACGACTTGGATCGACTTGACGGTCAATGAAGTGTCCTCATTTTTCTCAATTGATTTCTCAGAGTTAGTTGTTGCAAGCACATTTGTGGTAGAGTCGACTAGTCCGGTGCCGACGACGCCGCCTTCCGTGTCTTTAAATTTCTGCAACAATCCTAAACTGAAATCATCTTTTATCAAAATCTTAGGCACGGATACTCTAATATCGAAATTTCGCAACGCAACGTTATCCTTCGGCGGGACATCGCAATCCAAGGAATGGCTCTCGATTAAAGTTTCTTCAGGAGTGACGCTACTGTCAGGTTCTACGTTATGTTCATCGTGGAAAGGAGTCTTGTTCTGATTCACGACTTTAAAGACGTGATTCGATTCGTCGTTGGTGGGTGCATTGTTACTGTCTTGCTGTCGTTCCGCGGCCTCCTCTATATTTTCCTTCTCTCGACAGGGCCAGTCCGAATTCGCCGCTTCGGCATCGACGTAAAACTGATGTTCCTCAGGCTGCGACAAGAGATTGGACGTTGTCGGAATGTCAGAAACGTTCTGCGTCTGAGGCTCGTAAAGATTCTCCACTCTGTTCTCCGCCACCGCGTTTATCACGTCGTCCACATTCTTTAAGACCTCTGGATCGACATCTACGTTCGCGTCTTCCTTTCTTTGACTGAGCGAGTCGAGCAGATCACGCTTCTGTCGCAATTTTCTGATGTATAACTTGGACAAGGGCAGTTCTTCCTCCTCCATCGTCAAGTTATTGACTCTCTTCAGGTAGTTGTTCAGCTGTTCCTTCTTCTTCTTGCGCACAATCGCCTTCAATTTTCGTGACCTGGCTTGTTCTTTCTTAAGTTTTCTCGTTCAAGTTTCGTTCTCGTCCAGTAGAACAAGGCCCGTTACATTCCTGTTCTCCTGCACTTCCGATGCGGTGTTCTGCACCAGGAAGTCCCATGTGCTGTCATCAGAATATATGGACAAAGATTCTGGTGTACTGCGCAATTGTACGCTCGCCGGCTGAGAATTCGCTGCCTTGCTTGGTATTGAAATATCGTTTCTCTTATCGATATCGAAGCATTTCGCGTGCTCTCGTTCAGTAGAATCCTCTGTATGATTATCCGCACTTTTATCTAGACTAGATCTATCGATCGCAGGCTTCAAAGATTCATCGATCACATCACAATTAGCCTTTTCGTGATTCTCCGTAGTCTCTTGCACTTGTACATCATGATCTATCGTAGCGTTCGATTCAAGCTTCTGCATCGTGGCATCTTCAGATACGTCTTCAAATGCGTTCGACTCAGGTTTCCGTATCGTAGCATCTTCAGGTGTATTCGATTCAGGTTTCTGTATCGTAGCATCTTCAGGTGTATTCGATTCAGGTTTCTGTATCGTAGCATCTTCAGATGTGTCCAAGACCGAAGAAATATTTACCTCTTTATTCGCAAAAGTCGTCAAGGGCTGTTCCGTCTCGTCGAGATTATTCTCCTCTTCGAGATCCTCCTTCTGTCTGTTAATTATATATTCTAATCGCGGTGTTTTCTTCCATTTAATCACAGGCATTTTCTTCTGCGTGTAACGTATAATCTCATCATCCTCCGAACTGCGAGGCACGATTTTTTTCCGCTTAATCGGAGATTGTTTCGACGATGACGAATGGTGTTTCTTTCGTTTGGCGCTGTTTACTTTGGTGTTTTGCGGTAATTGCGACGTTAATGTCGAGACCACTCCAATTTGATCAGAAATCATGTCGTTTTCCCTCGTTGCCTCATTATTCGTCACAGCACTTTCAACATTGCTCTGCAACATCTCGTGCAACTTTAGTTTTTCCGCGGTCAACTTATGCATCTCCAGATCAATCTCCAACATTCTAGCCAGAATCGCTTCTCTCGAATTTACAGCGCCGGTAAGGTGTTTCATATTTTTAAGCTTCCTCGTTAAACTATTTCTATTTAGATCAATCCTCTGAGATCGATACTTCATTTGCCGTTTATTTTTCAATTTATGCAACAGCGTACCGTTGCGCTTCCTTCGACCTTTATACACGTCTTCTCTCGTTTTTTCTTGCGCCTTTTTCTGATTCGTCATTCTCGAGTCAAGTTCTTTCATCTTTCTCAACTCCACAACCGGATTATGTTGTATATCACTGCTGCGTAGATCCTTATCGTTATTGAGAGATGTTACTAACGTCTTACTCTGATCGACATCCACGTTTATATGAACGCGTTCGTTGTGCGTATTATTTTGCGTCGACGAAATCGTGTTTACATTTACACAGTTGTTGGTGTGAGTGTCTAAAGAATGCGTTTTTGTACCCTGATATATATCCACATGCCACGCTGGTGTTTGGTAACTCGCACTCTCTGTTTCGCTTTGTTGCGTCTTCTCCAATATTCCCTGCGTCGTTTCCTTGATCAATGAATTATTCGGAGATTTCAAGAAATGACTCGTCGCAGCTTCCTTCAAGGCGGCTTTGGTCGGGATGTTTAACGTTCTTGGCGGTGTATCAATTACAATCGGCGAATGTTCCATCGACGGTACTCTCGCGAGTAAATCTGAACTGTCTGTCGACGAAATGGGCTTCAAGTCAAATTTATATCGCTCTTCTTGTATCTCATCGGGCGATAAATCCGCACAAGATGTTGTCAGTGTCGGTTCTGAAGTGACAGTTGGTGGAATAATGTCATACCGAGGGCTCGTTTCTTGATGAATAGAAAAGGACGCCTCATCCTTGTTATCGAACGTTGCAGCACTTTGCAAACGATCGTCCAAGTAAAACATGTCGTTGTCCAGGTGTTCATCGGAATCGAAACCCGGCAGCTTGTCGCAAGAGATTTTCTCCGTAGATATATTTGCTTCTAAATACATATTATGATTGTTGAGATGCTCCGCGCTCTGAGTCTCTGCTAATCTCAATGCGTCGTCCGAAATCGCAGCATCGTCCAGGGCGTCGGACAAGCTAGGATCGGTCGTGGTCGTGAGTTTACTCGTAAGATCCTTCGACCCATTTTCGTCCTGAATCATCTCCTCCTCGTTAATGAACATGGAATCCTTGATAGTTAATTGCGATTCGCTTATTAAGCCTTTATCCGCTTCATCACCTTCCCCATCGATATTGTCGTCCTCGTGTAACGCAGCGGTGACTATTTCGCACGAAGACTTCTCCACGATTTGTCCTTGTATATTTTCATCCGCCATTAATCCAGATTTGTCGCTCGTCGCACGTTCCTTATCTGAAGCAAGTAAAGTATCGCCGAAAGTGACGTTAAAGTTCTCGTTGATACTCATGTTATTAGCACAATTACATTCTAACGACTCATAATTCTGTTGCTTTGCGATCTTCGCTTCCTCTTCACGCGTCGCGTGATTTACATTACAATCATTTAAGAATAACTTGTCCTTTTCGTGCAATTCTAGATTGAACAAATCAGGCTGCTCAAAATCTATCATGGTCTCTGGAAGGAAACCTTTGAACGGACTACCCACGCTTTCAGGAGAAATGACGCCATTTCCCGTATCCGGCTGCTGTGTTGAGCTTTCAATCGAAGCCGATGACAGTTCGACGGTTTTCCTAGGTAGAGAATTATCTTCCTCCGCACTCGCAGATTTGCACGTGCTGTCTACGATCGATTTCATATTGTTTTCTTTACTATCATTAATCTCGACATCATTTACCACATTTGTATTTATTAATGGCTGATCCTTCGGCGTATCGTCGATAATATCCTGTCGAGGTGTCATATCCAATTCAGGAATGCTGCTCATATCGCCTTTTTCAAGTGTATCCTCAAAGTCATTATCCATGCTCTCCGATAGATCTTGATTATTTGACTTTTCAACTTGAATTTGATCCAAGAACTCGGTTGCATCATTCGTTGCATTAAATTCTTTATCCGACGTTGAGATATCTTCTTGAACTGCTTTGACAATATCGGTTGAAATTTCGATAGAGGCTGCCGAAGCATCCGGTTTAGAAACGACATTAAAAATTTCTCTCGTATTCTGCTCTTCTTTATTCGTGACCTCGATACTTGCTGTATTATTTGCACTTTCCACGTTATGAGCTTCTTCATTTCGCCTCGTCTCAGGTGAATCGGTGCTCTCAATGTTATTGCCTACATCTTTTTCAATATTTTCTTCTCCAATAAATTCTGCACTCGAAAAACTTTCTTTCGCTTCATCAACGCCTTGCGATAATTCGTTATTATTATCGGTATTTTCCGAAAAAATTGTGGATACTTTCATCTTATTCGCGTTATTACTACAATTATTGTTTATCTTACTTTCGCAAGGATTCGCGATCTGTTCAATTTTCATTCTGTTGTCACTTGCATTATCAACTTTCTTTTCTTGACTCACCTCGTTCGCATTCTCAGTTGTCTTCACCAAAGGATAGTATATTTTTGTTGGAAGGAGACTAATAGATTTTAACGCTATTTCAGGTTTCTTTTTCGTTTTTCGCGGCTTTGTTATTTCCTTTTTCAGTTTCAATTCTTTGCTACCTTCCGATCGAATATTCTTAAATTTTTTAGAATCGGACGCAGCTCTGCTTTGCAATTTTTTATCCATTACATTTCCTGTATTAGATTTCGATGATATGGTGTTAGTTGTTACGTTGGACAGTACATTGACATTTGTGTTAGCGATAAATGGATGTTTATCTTTCGATGTATCCTGATGAATTTTCTCAACGGTATCAGTGACACGATTCAAATTTTCTTCTACGGATTTCGATGCTATCTTTGTGATCTTAGTTGTCTTCATTGTTTGTCTCTCTTCTTGCCGAACATCGTTTCTTACTGCAATTTCGTTATCTTGACTATTTATTTGGCAGGAAATAGTGGCTAATCTTGCCGCCGAAAATAATCGTGGATCCTGAATGGAGCCGTCACACGTAAGTGTGGATGCAGATTTGTTGATTGGAATTTCTGGCTTGACAATCTTAGAAGAGGAAGATAAATCTTGAGTCGACGTTGTAGGATTTTCTGCAAATTTCTTCGATTCTTCTTGTACGTTCATACGACGGTGTATCGTGCGCTCATAGTACGTCTTTATGTCGATCTTCTTCGAAGCTCCTCTAGATTTTCGACTTACGTTTCTAATCGGCACATCTGATGCAACGGCTGATGTTGACGCCGCTTTGTCTGATATGTTAGCGGAAATTGAGATATTATTATCATCTTTTATTTTAGTAGCGTTGATACACGAGTCGCTAGAAGTGCATACATCCGATTGTCGGGATATTGCATTTTCGTTAGAACTTTCGCGCAGATGCTCGCAATTTTTTATGTTGCTCGTGAAATTGTCAATTGCCGGAACATCAGTTTCATCCCGATTACAATTAATGTCAGTTACTTGATAAGACTTATTCGAATTCTCCGAGCATTCCGTTGGATTAATCGTGTTCCAATCCTCTGGTAGGGTCGTAAATATCTTCAGGAAAATTTTGTTATCATTCGTATCGGCCGCTTCTGGCATCTGTTTCAGTTGTGCTTTAGTTTTCAGTTGCGTCGGAGAGGCTGTCGGCGGTCTATCTTCAATGTGAGATTGATTGACAGTTGTCAGTGGAGTCTCTTGTGTTGTTAAAAGAGAGGATTCTAGGGTACCCTTAGATTCTGGGAGCGAACGCATCGTTTTATTTTCCACGTGACTTGCATTCGCAAATTCAGCGTCCCTGGTGTTCTCTTGACTGATGTCCAATTCTTCTTTAACAATCACCTCTTGCGTCATTTCATTTTCTATCATTTCCTTCTTAATTTCGTTTTCCGTCAGTAATTTTGTTATTTCCTCATTCTCGTCTTTATCCGAGGCGGAATCAAAGAAATTTGTTGCCTTCTTACTTTGCTGTTGTTTCTTCTTCTTCTTCTTATGATGCAATTTTTTTTCCTTTCGCCACTTTTTATATTTTCGCGATTTCCTTGACTTTTGTTTTCGTTCCCGTTCTATCTCGGCGTTCACCTCGTCTCTTATCGTTTCGTTCAACGACATTTTCTTGGCAACTTTCTCTTTCTCTTTTATCGCTCTCAACAGCTTTGTAACATTTGGTTCCGTGTTGCCATTACTATCATTGCTACTGCTGCTGCTACTGCTGTTGGTGCTATTGCTGGTTCTGCTGGTTCTGCTACTGCTATTACTATTGCTGCTGCTGCTGCTAGTATTATCCTCGTTGCGATCATTATTATCATTATTATATTCCGAATATCCTGCACTGTGTCTTCTATCATCACTGTGTCGTCTAGACTTTTTATGTTTGTCCTTTTCCAAAGTTCTATGTCTTGTGATTCTTATATGCTTTGAAGATTCAGATGAATGACGACGTCGTGGGTAAGATTTTTTATGCCCTCTGTGTGATGGGTTCTTGTTAGTATTAATTTTTTTTGTAAAAGAAGACGAAGATATCGAGTCTGCTTGGGTTCCATATCTCGCTTCCCACTCCTCTTTGGTAAGATTCCTGTATGCATGTGGATCTTCTCGTTCCTTTCTCTTCCACTTATCGCATCTTTCGATCCAGCGTGCGCAATTTTCCGATTTACGCATTCTGTCATCTTCCAAAGGCGTATCGTTCTCCGCGCTCCTTGTAATTGCATCATCGTCAAATTTCTTTGCATTTCGTTGATTCACGTTACAATACTTACGTTCCTTTATTGCTGCGGGAGTTTGATTTTTCTTAGTCACTTCTGAAAATATATCATCTAGATCATGTTGTAAAGCCGATAATTTACTACTAAGGCTAGACTTATTGGATACGATAGTACTACAAGTGTCATCTTTCAAATTAAAATCGTTACTTCTGCTAATATGATGCTGCATCTGCGTATCTCTGTCATGTCCCGTTTTTATCATATGACCTTTATTTCTCTCGCATTCTTGATTTATATAATTATGTGCTGTTCTATTTGGGTATTCTGAAATAAATAATCTTACGGGACTAAATACATGATTTGGATCTTCCAAGTGACTATTTTGGCTACTCGAAGTTGCTGCTGTTGCAGATTCGACCTGATTGTCCAGTTGTACATCTAGTTGTAATACTTCGTTTAAATGATGAATGAATTCTGTGGGTAGATCTGTAACAGATACAGTGGCATCAGTCTCCAGCATCGTGTTCAACTGCTTCATAAACTCCTGCTGATCGTACAGCTTCATCTTTTCGTTCTCGGCGTGTCTCATCTCCAAGGATAACGAGGATTTTTTTTCTTTGACTAGACGCTTCATTATAACATCAAACTTTCGAAGACTAGTATTATTCACCATGTTGAAGATATCATTTTTACTCATCTTCAAAAATCGGCTGATGATTTTGTTCTTCCAAGAAGTTTCCGAAGTAGAATTTTCGTTCTTCTCTGCACAACTCATTGATTTTTGCATGTTGATTTTCGACGACAATGAAATATTAGCAAGAGATTTTTCTGCATTAGCATTTTTTTGTATTTTCTTATGAGATGATACAGTATTTTGATTTGCAATTGATTCAGATGATGCTGTATTTCCTGAATTATTCTCATTCTTCTTTAAATTCTTTCGCTCTTCTTCATTTCGTTTTAATGTACTTTCAAAATTTTTCTTAGAAATTGAAGGCGTCTTCTCCGATTCCATAAATTGCTTTATGCCGTTTCTTTTCTCAGTATTCTCTCGCCATCCAGCTCTAGTAGTTACTATTTTCGTTTTATTATTTAAATTAAATACTACCTTAGGACGCTCTTGTTCATTGATCAGCGACATATCCATAGATCTCGCATCTTGCACCACCATTTCTTCTAATGGCAGATGATCTGACACTCTTTGTTCCTGAGATATTTTTTTATTATGAATATCATTTCGTTTTGTTCTCTTCAACGTATTAGTTTTGGTTTTTGGTTCTCCTGGAGGCAAAGATATAGACTCTACATTGCTAATTGAATTAACTATGGTACTACTTTCACAAAGAGATTTAGAACTCGACTCTTTCTCTCTTTTTTCCGTTATGCTGGTCATTTGTTCTGCAAATTTCAAAGCTTCCTGCATGTCATTTAAACCATCGTCCTTGCTCGTATTGCAATCAGAGAGCGGTAAGAGTTCTGACGAAGGAGATGAAGATGCGTAAGTATTATGGGACATTGCACGTGTTGGAAATATTGCACGCGATGAAACGTTTGGATCAATGACAGGACAACTGCCTGATGGTACAGAAAATCGTGGAGAAAATTGGATTGTATCGATATGAGGTGGCAAAAAAACATTACTTTGGCTTTCTAGTGGTAATTGTTGAGATATAAATCCTCCATTTGTATTTAATTCTGTATACGTTTCTCTGTTATAAGTGGTAGGTGCTGAATTTTGGACATTTATATTATTCCACATGGGAATTTCTTTAGATGTTGATTTTAATAAATGTCTGATATTCGGTGGTGGTTCTGTAGGATTAAATAATGGTAACACATCAGATACTGGAGGCGGAGGCATAACACGTGATTCATCTTGCTTCATAAGTATCGGTGGCGGAGTACTTGGATCAAAATCAACTGGCAATTCTCCTTGTTCGGTATGCGGTGATAATTTTGGTGGTCCACTATGAAAAGAATTTTTCTTTATTTTCGGCACTTGATTATCTGATGTAATATTATTTAATACTGATGCATGAACTACTGTTGATTGTGATAGTGTACAATTATTACTACTTGAACTTATTGTAGGAACCTGGGATTCTAAAATGTTTTCTTGAACTTCTAAATTTGTAGTCACTAGTTCTTGTTCACTTTGCGATACATTTGTCTGCAAAATATCCTGATCTGTCAAATCAGTTGGGAGTGGTATATTCTGTAAACTTGACGTTTTAGACACATCTTGTTCTATCGTAGCACTTGTGGAATATATTTCATTTCCCTGAGAGATATCCTGTTGTTGATCGCAACAATCTTGTGGAATATTAATCAAAGGTGTATTAAACTGACACTGAAGATCCGAATCTAATAATTCACTTTCAACATTGTGATCTTTATGTAAATCTGATTGTTCCAAATTATCGACTGACTCATGAAGCCAGTTGTCCATTTCCAAATACTCATTCTCCACAGACAAATTTGTCATTTGATTGTTAGGTATCGTTGCTAGTTGAGATTCATTTTCATTTTCTTCTAATATTACCATATCGGTATTTGTATTATTAGTATCATTAGACATATATTGCGTGTTGTCGAGTCTTGAATCGTCAGGATTTACTTTGTCAATATTTGTCAGATCATGGGATATCAGACTGAGTTCGACTTGTTGATACCTGAGCTCAGCAATATTTATGTTGTTTATACAATCGTCTTCCGCAAAGTTGGACGAAAACGGCTTGTCATCGCTCCAAATATTTCTCATTTCACTGCTGCTGAAACAAGATAGTTTTTGCTTTAATCGATCTGCCGTTTCCGCTATTTTTTGCTGTCGCTCTTCTTCAGAACCAGGCAGGGGAATCTGCGGCGTTGCTTCGGTCTGATTATTCTCTATCTGCAGACTACTCAAATCTGGTGAAATAATAACATCCTCGTAATCCGGAGGCACGGGCAGCCTATTGGGAGCAGGTAATCGAGTATTGTGGCCGCAGAAATTTTTTCTCCTACCGCCTGGTCTGAACTGTGGATTACCACGTAACAAGTGGGGCTGAAAAAACATATTGTTCGGTTGCCAGGGCATGAATGGACGCCCTGGCCTTGGTGGGCCTACATGTCGGAAGGGTGGAGGTAGGAATCGGGGTCTACCGAACGAACTTGCGGTGGCTCGCGAACCTCGTCGCCCAAAGCCCCTTCCTCGGCCAAAGTTGGTGTAACTCATCACAGTCTGCCCGATATCTCGACACCGTTTTTTTTTTTGGCAAACTCGTATAAAAACAGAGACACACAGATTAACACCGCACTATCTTTGGCAGTTTAATAAAGCGAACGTGTGACGTCGGATCAACACCGCACATCTCCTCCGACAGTGTACATTATTTATTGCACCGATATATCAATTAACGAGATTTTCGTCTCCCGAGTTCGTGATTTGTTGTTCGTGTCAACTCGCGATCCCGGGACATCGAAAATCCTATCATATTTCTACGTATATCTTCCCCACGATTGCACGAGAGCATTCGTTGTTAGACGATTATCTCGACGAGATATACTTCGATTGACATTCTACCTAACCTCTTACACGCCACAAGTCGCGCCTTTCAGATTTACCGGCAGGACTGTTGCAATTTCTTTCAACTGTAAAAAAGGATGTATAATTAGTGGGACGTATAATATTAGGGGATGAGGGGGAGAGGAATCGGTTGAGAATAACAAAGGCATTTATCGCTTCGCATTTGCATTTCAATGCGCGACGACTTTCTATAGCGAATAAAGAGATCCGTGGCTACTTACATGTGTAATCGCGAGAGCGATCATATGTGTCGTGCTCCAGTTTTGTCGCGAGCTACCTTCTACGACGATGTTATTTTCGTCGCGTGCCCAATGTCAGGGATCTCGCTTTAACGTAAATCGACTTTCGCAGCGAACAGAAAACCCTGTCGGTGTTTATATCAACATCTCAAGCGATACGCTACATTCACCTTATCGTCCGACAAGTATCGTGAGACTAATACACGCGCGTCGCGTGTGCTCGATATCGCGTCAAGTGGCTTGATTTTATGCCCGATTACGCATTTGGACGTACGTCTCTGGACGCACGGAAAAATCAGCCAGTCACGTGTCGAACATGAAGAATACGGCAATATGGCATTCCGCACGTTGGATACGTTATTGGTCAATTCCTCTGGGCTCTTCTGGGATCTTTTTTTATACGGTTATCTGGATATACGTCTGGATAAGCCTTAACAAGTTTCTCGTGTCAATGATATGGAAACTTTGTAAATTACACGACGCAAAGTACATGTATTTAACATTTTGTTTTAGCATCATTTTTTTATCGATAATTATTTAAATAGATATTATACGAGGAACCTTTTTTTTTAAAGCGGCAGGAAAATTTTACATTTTTCATGTCACGTGGAAATTCTCGTATTTACACAAGAGAAGGGGCGTATTTGGCCGAAATTTAAACGAATGGATCCAGCTAAATATTTATCATGTCTATATTTATCTATATATTTACATTTCTTGTTATTATGAAAATTATCGATGACGAGAACGTCTCTAAATATCCACTTATGACATACGCTGTAAAAGGTTCGATATACACAATTTTCCAGAAGCATTAAGCTAAAAATTGAAATCGTAAATTATAAATCGTTGTTTTTTAAATTATATTTGGATATTTTTATGTATTACATAAATAGAAAAATGAAAATTACTCTCAATTTTTTTCTCTCTCGCGCTGTAATTCATCACAATTTTATTGTGCAGTAAAATGTACAATCCATTACAGAAATGTATACAATTAATATGTATAATAACAGAGATTTCCATGGCAGAAGAAAAACATCTCTCGAACACCTTTGAATGCTGTACAGATATCGAAGCAAATGCAATTATTGAATTACTGTACCGCATAAAATTGTTAAAGTTTAGAGAAGAGTCGATTATGTAGTAAAGTTTGTGCAAGAAAATCATTGGTATTTCCTTCAAAAGTTGTATAATAACGCTGTACATAATTTGATGCTGTAAAATTCAAATTTTATGAATTTTTTATACATCATATAAATATTGAGAATAAAATGCACACATATAACTGCTCTTTAAGCTGAGCCTAGCCAAAGTTATTATCATACAATGTAAGATCAATTACATAGATAAAAAGATAATTATACATAATTATAAGATAAATATACATTCGGTTTAGTTTGCTTTTCTGTAGAAAATAATATATATTAGTATCGATACTCTTTCTTTCTCCTTTTTCCTGTTTATATTAATATAGAATCACTGCATTTGTAAGACATCTTATATATGTCTTATTTTTAACTCCTGGAAATAATTTCTTTGCAAATGGAGAAATATCTTCTATAAGATCATTTTACATGTTATTCCGCACAAATATCAATATATGTAAATACCTGCACAATATCTTTACATATAGGTAGATATAGAATACAATTTTACTCTTGTACAAGAAACAATTAAGAGGTATTGGTATAATTCTCTTTAGGCTTCTTTTCTTCTCGAATATATATATGTCCTTTTTTTTTAAAAAAAAAAAAGAAAAGGATTATTCAAGTTCATCTTTCAACAAAAAATCTTTTTACATTTGTGCACTATTGTTATTAATTTACTAATCTTTTTATCTGTCAAAATTAAACGCAATGCAAGAAAATGTTCTAATAATAAGAGCAATTCATTAAAAAAAATTAAATAATAGCATAATAATAGCAATAGTAGCAATACTAATGAAGGTGTTTAATTAAGTACAATATTATGTATGTATATAAATACAATCAGTAAAAGCATATATATATATGTATATGATAATAATAAGTGAATTTGATGTATATTGCGTATGTATGTTATGTGTGTGTATGTTTAATTAAATATATCATATTATATAATGATATAGCAGTATAACATGACGTACATTTGGAATAATTTTAAACGACTTTGGAACCATTTTATACGCTTAACAATTTATATACAATACATACACACAGTTTCTATCTTATTATAAATTAGTGAAAAAATAATGCTGCTTTGGCCATGATCTGCGCATCAGTAATTATTAACTACCTCTTCATTGCTAATATCTACGTTTTTAATGTGTTTCATGAAATAGTCTTCAAAATAGTCAAAAAATTCTACTTATACACAGAGTTTACCATCGTGAAGTGTATACCTCTAGAAAAATCTCATTTCAGATACCGCGTCGTTACCACAATATAATCCCATATTGTAGTCTGCCATTCGTTAATAGATAATATTAATACTTTGATTATTATCACTGCATGAGAAAGAGAGATATAGAGAAGATGTGATTTGTACAAAACAAATTGCTATTGCTTTAAAGAATGGAATAAATTACTTTCAATTTCAAATTTAATCTTCTCTCTTATATCTCGGCTGGAAATTTGTTGTAATTATATATTTTCTGTTTTATATTATCATACAAAATATTTAATTCGCTCATATTCTAAAATATCAAGCACCTTCGACTTTGGTATGAAAATAAAATGATTCGGCGATTGCAATCTCTTCATGTTATCGAGTAAAATGAAAGAGATTCTCCATTGATATATTATAAAACATATAAAAGGTAGGTGCATATAACTTCAAAAATGGAATGGCTCACAGAAATTCATTTATATATAGATACGTAATATAAATATATAAATGAATTTTATATAATGCAAATTAATATAGATTAAAAACATGATATATGCACATGGAATGTGTAACTTTTAAGTGTTCTTTCATGAGGAAAGAAAAAACCTGGTTTATCGCTTTATTCAAACATAATAATCCTTATTGTTTTGCTTCAAATCAGGCTAAAGCAATTATCATTTATATTAGTCCCATGTAATGTTAATGTATATGCTAATAAGCTTTATCACGAATAACATTTAATTGTAAATTCTCCTGCGTTTACCTCTTGCCAATTAATAATAAAATAGTTGCTCTATGTGTATATTGTGATAAATAAGATAGTTACAAGGCCATGTAGCAGTATCGCAGAGCATTCTGACAATGTTAGTATTTCTATGCTTATTTTTAATTTAAGACAGACATATTTTAGATACCTCTCCCCTCCCGCTCTTTCATCAGACAGAGAATTATCCTAGTTATCAAAGTTGTGTCGAAGTAGGATAAATCAATTTTGAGAAAGTGCTGTACAATATATATGTAAATAGCTGTCTCTCGACATCGATAAGTCTCTATAAGAAATATACTTAATTGTATATACCTACGATTTAATAAATTTATTATATATTCACTTTCCAATAAATTAATATTCACGTTGCAACAAATAAAACAACGATCTGTACATTTAATATAAAAATTAAACCTAAGGACGGAAAACAGAAAACGCTAATCGGATATTCAATCTCCACTGTGAATAAAATGTAATCAGTTGGCAAAAGTTATCGAATTGCCAATCATTCTTTATATATATTGTGTATATATATACAGGGTGTCCTAGACCACCCGTACACCCCTTTTCTTTCAAAAATTAAGCATTTTAGAGAAAAACGTTTTCGACAAAAATTGTATGGTTTTGAGGGGAACATAAGATGGTGTCATTGGTTTGATCTTGGATGGCATTGTTAAGGTCAAGAACATTTTTAATTTCTTAAATGGAACCACCTATTTTTTATTGCATATTCTTATAGCTTATGTCGAGAGCTTTTCAAAACACTATAATAAAGTATTTTTTCATTGAATACTTTTCGAGTTATGAGGCTTGCAATAATTTTTTAATTTTACATAAATCGTAAAATATCTTGTAAAATATTCATTTTTCGATTATCTTAATACTTTTATGTACAAAAGTTGTTTTTAAGAAACAATATGTAATTGTTAATTACAAATTACATATTTTTTCTTCGAAACAATTATGTTTCTTTACACCAATTGATTCCTCTCATTATTTTGTACATAAAAGTATTAAGATAAGATAATAAAAAAAGGAATATTTTACTAGATATTTTATGTAAAATTGAACAATTATTTCAACCCTCATAACTCGGAAGGTACTTGATGAAACAATACTTTATTGTAGTGTTTTGGAAAGCTCTCGACATAAGCTATAAGAATATGCAATAAAAAATAGGTGGTTCCATTTAAGAAATTAAAGGTGTCCTTGACCTGATCTTAACGATGCCATCCAAGGTCAAACCAATGACACCATCTTATGTTCCCCTTAAAACCATACAATTTTTGTCGAAAACGTTTTTCTCTAAAATACTTAGTTTTTGAAAGAAAAGGGGTGTACGGGTCTAGGACACCCTGTATATACATATATTTCTTTTTTTTAAATTCACATTACGCGCGAAATACTAACAGTGGAATATCTTATTATATAATTATTTGTTATTTTAACTTTTACCCGATAAGTTCCTTTAAAGTGTAACGCTTGGTGAGTCCACCGAAAATCAATTGCGCAGAGCACTTTTACGATGTGAATGAAAAACCTTTTATTTGTATCTCGGACTATCCGGTGGAGTAGATTGCGTATTAGTTCTCTGCTTTGGTCCAGTTTTAAAGGACATCTTTTTTACGGGTCTCGGTGAAATTCCGTGAAGTGTAGTGCTCTCAGGGGGGGTGTCATTGCTAAACCACACTCTGCTTCCATCGGAAACTGAAAACAAATACAAAAATTATTCATTAATTATAATATCGTATAAATTATCGAGAAGCGAGAATATAGAAAATTTTAGCTAGAAAGTAGCTGCTTGTGATATATTAGGCAGATATTTTATTAGAAAAATTAAGCGTGCAATTGAATAAAAAGAGCGTTATCACATATTTCGCATATTGTATATAACTTCCTTTAAAGCAATGTTTAAAACACGGCATATAAAAACATATTTTATGTAAACAAAAAAAATAAATATTTAAACATGCTATCTTAAATGTTCATAGATTGGAAAGATTACCTCTGAATATATTTTGCAAAACTGCCAAACAAAGAGTTGATTAAGAGACACAGAAATGTGAAAGAAAGAGTTTGAAATTTTTATATTTCGTCACACGATATATTCAGCAGATTAAATCTTGCAATTCTA